ATGGGCTCCTGTCCCACGAAAACCTGAGCGTCCTACAAAGCACCGTCCAGTACTTGTGCGAACAATCACCATACGATCATCCCAGCACCCACGCGCATTTCCAGGATGTGGTGGACAACCTGCAGTTGCAGGAAGACGGGCTCGACAAGGTACAAGACCACATCCGCGCCGGCATCTGACACCAGCACCCAGCAGCACCACCACCACCACCACCACGAGTTCGGGTCGACGTTCCCGCTTGTACCGTCACCTGAGGATCAGAGTAAACTAAGGACGCCCCACACCCGTAGGTTCGGGCACACGTTCCCGTTTGTAAACTTAGGGTTATCTAGGAACAGAATAAACCTCAGTTTGAAACCTGTGCCAAAAAAAAACGTGCGTTTATTTTTTTTTTTTTTTGAATTCCCTAGGGAGTCATCACCGGGGGGACCTCGACCTTGCCCCAGCCTAGGGTTAGGGTCAGGGCCAAGGGGAACGCCGTTTACCCCCCAAAACCCCACTTTCTTTAGTGCGCATGCGCCCTCGCGAATTCTCTGTTAGGGTTCCCACATGGATGAGAATTCAAGTTCGTCTACAAATATAAGAGCCCTTAGGGTCCCATGAGGTCACTTTTACAACACGTCATCACCCCTATGACGTCATCACCCCTATGATGTCATGGCCACACCCAGGAACACACCCCTATGACGTCATCCCCTCTGAAATTAAAATGACAGAAAAATTTGATTATGAGGTCTGCCCCCTGATTGGAATTTTAAAATGACCAGAAAATTTTGATTGTCCCAGGTACTATTGTGATCGCGGAGGTTGAAAACGCAATTGAAAAGTATGAAACCGTCATCCCCATAAGTGGTCTATCGCGGTGGCTTACGGGTTCCATACCTTTACGTCAGTCTGTTTTAGCCAACAGCCATCTATCCACAACAGCAACTGCTACTTTAGTGTCGAGTCTCTCCACAACGGCTATTTAAGGACGGACGGTTTTTTGGGGGGAAATGGGCTTGATTTGAGAAGTAAGGAAAGAAATTAGAGTAGAGAAGATATACCCTTCAACCAGTTAGGTCCGCTAATGAGCTCAGAGATATTTTGCTTCTAATTATTCCCATAATTTTTAAATCCCCCACATTCAACATTTTGCATTTTTTCATAATTTCAATCACCCTCCCGCAAGGTTGCAAGCGACCATGTCAAGCCACGTATTGCTAACAAATTCAGTAACGATTTTAAGTTTCAGTCAACAAAATTAATACAAAAATTTAACTAAACAATGACTTTATTTGCATGTCCAAGAACTAAAATTTACATGAGTATTCACTGACAACTGCATGCAATAGGACACCACTAATTTGGTTATAGAGATGCAGCCTATGCTCTCATTACGAACACCCTCGCGAGTGGACAGCTTCCAAATAAGCCCTTTGAATAACTCGGCCATGTCCATGTGTCTGGATACCACTTAGCAACGTCTCGCTGACTGGCGAGCCATCTAAGCTTTGATTGTGATTGAGCGGAGCATCCCTAATTTATTTTGTTGATAATGAACCAAAATGACGTTTGAATTAACCTACATGTATGAAGGCTCCACCCAATCGCACTAAAAGCTTTGTGATCTTAAATGAACGCTTGGATGGTTTGCTATCCAGCGAGCCGTTGCTAAGTGGTATTCAGTCACGTGACCAATCCAAGTACTGCAAAGGGCTAATGAAGCTGTAACTAACAGTCGATCATCGAATAATGTCCCACTCAACTTGGTCATATCCAACGAAATTCCTGGGGTAGGACGCGGATATGATGACCGGACCGATCAAACCGTTTGGCTCTTTTTTGAGCTTGAACATATTCATAGCTGTAAAATGTCAATGTTTTTAACTTAGAGTTAGCCCGACAACTTTTCTGGTTTGTCTGAGGTGGTCAGACATAAGTCCTTTCTGAAAATGAAAAATTAATTGCAGCCCTTGCTATACCCACAACTGCCTTCACAACACTCCGTTTGAACTCTCCGCTTTACGAAACCACTCCCTAAGTGGCCAGCAGCTCCAGTTGCGGTCTCTGATCCCTGAGGGTGTTCAGTTAAGAGATCTTCTACTGTAATAGTTGCAGGGTAAATTTAAAAGTCGCAAACTTGTTTGCTCCGTCATTGTTGTGAAACAAAAATACAAGGAGGCTAAAAATTGGTAAAAGTCAATAAACGGCCACTAATTAAAAGGTATTGAAAAAAAGAAGGATCAAGTCAGCCGCCTGCCCGAGCTCCCCTGGGCGAGCCAACTTTTCATTCATTTGCTTACAAAAGGTGGCGCACAGTTTACATGAGAAACAAAAAAGTTTGCTCGGCTAGAAGGGTGACCCGGCTGGGCGGGTCACCCTATTGTGGAGGTAGGGTTAAACTCCTAGCCGGGCTTACTTTTCTCCACATAAACACTTTGGCTCACCCAGCCGGGTCTACTCGGTCAAGGCGAGACATATAGAGCATGCGCGAGCATTGTTAGCTCGGGCAATGTGGTGAAGTTTTTTTGCATTTAAGCTATTTCGAGAAAGGTTGTCGGAAAAAGTGCCCGTCACAATTCTGATAGGTATTGTTGGTTGGTTTGAGCTCACTGTTCTTTATAGAAATTGGAAAGAATGGCACGAGAGGCCATGGAATTATGTTTGCAAGTGCTTAAGAAAAGCAGCAAACGTAGGTTTGACAGTTACAGTGTCAGGAACTGTGTATTGATCATATCCCATAATACCTTTCGGGATTGCCGTCTGCACACTTTTTCCGACAACCTTTCTCGAAATAACTGCAAACGCTCGCTTAAGTTGACCCTTCTGGAAGGGTGACTGTTCCACCCTGGACAGGTTTACGGCAAAGGTGACGGCAACAATAACCTCAGAAAGCGATAGCTTTAGATTAACAGAAGAACAATTTTGCACGTGCGTAACGCTTTTTGTGTACATTTCTTTGCTGTCGTTGCACGACCAGGACGTGGAACTTCCTAATTTCACGTTTTATGGAGAACGAGTACACAAGGCGACAATTTTCTCTTTCTTTTTCTTAAATCAGATGATAGGGCAGTTTATACAGGGAATATAAGCCGCGGCTTACTCTGGCGGCGGCTTACATAAGACGCGAACACCACGTGTAAATGGCACGAAATCAGTTAGGTTCACGGCTTATTCAAGCCACGGCCAGCTCAAGCCGCGGCTTATCCTGGCCGAGGAGTTTGGACTGGGCTTATCCAGGTCACGGCATACCTTGCAGGACGTGAAAGTGTTCGTTAATACACTCAAACGTTGTCCGCGGCTTTGCTGAAGCCGTGAACAAATGCTGCGCAAGCTCTATTTTCAATTATATCCCAGACCTTCATAGCCGAGAGACACGCGCTGCAGTGGCGGGAAAATGACCTGCTTCACGAGAGAGCCGAAAATATTGTCTAAACTCCACCTCATCCACTTGCTGGAACATCTCTTTCAGACCACCCGATTGATCGCTGACGAAATTTTCGTCGAGGTTTCCGCACAAGTTTAGCTGAACAGCCCCACACAGTAATCGTGATCGAAATATAAATTTGAAAGAAAAAAAATAGCGTAAAATATGGCGGTTTCCTGACCGAGGCCAATCGTTTCGCAGTTTTGAACGCTCAAGCCATTGTTGAAAATAATGCGAGGTACAAAAACAAACTAAGTCATCATTGGACCGGTCTAGCGGCGAACTAAACCGTGAATCATTTATACGAGCAGTTCGCGTCTTATGTAAGCCGTACTAGTAGAAATAGTTCCTTTTGCGTCCTACGTAAGTCGCGGCTTATTTTCTCTCGTATAAACGGCCCCAATGTCTTTTAGAACTTAACTCTAGAAAAATTCACCTACATTTGACAAATTGACCGATTTGGCACTGAGGCGGCACTGAGGTTTGAAATCGTGCGAATACACGTTTTAAGTTACATATCCGCCACCTTCGCCGTCTAGATTGCTTGAAAAGCTCTCTGCAAAGGCCACTTTCCATTGTCCTTATGGTGGCCGGTCTGGAGTTATTCGACTATACCGCCTACACTAACATAAGGAAGATGGAATATAATGGTTAAGCAAACGACGTTAACTAGCAGCTATTTGTATAATAACACTTGGCATTCCTAATTATTTCTTAATTCAAAGTTAATGTTATCAAAACCCAAAAAATGTGAGGTGGTGTCACTCGCAACTATGTATACTGGCAGAGACTCTTTATAAAATAAAAAAAAACAAAGATAATGAAACTGTGCAAATTCCGCCTGAAAAACCGAAATTACTGAATCATATGGTATATTCTGATTCTAAGAAGGTCATAGGTCGTTCGCTGAGAGTCTGTGAATGCGACCTAGCCAAAAAAGTGAAAAGTTACAAAAAAATATCAAGTCGAAGTTGAAGGTTACACATTGCAGAAGACAAAACTTTGATTGTAGGGCAATTTTGCCTATTGTTGGATAAAATTATTTAAAGATATCTTTTATTTGAAAGAGTATAATAATGAAAAGCAATAGTAACGTAAAAAGCAAGCAGAAAAAGAGTGCGCTAGCTCATCATGTGACGCCACGTCAGTTGTTCTGTGGATCTTCCAGATACCGGACGCAAGGCAATCTACTGTTATCGTTGCATTTATATGAGCTAGTCACTAGCAGTATTTTAAGGACCTGCTCATCATTTGAAAACGGCGACTTAGAGCTGTTACTCTTCACATTTTTAGAAAGTCATTTTGTGGTGCCAAGCGATGGGGAAGAAGTTGTTCATTTAAGAACTACAGTACAAACTACAGACTGTTTGCTTAGCACCGAAAAAAGAACGTCAAAAGAACATCATGGGAATTAAAAATGTGGCAGTCTCACTCGTGCTTCATTGTGAAGGCGCCTGTTTTGAGAGCTGCCGTGAAACCATCTACATATCTTTAAAACCATTCACTATATCGAGACTATCGCAACTACTCCTTCCACCTTAGCCCTATCATACAATAGTTAGCAATGTATACGCACCGTGAACTCTCAGGTTTATTTAAAAGTAACGAGATAATCTGGGTAGGACTGGCTATCATAAAAGACAACAAATATGCTTGGATCTGAGGTGTTGTCTACAACACTGTCGTATGCATCAGTAGCGTCGCTTCCTCTGGGTGGAGGAGTTATCATTTCCTTTCGTCCAGCCGCATATTCACCCACCAGAACACGAGCAAGGTACATATAGCGGTCGCCATTTGCATCTGCTGGAGAATATCGTAATTGTGTGGAATAGGACGCATCTCGAGCAAAGTATACGCCCTTCCCATAGACAACGGCTGAAAGAAGATTTTATCATTCACTTATCAGCAATAGGCCTTCTTCAAGGTACCATTTTTTAAAAATGCTATTTTCCAAAATTTTGCCGATTAAGCATTGTTTCTCTTGGGACGATAGAGTAAGTCCTAAGAGAAATCGAAAACAATGGTTATGCAAAAGTTTGGAGGGACAACAAAGAGTAATATATAACAATTATTCACCGAAGTGAAGGTGGCTAGTGGTGGTGGTAATTTACCGAGGTGCGGAGCGGCGAGGTAAATCACCACCGCTAGCCACCGACACTGAGGTGAATAATTAAAATCTTCATTACAAAACCTCAATTAACCACAATCAACAACAATCAACCTGCTGTTACAAAAAATCTAATTAATTCATCAAAACACTATCTACAATTCCATCCGTTACAAAAGAAACCCCTCGGCCTTCATTAATAAGTGAAGAAAGAAACTATTCATTTACAAATTCTAAAAAAATAGAAGTAACTTAACCTTACATAAAAGAAGAGGAAATAGTTATAATTAATAATAAAAGTTTAAAATTATATAAAATAAAGAATTCCATTATGCAGAGATATTAAGATCATACAATCGAATTATACTAATGACGGCTAAACCATAAAAAGCCCTAAAGCCCTGAGGTGAATAATTGTTTTAGAACATACTAAAACAGTGAGATAAATTGAGCACAAAAATGATGATTTTTAACTCATTTACTGTTGCCAACGATCACAATTTTGGCGCGCAATGGCCGAACGGCCGCGGCCGTCGCTTTAGTTTAGCTCTTGCAGGGAAAGTTCTTCAAAAGGAGTTGCCATTTCTTTTTGTATTTAAAATCATTCTGTAAAAAAAGATTATTAAATTTAGTTTTAAGCTTATTTATGAACAAGTCAGCTAAATAAAGTAACGCAAGACTTAAGCTTAATTTGCATTTGTAAACAAAAAACTTTTTCACCGGTTTCAAACCGTTTTGCAATCCGGGAAGCCATTTTGCTCGTGACTTACGCGAGTTTGGCGTCGCTTGCTCGGAGGAACTGGAGGTGAATCAGTGAACAGCATTGGATATTCACTGATTGAGTAACTAATCAGAGCGCGCGAAAAACACTATCCACTGTTTTAGTACTGTATATACAAAATAGATTTAGCCAGGGCTAAAAGAGAAGCTTCCTTTTATATACTTATAGTAAAAGTAATTAATTTCAAACTTTAAATCCTGGAAACACTTTTGAAATGAATACACTCTTCCATCAAGCTAGAAGTCGGTTGTTTAGGGAAAAACATAATTATGAATCAAGTTCGATCACAGCCTTGCACTTGCAGTGTTCCAGCCTTTTATGGACAAAATACCTGCAAATGCCCAGGATATATGGAGTGGGTGCGGGGGGTGGGGGAGCTGAGTGATCACGCCTGTAACCAGGACATGACTAATCGATGGCATCAATGACATCAATGAATAATCAATAGGTAATCGATAGGTAATCAGTTGATTAGTCATTGATTATATCCGATATTCGATGAGTAATCGATGAATAATCGACAGGCCACAAAATTTTCAGTCATTCAAGTTAGTCATTGATTAGTTATCGATATAATCTCGCGGGTACGCAAACCATACCAAATCGAAAATAAACAAACAAAGACTTCTTTGACATAAATGCGACGACGGATACAAGCTTTAGTTATGATTATTATACATTGTACTCACTATCTGTCTTCTCATTGGCTATGAGCTTACAGCTAATTTTGGAAATCAACGCAACCTATAGATTAGTCAGTTGTCTGCTAGCAGATAACTCACTAATCTTTAGGTTGCGCGCGCAATGCATGATTTCCAATAAATATATTAATTCAGGTTCCTTGCGACGGCGTGTTTGTCGTTATTTTCTTCAAAACAAGGTATTAATAATACAACAATTATTAGATTCGGTTTTTGTGATACCCTAAATAATCAAGGTCTCGGTAAATGTTATCAGCCTCGGCCTTTGGCTCGGCTGATAACACTTACCTCAACCTCGATTATTCCGGATATCACAAAAACCTCATCCAATAATTGTTTATTATTTAACAATAAAGGCATTTGAAGGCCCTGAGGTATCTTCAGAAGAGCTGTCAGTAACTCGCTGGTTTTCTACATGCAAGTTAAATTCCTATTTGGCTATTATTGTCTTCAAGACCAATTAACGTAAATTTTTATCACCTTAAATAAGTTAAGAAAAAAATTACTATAATTGTATGGGATGTGGCTCGCGCACGTGAAAATTTTGGATGGAGTTGAAAAAAAAAAAACAACAACAAAAACAACAAACAACAAAAAACAAATCCAAGGCGTTTGTTGAACTACAATAAATAAGTTAATAATACGCGTTTATTTATTTTTGAGGCAATTTTTTTAAAACTGAATTAAAAAAGCCAGCATTCCGGCCCATGGAAAACTGCGCAGCTTAATCAGGCGGTAAAATCCTATTCGATTAATGTTGTTAAAGGAAGAGGCTTCTAATTTCTTGCTGTGAGATTTTAAAAATGAAATTCTTTAGCTCGCTCATTGTTAAGAATTTTCGCAGCCGTTTGAGTTGAAAGTTCTCTTGAACGCCTTCTCACAAATGGTGTCCATTATTTCAATGAACGTGAGCAAGACTGAACTTCCTGCCACAAAAGGGTTTACCATGGTGCACTGCAGGACATGAAACATGGTTCACGGAAGCAACCTTAATTGAAATAGGTGTAAAAAGCCGACTCATGTTTGTGCTTCGCTTTGCGATAATAATAATAATAATAATAATAATAATAATAATACAATAATAATAATAATAATGATAATAATAATTTTATTCAACTTTGAAAATATGTCCATAATTTTCAGAAATATTTGACGTAAGAATTTAAAAGCATTATACAACATTAAGAATTATATACACCTTTTGCTGTTCATTACGAGAAAATAAGCAATCAGTTTCGTGAAACTGCTACCGATAATGCGAAGATACATTCATTAACGCGAAAATACGGACATTTGCGCATAAATCAGACCCAATTACGATTTTTAATCAACATTCAATAGGGTTTTCCGATTTAGCGGAAGTTCTGCCGAAGTGGAACTAGCCAGTTTCAAATAGGGTTTTCCGATTTAGCGGAAGTTCGAGCCATTTTTCCGAGATGTGAAATTGATTCCATTATACTGTAAAAGGTCATCTCAATTTTTTTCGCTTTAAGTAAATCTTTGCATGATGTCATTGTTTATGCAAAATATCTGGCTCGTAAAAGGATAAATGAGCACAAACATGCTCGCTAAATTTTTTCTAAAACAAAAGGATTCATTTGCAGTATTTGCGTCTAGCAGTCGCATTCGGCCGATACGCGTATGCTGTAAATGAATTCAAACACGGTGCTAACGTGTGTGAAGTCGTTTAAAAAAGATAAAGCATATGTTAACAAGGACAAAAGTAAACAATTCTGCTTTTGCTTGCTGGATGATATCCTGGGCAGGGAGGGTATCTCTCGATATCTAATTTTTCTTCATTAACCTGCGATACTGCGGTCCTTAGATTTTCCCATTTTCTTTGGGAGACCTGATCGCAGGTTATTTCTATATTTGCTACATCAAACGTAAATAAGAATCCTTTTCATTGTCTCATCGAGTGCCATATACTGATACAATAATTTATAAACAGAAAAGGAACACCATTGTATATCTCCTCTCCTACAAATTGGGAAAGACGCCGGAAAGTCTCCAGGCATCGCATCTCGCAATTTTGTCTACTTGTGGATATCTATTTGACTCTGTGCATTTTGTGGGTCAGGGTGAGGGTTGAAAACTATGGCAAAAGCTCAATAAATTCATACAAACGGTAGGATGTGCAATTATAGTTATTGGTGCAATCCAACTAACTAACCGAATGCAAATATTTTTTGACACTGGTGCGAAATTCGTTGAGTTCCCGCAAAGGTGTGGGATTGCAGAAGAAAGCCTCATATATGACAACTTATTGAATAACAAAAAAATAACAAAGCAGCACATATGTTACTAGCCTGTGTACAGACGTCCCCCCTCCCTCAGATATGAGGGAGGGGGACGTCTGTACACAGGCTAATATGTTACATGCATATTCTTTGGAAAAACACACATTTTAAGCTAGTTCAAAATGAAGGTTTAAACAAATTAGACTGAGTACCTGCTTAGTTTTGATGGTAGAAAGAATAGGGTGAAAACCTTCTTCCCACGCTCCGTATAAAAACCCAGCATTAGAAACATTATCACCACAGGTAGCCCAAGCTCGAAATATGAGCGTCGGCGAGCATCGGCACTGTTGCGTAACATTCAAAATATAAGGATTTGTATGGGAAAAAAACCTATCGTTTCTGTAACCTACGAAAATGAAAGGATTACAATAAAAAACAGCTTACCTTACTTAAAATGTGTGTTACGTCTCTCCTGTGTGGTCCACGGGTCGATTTATGGCCCTTTTATGAGTTTTTATGGAAACGGTTTTCTCTCTATATAAAGGTTTACCTTTTGAAATCCTTTCATTTTCGTAGGTTACAGAAACGATAGGTTTTTTCCCATACAAATCCATATATTTTGAATGTTACGCAACAATTCCCGATGCTCATATTTCGGGCTTGGGCAACCTGTGTTATCATCTGCCATACATCAGCACCTTTGTTTCTGAGAGTGCAAAGCCCGACTTTCACAGCGTATTGTGATGTTTGCTTGCACTATTTTCGTGCCGTGATTTGTTGGGGGCTGAAGAGGAATACTCCATTTTTTTTCTCGTTTTCTTCAGCCTGAGACTCTAAAGAGTTGGCCATGGAAATTACTTTCTTGAATCCTGATTTTCTTGATGAGTCGAAAGTTGAGCGCTGCAGGTTGGTCTCGTAAAGTGAAGTTATAAACAACTCAGCAATTTACTTACAGTAGTCGGCGTTAAACGAATTCCACGTATAAAAAGGCTAGAAATTGAACTCATTAATAACACTTTTGGGCATTCACATGCGCCATTCGGATCGGCATACAAAGAGAAAAATAGACTTTCATTAACGCCAACATCAAAGTTATTAACACCATCTTGAAAGTCAATAGAACAAGAAACAAACATTAAAGTGCAAACACTATTCATTATCATTTTTATGACACTGTTTTCCATTCAATAGCATTCCTGGACAACCTTAGGATGGAAAAGACAAACATGAATGCGCTTGTATAATCAATTGAGCGTTCCTTACATTTAATACACAAAAATCGATTTTCAATTAAACAATAGAAATTCAAACAGGTCAGCGACCATTTACGAAAGGAACAACTGCCTCGCCCTCCTGATTGTCAGTAAATATCTCAAAGTTCCAGCCATCGTGCAATTTAAGAAAACGACATCTGATAGTTATATTATTCCATCTTTCTGAACAAATACCATGAAATCTTCAATAGCCCACAGAAGGAAAATTCTATTTAACCATTTACCAGGGGAGTGCCGCAAAGCTGTATCCCTGGGTAGTTTTATTAAAAGCATTCACGTACACGAGTCGAATACAATTATGGATATTGCCGGATTATAGTAACCTGTACCGTAAAACGTTTTAGAAGCTTCTGATAGTTGCACTGTCGAATGTTCTGTGAAATTGTTTAGAAGAATTAATTCCAAAGTATTTCAAGATATTTATACTGTTTCATTCTAGCGTTTTTAACTTATTTTAGTCGAAACATCAGTGTAATTATACATCCTCTCTTTTATGTAGTTACTCTATTTATACACGACCCCTCAAGCTACCAAGCTTTAACCCTCATCGTGTTTAAATAAAGGTTTTGATTGATTGATAACTTACCGTTTTTCCCACAGAAGCTTCTATTAAAACCAAACTTGCTAATGCATGAACAACTTGCTTGAGCAGTACCATGGAAAAGCAACTTTTCATTGGCACCATTCTTTTGTTCCATCTGATCCTTTTTGACCACGTATGCCTTGTAAAGGCCAGGATTTTGCACTCTCTCGATCTTAGTGATCGAGATCGTAGCAGTTTTGCGGATTCCTTCTGCTACTTTGTTGTATTCGTTGCTTGTAGGATCAAGCTCGACTAAATGAACTTCTTTTTCATTACCTGAACTTTCCTTTGGTTGTACACACCAATTATCAGGTAGTGGAACACCTGTGTAAAACAAAAAAATAAATAAAGGTAAATTAGAAGACATTAAAGTTATTCCAATATGACTTAATTTCAACGCAGTTATTTTAGTTTTCGTTATGCATAGAAATAAAATCGAACTTAGATCACTTGCTATGCGTGTAAAATTGAACTTAGTCACTTGCTATGCACATATGCGTACTAGCCTGTCATATTCATCGGATAAAGAAAACTTGAAGTAGGCTATCGCCATCGTTTTTTCACCAATGATTATGGGAGTTTAACAAGGACTGCAAGGAGAAGCTTCCCCCAGCTCCTTACAGGGTTCAATGAGTCAAATAACAGGTCTGCACGTGCATCACACCTTTTAGAACATTTTCCTTGGCGTCCAACTTCGTAATGCGTCGTAATGGAGGACAGCAACACACGATCACGAGATTTTCTTTCTCTTCTCAGCTTGGATAAAGTCCTTGAGAATTTAACTTGGATTTATATAGCAATGTTCTCCCTTGCTCTATAAAATCATTAGCTATCTTTTAGCGGCAAGCGCAGTCTTTACCAGTACACCTTGAGTTTGTTGATCCGTCCAAGTATTGATTGTTGTTTATGGGACGAATTCTGTCTATAAGAAGGATATTTAACTCCTCCCTTCTAAAATGTATCTCAAAAATTGTAAAGTATTTTTTTCAGTAAAATGTATCAAACGTCCAAAAATAAGAATTTAGATACATCGCAACAATGCGATGATTTTTGCTTGAAACTCGAGAAGGTTACGTGTTTTTCCTCGCTTTTTTATGGACTAAATATTAACACTGTTCGTTCGTTTGTTTGTTTATTTAAAAAGTGTGCTTTTTTTGGTTTGCTGCTATTTCTTGAAGTTTTGTTCAAGCACTAAAATCACTGTCATTGAACTCAATCCTCAACTGTTCTGTCCGGGTAGTAATCAAGTGAACTAATTACCTTTTCCGATCTCCTTCCTTTTCACATTCCTCTCTTCTCCATCTTCCAGACAAGTTTCCTTCATGTCTTTGAAAACAATCTCACACCTGGCACCATCAATGATTAAAAGCACCGATTTTTGACCATCCTTATGCGCGGTCTCTATCTGAAAGTTTTCCTTTGGGTCATATGGCTGCCAATCCTCCTCATCGTCTTCTTCATAGTACCATTGCGTGTTTTTGCATAGGAGTTCTCCGATTCCTCTACTGTGCTCTTCCTCTATGTACTCAGTCAAAATTTTTAGGATAGATGTGGCCACATCTAGCACGTCTTCTGCGTCGCCTCTTACGGATATGCGACCGATGTAATCTTCTATCATGATACTGACGTCGTGTGTAACTTGCAGGTTATGTATTTTACTTTTCTGTTCCTCGGAAAGGTGGCTAATGGCATCGTCTTCAATCACTCTCTTAGTGCAGTTATCCGCCAAATCTCTCTGTATTTCTTCTTCAGCTTTTTTGATGTCTTGGTTGGTTCCGGCAAATATTTCTAGGTAGCTGTTAACTTCTTGACTCCCCCGTTTTACTGACACGGGAGAATAAAAGGCAGACGAGCCACTTTTTCCAAATCCAAGCATATTAGCAACCCTAGAAAAAAAACCTTTCCCTCCTTCTGCCGAAGAGACACATGATTGCATTGCATTGCGAAGATCGTGAAACATGTGCTTTTGATATATGACGATTCGAATGAAATGAAGTAATTGTGGCTGTCCCTGAGCAAATTTGGCAATTGCGGCTAGCGTCTCTTTGGCAGCTTCTTGTACATCTACTTTGAAATTTCCAGTTCCAATTACAGGAAAAGATATGGAGGTCATCCCGTGATCATCAGCTGCTTTTAGACACTTCACAATGCAACCTTTAATAGAAGCCATTGTCTTTTCTTCTGGCACCATGTGGTAAATTTTTCTGACTTTTAATTTGCCTGCCCCGGTGACTGCGACTGAACCTGGTGGCTGGATACCCAAAGAAGAGCATTCTGCTTGAATTTCTTTTCCTCCAACAGAAATAATTGCCTTACCGACTCCTCCTCCACAATTTAAATCTTTTCTTGATAATATGCCTATTGCATCTGTTACCTCTTTAGTGAGGTCACCAGTCTCAGCTTGAACAATGACACGTCCTATTTCGATTTCAGGTTTGAACAAATCTAATTCTTCTGGGACAATGTAAAAGTCTTCATCTCCATCAGGTGTTTTATCAGGGTGAGACTTTTTTGCAGCCGATCCACGCGACTTTTTGGGTTTTTTCTTTCCACTTACCGTCGTTGCCGGTGTTACTGTGTGGGAAGAGTTTCCTTTGCGACTTTGCAGCTCAGTCTGGAAGGCTTGAACTGAGGGCAAGTCTTGGTCATAAACAACCAAGTGGACCTCTTTCACGCAACTACTTGGATTGTTTTTACTAAATGTCAGTACCTCATCAAAGGAAATAGCAGCAACTCGATCGCGAGGAAACTGAAGGTTTCCAGTTCCAATGGCAGGTATGGCAATACTTAAAAGATTTCTTTTCTGTGCTTCCATCAAGCTCTTCTGTAGGATATCGCTCAATACCTGAAATGACAAATGGTAAAGCGTTAATATACCGAATAGACTGTTTGTGTAGGTAGTTGTCATATGACACACTGAGAAAATGGCGTCTGAATATATAGCAGCTCCTGAAAAGAAAGAAGTATATTTTGCACTTTACACAACAAAGTTCCCCCTCTCCCACTGTGAATCCTTGTTGTAAAATGTTTTAATCCTATATATTTATTTATTCATACAGCTTTGTTTGGACAAGTATAGACTGAGTTTCTCTCATTTACTAAAATCTGGATAAAACATTTATAGCAAGTATATTGTAAACATAAATTGGGGCATTACATAAAACGAAATCTGGCATTATGAATGACTTTTAGAGGTTAAAAAATACTGTACCTGTTCACCCTTTCCATTTTCCCACCCAGCACACGAAGTGTGGAATACATGCTTGCATCCCAGATTTCCTCCGCTGGTCACCTCAATATTACCAGTTTCTACTTTACCAATTGTTTTACATTCCTGCTGAAGCGTAGGACCAGCCGCGTCACTCAGAGCTTTCGAACTTGCGTTTCTACTGAGATCTAGGTCTGAGGAGGTAGAGTTTACGATGGCGTCAACCTATTAAGGAAACAATAAAACATCATTACTCAATCATCATTTATCTCAATTGTGTAAAGCTGTTGCCAACTAAAAAGTCGTAATTGCCGGCGTGAATGGGGCGTGCTAAATGCAACCCAGATAAAAAGCAAGACTACAATCTAGTTAACTGGGAATAAGCAACTGCGATAAAATCAGCGGTTTTCTTCTTAAAATTGAGTATTCTTCTCTTTCAACATTTTTCATGAAAAGAAGATAAGAAATCACGATGGATATCGGATACTATAATTACCATACAATGTTGCGAATAATAATTATGGATAATTTGAAAAGCTATAGTCAAACGTCATTTTCTCGTTTTTTCAACCCTATTCGGTGTCTTAGGTTACCAGATGAAGCACTTCTTCTTCTAACCAGCAATTTATGTTTTGCAGTAATCGTAGCAGCGATGTCTGTCTGTTCACTGGTGATTATTCAGTACCAACTCTCAGTTAAGCTGAATGTTTATCAAAAGAGGGGGGAGGTACATAATAGGGAGGAGGGAGAAATTGGCTGAAAAAGTAGGGAGGAGGGAGATTTACCGTCCTGTACCTCCCCCCTCTTAAAAGGTCTGTGATTTCAAAATTACTTCTGGGTCATTTGCAAGTATCCATTTTCTTTTTTCCCCTTAAGTAGTCCAACTTTGTCGTTAAACCTTTAGGAACACTTTACAGAGAGGAGCTGTGAATTTCACAGATGCCGTTTAAATAAAGTAGGGTGCAATGACTCACCTCTTCGCGAGTCATGTCACCAGGGACAACAACCACTTTTAAACCTTCTGCCGACATCATCTCATTTGATTGAGTTTTTTTAGGGGTATTATCCGAGACAGCTAATGGCGTTGAAGGGTTTGCCTTTTTCTCTTTCCTGCTTTTGCGTTTTACTTCGCCACTTACTTCTGATGCGACTTTCCCTTTCGAAGAATGTTGAAAATTGGGATCTTCCCCAAACCTGGTTGTCATCTCGGTAACAAAAGCTTTGACAGCCGCATCGTCAATACTAGTAAACTGAATTTCGGACAACCGGCAGCCTGGGTTTTTTTTAAAAAACTCCAATGTTGCATCGACCATAATGTTTGCGCACAGGTCACGTGGAAATTCATAGGACCCTGTGCTTATAGCAGGGAAGGCTATTGATCTGAAATGTTTTGCAGCCTCCAAGGCATTAGTCACTGCATAGTGAAGTAACTTTTCCTCCTTTGGAGTTTTTCTCATTGACTTTTGTCGCGCTGCTTCCTCTCTCCAAAATGGCCCCACTGCATGAATGACTTTCTTGAAAGGTAACTTTCCGGCAGTCGTAGCGACAACTTGACCCTCCAAAATGAGACCTTGTTCTTTGAATAACTTGTCACATTCTTCCTGGATGGCTTCTCCACCAGCATCAAGTATAGCTTTTGCGACACCAGTCGAGTTGTGTTGGAGATTTTCGTTGGCTGAATTAACAATAACATCCACGTTACGATCGCAGATGTTGTCCTTGAACACCTTGATGGTTCTACCCTCTGGTGTTTGGAAGCTACACTCGTAATCCTTCTTCAATTTCTTTGCGTCTTTGTTTCCTTCTTCGTTAACGCTACTTGACGGGAAGTCTTGCTCGGCATCAAAATACTCAATCACGCACTTGCTTTCGCTTTCCACTAGGGCCAACAGTTTCTTTCCTTTACTTCGATTAAGGTTTTTTCGCATTCCAGGTTTGTTAAGAGGTATCTTCTTTCTCTCAACAGTTGAAGTTAAATCTTGGATCATTTTCATTCCCCTTTCAACTCCATCGCTTGTTCCAGTAACTGTGACACCATCTTCGTCACATTCAGCAATCCCCTTAACGATCGTAGAATTCTTGTTTAATTCTTCCTGTATCTGGCGAAGCTTAATTTCCCGGTGCTTCGCCAGAAACCGCCTACAGCCCATGGGAAGTTCCAAAACTTTGCTGATAATTGTGTTCTCGTTTAGGAACCGTGTGACACTTTTCAATGCAATGGAAACATCCCTCTTTTCCCCCGCAAGTTGTAACCTCTTACTGTTTCTATCAAACATGATGCTAAGAATGTGATTTTCAATTAGCTCATCCCTAAAAAGGCGCCATTTTTCACTTTTTTCTATCTGAAGCTGACCATCTTCTAAGACAAGGCATTCTTCGACAATCATCGCTTTCACTAAGCAGGACGCCTTTTGAGCTATCTCAGAACTCATCCCTACGACGGCTGCAGCGTTAGGCGGTATTTCTTCCTCTTCAACACCAAAGGCTACAAGGGCTGGCAAATTGTTGGCTTTAAATCGCTCTTCAATGAATGACTGACAAGCTTTACCTTTAAGAACTTCAATCGCATTTTGAGACATTTCGAGGGTTATTATCTTTACGCTAGAAATTGCCTGCCACACATCCGCTCTTGCCTTTTCAACGACATGAGAAGGCCCTCCAATATGGACTTCGTGTTTGTCCACAAAAATGTCCACTTTTGTGTTTTCATATTTGACTTCGAGTGTTTTGTGAAAGTTGAAGTCATTCAAGAACGCTAGGGGCTGTCGCGGAACTTCTCCAACTGTGATTGTTTTTTTTGATGCTTCCAGTGCTAATTGCTTCTCTACCTCGCTCTTCAAATCACTCAATTCGCCACTTAAATTCTCAACGTCTTTCCTTTTCCCGCTTAAAAGAATTTTGCACTGCTCATCCAGGAACTCCACGCTCATGCTGTCGTTCAAGGTGCTTTGCTTGAGATGCTCGACAACGGCCTGCCAGGCTTCTGCCGTCACGTGCATGGTGTATGTCTGAAACGCAGCGACAAAAGATACAATTTCTTTACACGCATGTTCAAAATCATCTTCAGATGTTTCAGTTCCCAAGTTGTTGACAGTTATATTGTTGGAACCATTTTCCCAGCGTACTTTGACACCATGTTTATCTTGGAGTTGGGCAAAATCAGTTTTATGACGTTCAAAAATAAACTGCATGACTTGTCCTTCCACCTGAATTTGTTTGTCAAGCTCAAGAGGATCAGGTAGAGAGGCTGGCTTGCCAAGGACAGGGTTGTGGCACTTAACTTCCAGCCGCGCTCTGTCGAGTGTATGCTCCTTGGCAACAACGGCATTAACAACTGCAAAAAAACAAGAAACATAACAACGCCTTACTTCGATTTCCTACAAGCTACAAGTCAATTGGTGACAGGCTAAGAAAGATATCTCCGCTCTGAAAAGGACTACAATGAATTTCCTTTTAGCGCGACGCTACATACCCTCTGGGTTCTCGAAGGAAACTAAAGCCCAGCCATTCTTTATATCCAGTTCTACTCTGCTGACTTCACCGCCACCGCTCTTAGGACTTTCAAAGTAGTAACGAAGGGCATCCTCGGTCGTGTTTTCCCTGTTCAACCCTGTTACTTCCACGCAGTGACAAACAGGCACTTGCTCTACTGCCAGAGTATTGCCATCAAGAGGTCTCTTTGCAACTTTCTGGGTAATAGTGTCGTAGCCTGAAAGTGTGAAAGAATACCATCGGTTAATTATGTGACCAGATTCTCCTTATTTAATGTTAGGCTGATGACTGTGGCATAATTATCATTTTGTACTCTTCTTATTTGTCTTGGGTGTAAAGTTGTTCTTTGTAGTTTTCTCAAGAAAAAGGCAGCGTGACTTGAACTTGTTCTCATAACATCATCTAACTACATTATGCTCAGAGATTAGGCTAATCGTTTTATAAGAGGGAATATTTCATATTTTGCAATACCTTCCTTTTCTTGGTTTTGGAATCCTCTATTATTTTCGTAAGATATTTTTCTACAAAAATTGTTTTCATTAAAACAGGACCAGCTAGCTAGGCCTCTGTTGACCAGTCTACGAAGACGTTGTTTCCTTGGGAGAGGGTGCATAGGGCTCGAGAAAGAAGAAAGAAGAGGTTGTACCTTTTTCTTCAGAATAATATCTAACATATGTGTACTATAACAGTGGATAGTGTTTTTCGCGTGCTCTGATTGGCGACTCAAACTCGGGATATCCAGTGCTATGCACTGATTCACATCCACCTCCGCTGAGCGGACGACGACAAACAGCAAAATGGCTTCCCGGTTTGCTGCCGTAACAAGCAAAGAAATTTTACAAGTAACCAAACAAGCTGTTTCCAAAATACACGAAGAATGTGAAGAAATTCGGTTTTGGAAGTTTTAACAGGTAAAGCTTTGTGTTTGACTTGAATTTATCGATGAAAAAGTTTTTTTTGTTTACAAATGTAAATTAAGTCTTGCCTTACTTTATTTAGCTGACATGTTCAGGAATAAGCTTAAAATCAAAATTAATAGTTTATTTTTACTGAATGGTTTCAAATACACAGAGAATTCACAAATCCTTTACTAAAGAAAGTTCCCCGCAAGAGCTAAACAAATACCTTCAAAAATTCTATTTGTCGGCAAGAAAACACAACGGCCGTTTTGTCATTTGCTCACCAAAATTGTACTCTTTGGCACAGTAGATGAGTTAAAAATCATCATTAATAATTGATCTGCTCGCCACAGACAAATCACGATATTTTGCTCAATCTCGTCCAATAATTGTTAATTATTATTCATTCACAATATTCCCCCGATTCTGATTGGCTAAGAGCACACGATAACTCACCATAACCAGCTACTGATGGCCAAATTTGGAAGAGTTTTGCGATTAATGAACCGATGACGTCAAAAGTGTTTTCAGAACTAGGAATTATTTTGAATGAATAATAAAACAATTATTGAATTCGGCTTTCGTATCATGTGAAGAATTATGGAGATCTCGGAGGGTGTTATCCGCCTCGACCTACGGCCTCGACTGATAACACGCTCCTCGATCTCCGGGATCCATAATTCTTCTTATTATACTCAGCCTCATTCATTAATTGTTAATTTTTCTTTTGTGTTTTAAGATTGGTAATTATTCATTGAAAATATTTCTCGGTTTCTGATTAGCTAAATTTCCCCGGATATTTATTTAGAACCGGGCAGAATTGACCGAATTTGAAAGATATTTAACGATATGAATACGATTGACGTCAGCTCTATTAATATAAACAAATGTGGAAAAAATGGTAGAGGATTTCATACGTTATACGAAGAAGAAATAGCTCAACTGCTAGCTAAAAACAGCACGGGAATAGCAAAAAAGCCACCACCAAGAACAAAACAAAAGCAAAAACACTGAACGGATGACAACTGCTATTTAACACAATGTCTTCAAGAATAAACATCCCAGCATAGCCTGAACCTGCCGAGGAACAGACGTTTTGCTGAAGTTGGAAATGTTTAATTTCAAATCTCTGAGAGTACTATCCACCTCGGACGATCCCACCTTCCTTGATCTACATAATGTTTTATACACCCGATTGAAAAAAACGTCGTCACTTGAAAAGTATTAGCCATGAACGATCAGGCCTAATGTAGAAATTTATTAGCATTGCAAATTTAATGTTCTTTCCAGAAACGTCTACATTATCGAAGCTTTTAATTTCCGATGATGCATTCCAAAAATGGTCGAACGGTTTCCAGTTTTCTTGGATATAAGCCCATAATTTCACCTGTGCAGGGCATTTCAGGGATCTCTATAGTTAAAGAGCGCTGCCATATGAAAATCATAAGATAGGACACAAAAGCTGTCATCTTGGAAAACGTAAAAAGACAACGACATGCCGCACAAAGTACTCTATTAGGGATTTGCAGACGCACGAGAAGCTCGAACTTTGAATTTGCGTTGCTAATGAACGTATACTTATAAATCCTTGAAGCCTCATCATTCATGGTTTATACTTTTTAAGCGAAAACGTGTATTTTCAATCAGTTACATCATACTCAGCCTCATCCAGTAACTGATTATTAAACTAAATAAACTAACGTACTATATGTTTCCTTGAATTCAACTAGTGCACAGCCTTGCTCTCCAAATTGTATATCTGATACTTCCAGTCCACTTGCTACTTCCATGAATGACTCTAAGCCGTCCCTGGTAGTTTTTTCACTCAAACCTTTCACAAAAAGCCTCTTAGTATCAACTGGCAGTTTCTTGGTTGGTTTGCGCAGCGTGACCGTCAGCTTTGCTTTGTCAAGGGTGAGATTTTCTTTATTCAAAACTCGTTGTGCACCTTAAATATAACATTAAAAAATTGTTAATGAACAAATTTTACAGAAATGCATGTCTATCTTGAAGGATAGGGAATTACGAATTATAGACGACTGGGGAACAACTAACTAAGTGAGTGATAATGTTAGACCACGGACGTACAAAAGCCAGAACTCCTTGTCTTTAGAAGCTTTTTATTCATATTGTTCGTCGAACACCTCTTAAAAAAATAGCACAGGGATTTTTTAACCATCGTGAGTAGCTTATTTTCTTTTCCAGACATTGAGCTGTGTTGTAGGGGCGGGATGACTAGGTTGTCCAATGGATGTAGCGTAGAAAATAACGAAGGAAATCAGGTCCCGTTTTCTTCTTTATGAACGTTTTCGCCTATCGTATAAAAACCGATTGCACCTCGTTTCTGGTTGATCAATAGGGATAGAGAAGAAAAAAAAAAGAAAATAGACTAATAATTTTTTCTAATAGGCCCTAGTTGGGGATATCAACAAACTCACTTTCAGCTGACTTAAACGTTATGACAGCAAATCCTTTTTCAGGATTGAATTCCACCGTATCTATATCTCCGCCGCCGGATCGCCGAGTGTTTTCAAAAAAGTTTCTGATAGAATCTTCGGTTGTTGTCGGAGCAATTCCATTTAATTCAATGGTTCGAGATTCTTCCATATCTTCTTGGTCAGTCTGCTCAGCTGCCTGGACGCTTACTTTAACTACCAGGGAAGCTCCGTCCAAGCAATGCTGTTCACTTTGTAACACAGTCTTCAGAACTAGAAGTGAAGAAATCGAAAGATTGGCTGTCAGATTTTTTTTACTTTTGGGTAGTGAATACAGAACGTGTACCGTAATTACTTCAATTGCTCACTTCTTTCTCCAATTCAGGTTTCAACAGGGTGAAATTTTGGAAGGGTCTGACTCAGTCAGACGATGTGCCTTTAAGAAAGATTGTTAAAAAACTCTTAACTCTTACGGTAAGGTGTGTTTGGGGAGGAGGAGTCAGGAATTTCCTTTACACTGTCGTTTGATTTGAGGATGTCAGCCAGAAAGACTGGAAAGACTGGACCTTTCTTCTGTTGACAGGTGATCTGATGTTGAAACAGGACCAGGTCGTTCTTCAAGACGTTGTGGGGTTGTCTCTGACAGGTTAATTTAAATGACAATTTTGAAAAAAAAACGGTCTGTTATGAAAGGTCGTCAGAAGGGGTTGTAAAACGCAACTGTTTATGGCGTGTTCGTTGTGGATCCATCAGGACCGTTGTTTTTATATTGTTCGTTGTGGTTAATTTAAAAGCGGGACAATTTAAAGACAATTTTAGTTTTAGTCAAAAAGAAAACGGTCTGTTATGAAAGGAATTCCGCACAGAAGGGGTTCTAAAACGCAACTGTTTATGGCGCTGCTGAGGCTGGACCTGTGACATCCATCAGGATGGTCGCCAGTTTGGATTTTGATAAAAATCTAAAAACCCCAATTTTTACGTGTGCAAAATGTGTTTGAGGAAAAAAAAATGACTAGCTCCTGAAGAGAGAAAGGTCTGGTTTAAAGACATTTTGACAAAAATCCTGGGGAAAATTGTTAAGAGGGTGGAGAGCACATCTGAGGGTTGAACAGAAGAAAGCCAATGAGTGACAAAACCAACAAATGAGGAAATTAAGGTGGTTTAAAATGCATGAATCGATGAAAACATTTCAAAGTAGGTTCGAAATGCAGACGCGCCCAATAGTTTCTTCATGACCCTATAACTGCAGTTTCACAACTTTTCAATTCCACACAATGTTTTTTTGTTTCTTTTTTCCTGTTTTCGCTCTTCCTGGCTAACTGCGGTCTTTGAGCAGGGTACACAATGACTTACCATTTGCATCCTCGAAGGTCACAAAAGCCGTGCCTGTGTCACGTTGAATAGTTACACTTTCTACCGCTCCACCACCAGATCGCCGCTTGTTTTCAAAGTAGTTCCAAAGGGAGTCTTCAGTGGTTTTCGCTGCAAGGCAAGTGATCATGATGGTCTTCGCAGCTTCCTTGTGTTTTTCAGCCATCTCTTTGGTGACTTCGAGATTAGCTCCATTCAAAATGTGCTTGTCTTTTTCAACAACACGTTTGGCCACTAGAACAACATGATTTTATGTTGAGGTTTTGGTGGTCAATTGACACATCCATAAAGTTATTATCAGCAGCAAGAAAAAGTTTTAGTGACTACTTTAATATAAAAGACAAAAAAAAACAAAACGAAAAACAACTGTGATTTTACAGAAATAAAATTCGTTCTCTCTGTACCTTGATAAATTATAAAATATTGTTGAGTTACGATTTGAAATTTAAATTAGTTCACCAAGCAAATTGTGTTTAAATTACGCACTGCCACAAATAAAGCTGTTGCCTTTTAGAATACTATTTTTTCTTTATAAATTGAGTTTATGACTCTCTCTACATCGTTGCTGCTGTTTTTTTCAGTATCGTCGGTTACAATTACAGTTTGAAGCTTCAGTTATGAAGGTACCTTTAAAGTAGTCTCATCTCGGGCAATAAAACTGTCTTAAATTGTTGGAAATTGTGTGTTTCAAATTACCTTCTGATGATTCAAACTCGACTCTTGCTGAATTTCCGTTGATTTTCAGTTCCTTAACTGGCCCGCCACCCGAACGCCTCGTGTTTTCCAAGTAGTTCAATAGACCGTCCTCAGTTGTATTCTTGGAGAGTCCACGGATGAGAACAACACTGGACTGCAAGTGAAGGTAACAACTCAACGCAGTGAAATCGTTATTTCTCCTTAGGTGTAAGACCAGTAAACATAATTACAACCCGTCTACTGCATAATAAAAAAGAACACAGATTTTTAATGACTCGATCTGAGTTATGATAACCTGGGAAACACTCGAAGCTACACGAGGACGAGAGACCTATGCCAGTCGTACAAAATTGCCGATCTGATGATTCACTTTGGCACAAGACAGATGCATCAGTGGCTTTATCAAAGCAGAGATGAAGTCATGGGTGCCTCGTGCATGACCTCTTTTTGTATACTGATTTGATTTTATAAAGTTATAAGTTCAGATTTAAAGGTTTCAAAGTTTTGGTCTTGCTTCTCGAAGATCTTCATCTACAGATCGAAGTTTAAAGCGGTTGACAAAGAACTTGATAAAAATATATACACGTCTTATTCCTTAGTTGTGACTCTAAGCTTTTTGAGTTAAAAACCCGCTGTATTCTTTCGTGGCTTAATTATTGCTCCACTGTATGGCACACTTTTTGTCTTAAAAGCGACTCTGATAAACGAGAAAAGCTGAATTAAAGAGCTCCAAGGGGTGTATTCCGAGATACCAGCAATTACGAAAATCTATCGACGCAAGAAGAGAAAACCTCATTTTACAAACAACTACAACCGTTTAAGTTTAAAATATTGATTCATTAATTTGCTTACTCCGCATTAAACATTCAATTTACATGTAGCTCTATAGTACATTAAAATGTTCTCTTCCAAGCCCATTACTATTTTTCCCGGGCTACGACTTCTTGTGAGCCGCAGATTTTATCTCAGTGACCAACCTGTAATTCAGGTTCCTCACTAGTGGACGGATGGTACGACACCTCAACTTGTGCACCATTAATAGTATGTTTTCTGAGAGTCACATTTCTAGCATCTGCCGAGAGAAGAAGACAATATCGTTCCATGTTATTGGTTGCTGCCCTCAATGAAACTTGATAGATATCTGTTATTATTATACATGGTACTCACTATCTGTCTTCATATTGGCTAAGAGCCTACAGTTAATTTTTGGAAATCAGCGCAACCTACAAATTAGTTAGTTATAGCTAGAGGATCAGTGACTAATCTGTAGGTTGCGCGAGTATGATTTCAAAGAGAAATGTCAACGGCTGTGTTCCATGCGATGCTCTGTTTGTCCTTATTTTTCTTCAATACAATGTATAATAAAACAATTATTAGATTCGTTTTTTTTCTGTGATATCCCGAATAATCAAGGTCTTGGTTGGCGTTATCGGCCTCCGCCTTCGGCTCTGCTAATAACACTTCCTCGACCTTTATTCTGGATACCACAAAAATCTCATCCTATACTCGTTTAGAATCTGATTGGTTCTCAACAAGGCCTAAAATTGCTTAATTTGGCCAATGTAGCAACAGAACCTCCCAATTTGGAGCACAAAGTAATAACTCTCTGAATCCACCCAAAGTCACTTATATCCTAGGAATATTTTTCTTTAAAAGAAGCATTTATTAATAAGTTTTTTTACACACAAATTTTTAGCAAAAGTCAATATTGTACGATAGTCGACAATGAGAAGAGCGATTTTTTAAAGTCGAGGCAAATGTTTGCCTTTATGCCCAAGTAAAGGATTGTTTCCTCAATGAAATAAAGACGATGTAATTTTATATCAGTGAAACCAAAGTAATTATTTGTGTCCTTAATAGTTATGATCTTCCAGTAATTTTTAAAATCAAAAGGTGAAATTACCTTCTGCTGACTCAAACTTGACTCTTGCTGTATCTCCAGTGATTTTGACTTCCTCCACTGGCCCGCCACCTGAACGCCTTGTGTTTTCCAAATAGTTCAACAGGTCGTCTTCAGTTGTACCCTCTGAGAATCCACGGATGAAAACAACACTGGACTGAACATATAAACGAGGTTGAGACATATTCGTTTCAGCTAAATCATCTACCTTACGGACTCTGGTCGACTAACCCTCGGACGTACGCGCAAATTCACACCCCCACCGTGGTATAAGGGGCGCTTGACGGACCCCCTCCTTGGATTTTACCAAGAATTAGAAATCAGGTTAAAACCGCAAGAAATGGTAATTTTTTGTGCTTGATATATAAAATAACACATGAATAAGCATTTTGCATCAGTTGATCCACAATCTTTACATTTATTATTGAAACAAGTTTTCACTCTAAAATGGCTTGACAATCGGCTACTTCTGACGTCACGTCTCGTAACCATAGCAACTGACCATCAGTAAACTGGTCTCAAAATGCGTGCGAGGGATAAGCTAACAGCTATTGAAAACGTCAGGTGCTAATATTTTATCGTCTAGGACAAAAGACTCCGAAAAACCTCAGATGGGGTGGGGGGGGTTGTTTGGCAACCACCCACCTGGTACGTCCGAGGGTTAAGTGATTATATCTATTGAATCAAAATGTTAAACCTTAAGGCTTGATGATATGCGTTGCATTGGCCAAAAGCAAATCCTAGGAAAACTAGGAAAAACCCTATAGCCATTCAGATGAGCTACTGGCAACACCTTGAAAATTAATGATTAATTTATAATTGCCTTAATTTTGGAGCATTGTATGTCAGAAGGGTTTATTATTAAAGAATAGAGGCCAGGGAGTTTCCTGTCCCGAACCCTTCCTCTTTTCACGTGGTGGAACATTTTACTTCATACTCAGAAGAGTCAGCTCTGTTTCTAAAACAGATTGCTACTGTGAGTAACCCGAAACCTTTCAAAACCCTGACCCATTATTACCCTTGGCCTGGAAACCAAGTTAAGGCAATCATGGAGTCATTACTGCTTTACAAGAGATTTCAGTTTAGTGTCTGACCTGACTTGGCGACAATTGAGAGTTTTCCTCGGTGAACGGATGGGATGACATCTCAACTTGTACTCCGTTGACTGTGTGTGTTCTGAGAGTCACTTCTCTAGCAACTACCAAGAAAGAAATGTAATTTTTATTGCCTTTTGCTAAAAGGGGTTGTGTCATTGTTGGCTAGTTCATTTTGCTTATAATCCCAATTACATGTACTTTTTAGCTACGAAACTTAAGGAATCATTAGTGAATGAAAAAATCACAGCCTCCTGTCATACTAGTATGTCTCCCATGGCATTATATTAAAACGTTACGAACACCAAAAGAGAACTTTGGAAAACTGATAGGCTAACAAGTTCAAAAACCGTAAATACAATCCGTTTAAATCTTCTTCAAGTTTGTCCATCCGCACATCCGTTTCGATTTTTAGTATCATTTAATCCCTTCTTCTAACTTTTTGAGCAGTTATTTTATATTTCACTCAATTTAGTGGAAAATTTCCACTGTTTGAATGTTGATAAATTTCGTGACACAACTCCTTCTACTCATCCAAAATTACTTATTTCCTACAAATGCGTTTTCCTTATCACTTAAACTTTCTAGATACCTGTTACACAATCTTTATTACCAGGACCTCTAAACCTTTATAAAGGGTAGCAAGAAACGTAAACGACTTTGCGTAGACATTCTTGGCTGAATGATCAAATGCGATGTTGATTTTCGAAACTCTAATACTAGTTACCGAGAGTGGCTTTGAATAAAGTACATTTTAACCTCCACGCTGATCACAAAATTGACATGCTCTTGTGTGACTTCAAGAGACATAAATTCAGGATCTGAAAAACAGGGTTTTATTCATACTTATCCCTTTCTTAAGGTCGCTATTGTTCTTGCATCGCACTGCAAGGCATCTTACTGACGTGTTTTACCTTTTAACAGCAGTTTAATTTCAGTTTGTGAATTACAAGAATATTTCTAGAACTCTAAACTTGTTTACTTGTATCTTAAGTCACGTCTTCCTTAATTCACGTTTCTACCGTCCTTGCAAAAGGTGTGATTACCTTCTGATGACTCAAACTTGACTCTTGCTGAATTTCCAGTTATTTCCAATTCTTCCACTGGCCCTCCACCTGAACGCCTCGTGTTTTCCAAATAGTTCCACAGGCCATCTTTAGTTGTATTATCGGAGAGTCCACGGATGAAAACAACACTACCCTGAGGGTGAATCTATGGGTGACAGAAAAAGTAGACGCAATACGCAGTTACGAACATTCGTTAAGCCCCCAGCTAAATTGTCTACCTCACTCGAGTAAGATGAATTAATTTTATTGCACCTCAATAGTCCAAACTCAACCGGGAAAGACCTTACCGCTAATTAAAATTCATGTATAGGTTAGTAAGTTTCCTCGTGAGCATGAAGTAACAAGGGAAGAGACCCTGAAGTTCAGTTCTATACCTTTTAGCCCACCCCTGTTTTCTCCATTAGGCACGAGTTACGGCGAAAATTGGAAAATCATACAGTGTTCTTTGAATTTATGTACGTGACTTTGTGGTCACGTTATCGCATAACAGAAGTGTCGTATCGTAATCAACAGATGATTTACTTCTCTTGACTTTTGATGGTAGGCCCTCTTTACTTAAACCTTAACTTATAAGGTTTTAAAAAATGTGCGACCTTTATAATCTTCCACGTGTTAAAGTCAAAAGTCCCGGAAATCATACTTATCACCTTTTCCGCGGCCCCAAAAAGTCTGTTTTAATTGTCGTTACCTCTATTAAACGATCACTTTGTCAATATGTACCAAGCTATGTTAGTGAAATATATAGACTGCATGGCGTGTAGTGGTTGTTAGCTCAGACTGAGGTAGACTGAGGTAGAAATTTACACTTATAAGGTTAATTTGTTGTGTGATGGATATTTTGCTTAGTTGCCATCTTCAGTTTCTTTAGTGATTAACCTTTAGGATTGTCAAAGCTATTTAAGCGGTCAGTTAGCTATTCGCCAAGAGTGACCGTTAAACATACAGGTTTGATTGTAGCGTACCGCACCCTTCCACAAAATTATACCAAAACATAAAAAAGAACAACGAAACAACAAAAAAGGAAAAAAAGAAAAACGAATAGCCATAGCCATTTCCAAGGACGAGAGCAAAAAAGAGGAATGAAGGGGGAGGAGGAGAGGAGGACAGGAAACCTCTTCTCCCATCACCCTTCTTCCATTTGTGTTTGTTTTTGCTCTCGCTCCAACTTTCCCTTAATAGTTCGACTGGAACAGCTTGCCGCGCCGGTTCATGTAATTAGTGAAGTGACTAACTTCCATAGTCACAATCCAGATGCTTCTTTATGTTGTCAAAAGGAAAATACACAGAAGCTGCGTATTGAGAGTTTTCAATAACCTGGTCCATCTATACCCTTAACACCGATCCTTTAGGATCTTTAGGGGCAATTATGAAGTCTCTACAACTGCTTTCACAAGAGATTCCTCCTTAATGACTGACCTGATTTGACTGTGATTCAGAGTCTTCTGTGAACGGATTGCATGACACCTCAACTAGTGCTCCGTTAACACGATGTGTTCGAAGTGTTACATTTCTAGCATCTGCCAAATGAACAGTGCCATCGTTACTTATCTCTTTAATATAGTTTACCTGATACCTGTGTACCTTTTCTTGCTGAAACTCATTAATTAAACCATTACAACTATACAAAAAAAGAAGGTTCAAGCCTTTTACAGAAGCTTTGTTAGTCTCAGCACACAAGCTTAAAATGTTAGTTGTGTAGCAGGAAAGGTAACCAACTTTATTTTGCGTAGATGATTCTCCGCTAAATGATCAAATGTGTTGTACACTATAAGAACTGCTTCTCATCAATAAAATTGCGTTTTGAACAAAACGAGGATTTTGTTTGTTTGTTTTGTTTTTTATGAACTTTTAACGTCTTAATTTTCTTAGGAAGACCCTCCACGCTGATCACGAAATTGAAAGGCTCATGCTGTGTGAAGTCATGAGACATATATTCAGGAACTAAAAAACAGGATTTTATTCATACTTTTCCCTTTGTTAAGTTCTCCGGTGTTGTTGCATCTCGCTACTGGCATGTTTTACCTTTAAAAAGCAGTTTCAGTTTGTGAATTAGACTGAGAAATATTTCTAGAACTCCAAACTTGTTTTCTGGTATCTAAAGTCACGTGTTCCTTAATTTGCGTTTCTACCGTCCCTGCAAAATATGTACTTACCTTCTGATGACTCAAACTTGACTCGAGCTGACTTTCCAGTGATTTTTAATTCCTCCACTGGCCCTCCACCTGAACGCCTCGTGTTTTCCAAATAGTTCAACAGGCCATCTTCCGTTGTATCCTCGGAGAGTCCACCAATGAAAACAACACTAGCCTGCGGTTGAATTTGGGTAACAGAGAAAAGATAAAGCCCTTAGCTAAAATGCCTACATCAAAATGCCTACGACTGCAAGTAAAATGGGTAATGGCGTCATTTCGTTGCTACTTGGGAGGTATTGACCGTGAAAAACCCCACCGAGCCACCTTAACCGGTTAAGTTTTTCAATATGTACCAAACTTAATGTATACAAGAGCAGTAAATGGACTGCATACCGTTTATAAGTGTTTGTTTACTTCTTTTCTTTTGGGGTAAGAAGAGGTAGAAACAGTCTTTAAGTTTAATAGGTCTTGTGATGGATATTTTGCGTAGATACCATCTTCATTTTTGTGTGTGTTTTCTTCAGTGACCAACCTTAGGAATTGTTAAACTTCTATTAAGAAGTCAGTCAGCTATTAGCCAAGAGTTCCCGTTGAATACAAGTTTTTTTAGTGATTGTAGCGAAATTATTGGTTGAAAAAAAAAATAGAAAAAAAGAAAGAAAGAAAGAGAGAGAGAAAGAAAGAAAAACGAATAGCCATATAGCCTGCGTAGCAAGCGTTTCCGCGGGAGTTCGTCGAGAATGTTGGGACGAGAGCAAAAAAGAGGCCAGGAATGAAAAGGGAGGAGGAGATGGGGAGAAAAGGAAACCTCTTATCCCTTCCCCCTCCTCCTTTTTTCATTTTGTTTTGCTGTCGCTCCAACTTTGGCGCAATAACTCTATTGGAAACGCTTGCTACGCCTGCAAATGAAGCACAAGATCTAACGACAAGCAATGATAATAGTCTTATGATTTACCAGGCGCCTATGTCATGAGCTCCTGGATTAACTTTGTCACAATCCAGATGCCTCCTTTTTGCTGTTAAAAGGAAAATGAACAGAAGCTGCAAATGGCTATTAAACGATTCCATCTCAATGACTGACCTGACTTGAATTTGATTCAGAATTCTCTTCTGTGAACGGATGGCAGGACACTTCAACTTGTGCTCCGTTAATACTATGTTTTCTAAGTGTTACATTTCCAGCATCTGCCAAAAGCAAAATACCATTGTTACCTATCTCTTGAATATATTGTACCTTTGTAAGTGTTTAGTTTTTGTCGCTAAAACTCAGTGACTAACCCAATATTAAGAGCTATTCTTAAAAACACCCCAGCCCTTTACTGAAGCTGGGCGGACGCATGACAAATGTAGTTTAATGCAAAGAAGTGCACCATCCTAAGAGTCTCATGATCGAAATCTCCAGTTGAATACCAATACACCATCCACGGAGAACCCTTGCAAGCTGTAGATCACAGCAAATACCTTGGAATTGAACTACCCAGCGGTCTAAATTGGGATGTTCATTTTGCTGGTATTATAGGCAAAGCCAACAGATCTCTTGGCTTTATGAGACGAAACCTAAATTAGTGTCCAGAAGACGAAAAAGAGCAAGCCTATCTCGCTTTAGTTAGACCACAGCTTGAGTATGGATGTTGTACATGGGACCAGCACATTCAAAAGCAAGATAAAGGACATTGAGAGTGAGCAGAGACGAGCGGCACGTTTTGTTGAGAATGAATATAGCACCTCCCCCGGAACTGTCATGATAATTCTGAATGATTTGAAATGGCCAACACTCGAGAAAAGAAGGAAAGTGACACGACTCACAACGATGTTTAAAGTAGTTTCTAGTCTATCAGCTATACAAGTTCCACCGTATGTATTATTTAAAAGGCGAAAGGGCATTAGGAAATTCCACCCTAACTCATTCATTCAAGTTGATGCTGAAAAAAAAACACAAATTCCAACACAGTTTTACTGCAAGTACAATCAGAGACTGGAACTAGTTACCAAATAGTGTCATTGAAAAGCAGTCAGAAGAGGCTTTCAAAAAGACCGTCATGTGCCATCTATAATTCGCGTTTCTGCCGCCCTTGGAAAAGATTTACCTACCTTCTGCTGACTCAAACTTGACCCGAGCTGAATTTCCAGTGATTTTTAATTCCTCTACTGGCCCTCCACCTGAACGCCTTGTGTTTTCCAAATAGTTACACAGGCCATCTTCAGTTGTATCCTTGGGCAGTCCACGAATGAAAACAACACCAGCCTGAGTCTGAATTTGGGTAACAGAGAAAAATAAACGTAGTAAGTATATTCATTAAGGCCTCAGCTAAATTGCCCACCTCACTCGTGTAAGATGAATTTATCGCAACTCAAAAAAATTAATGCGTTTAAGTTCAATTAGTTGTGTGATGGATATTTGGCTTAGATACCATCTTCATTTTCTTCGTTTTTTCTTCAGTGACCAAACCTAAGAATTGTCAAACCTGTATTAAGCGGTCAGTTGATCAGCTATTCGCCAAGAGTGGCCGTCAAATACAGGTTTGATTGTAGTGTCCCACACTCTTCCACAAAATTGTGTGAGAAAAAAAATAGAAGAAAGAAAGAAAAAAAACGAATAGCCTCATAGCCTGCGTTGCAAGCGTTTCCGCCGGAGTTCGTCAAGAATGTTGGGATGAGAGCAAAAAAGAGGCCAGGAATGAAAAGGGAGGAGATGGGGAGAAAAGAAAACCTCTTATCCCCTACCCTCCCCCTTCTTTCATTTTGTTTTGCTGTCGCTTCAACTTTGGCGCAATAACTCGTTTGGAAACGCTTGCTACGCCGGCAAATAAAGCACAAGATCTAACGACAAGCAATGATTAACATAATAGTCTTATGATTCACCAGGAGCCTTTGTCATGAGCTCCTGGATTAACTTTGTCACAATCCAGATGCCTCCTTTTGTTGTTAAAAAGAAAATGCACAGAAGCTGCAAACTGCTATCAAAAGAGATTCCACCTCAATGACTGACCTGACTTATCTGTGATTCAGAGTTCTCTTCTGTGAACGGATGGCATGACACTTCAACTTGTGCTCCGTTAATACTATGTGTTCTAAGTGTTACATTTCCAGCATCTGCCAAGAAAAAAATACCATTGTTACCTATCTCTGGAATATATTGTACCTTGGTAAGGGTTTTCTTTTTCTTGCTGAAACTCAGTGACTAACCCATTATTAGGAGCTATTCTAAAAAACACCCCAGCCCTTTACTGAAGCTGTGCAGACGCATGGCAAATGTAGTTTAATGCAAGAAAGTCCACCATCCTAAGAGTCTCATGCTCAAAATCTCCATTTGAGTACCAATACACCATCCACGGATAACCCTTGCAAGCTGTAGATCACAGCAAATACCTTGGAATTGAACTACTCAGTGGTCTAAATTGGGATGTTCATTTTGCTGGTATTATAGGCAAAGCCAACAGATCTCTTGGCTTTATGAGACGAAACCTAAATTAGTGTCCAGAAGACGTAAAAAAGCAAGCCTATCTCGCTTTCGTTAGACCACAGCTTGAGTATGGATGTTGTACATGGGACCAGCACATTCAAAAACAGATAAAGGACACTGAGGGTGAGCAGAGACGAGCGGCACGTTTTGTTGAGAATGAATATAGCACCTCCCCCGGAACTGTCATGATAATTCTGAATGATTTGAAATGGCCAACACTCGAGAAAAGAAGGAAAGTGACACGACTCACAACGATGTTTAAAGTAGTTTCTAGTCTATCAGCTATACAAGTTCCACCGTATATATTATTTAAAAGGCGAAAGGGCATTAGGAAATTCCACCCTAACTCATTCATTCAAGTTGATGCTGAAAAAAAAAAAAACAAATACCAACACAGTTTTACTGCAAGTACAATCAGAGACTGGAACTAGTTACCAAATAGTGTCATTGAAAAGCAGTCAGAAGAGGCTTTCAAAAAGACCGTCATGTGCCATCTATAATTCGCGTTTCTGCCGCCCTTGGAAAAGATTTACCTACCTTCTGCTGACTCAAACTTGACCCGAGCTGAATTTCCAGTGATTTTTAATTCCTCTACTGGCCCTCCACCTGAACGCCTTGTGTTTTCCAAATAGTTACACAGGCCATCTTCAGTTGTATCCTTGGGCAGTCCACGAATGAAAACAACACCAGCCTGAGTCTGAATTTGGGTAACAGAGAAAAATAAACGTAGTAAGTATATTCATTAAGGCCTCAGCTAAATTGCCTACCTCACTCGTGTAAGATGAATTTATCGCAACTCAAAAAAATTAATGCGTTTAAGTTCAATTAGTTGTGTGATGGATATTTGGCTTAGATACCATCTTCATTTTCTTCGTTTTTTCTTCAGTGACCAAACTTAAGAATTGTCAAACCTGTATTAAGCGGTCAGTTGATCAGCTATTCGCCAAGAGTGGCCGTCAAATACAGGTTTGATTGTAGTGTCCCACACTCTTCCACAAAATTGTGTGAGAAAAAATAGAAGAAAGAAAGAAAAAAAAACGAATAGCCTCATAGCCTGCGTTGCAAGCGTTTCCGCCGGAGTTCGTCAAGAATGTTGGGATGAGAGCAAAAAAGAGGCCAGGAATGAAAAGGGAGGAGATAGGGAGAAAAGAAAACCTCTTATCCCCTACCCTCCCCCTTCTTTCATTTTGTTTTGCTGTCGCTTCAACTTTGGCGCAATAACTCGTTTGGAAACGCTTGCTACGCCGGCAAATAAAGCACAAGATCTAACGACAAGCAATGATTAACATAATAGTCTTATGATTCGCCAGGAGCCTTTGTCATGAGCTCCTGGATTAACTTTGTCACAATCCAGATGCCTCCTTTTGTTGTTAAAAAGAAAATGCACAGAAGCTGCAAACTGCTATCAAAAGAGATTCCATGCACCTCAATGACTGACCTGACTTATCTGTGATTCAGAGTTCTCTTCTGTGAACGGATGGCAGGACACTTCAACTTGTGCTCCGTTAATACTATGTGTTCTAAGTGTTACATTTCCAGCATCTGCCAAAAGAAAAATACCATTGTTACCTATCTCAGGAATATATTGTACCTTGGTAAGGGTTTTCTTTTTCTTGCTGAAACTCAGTGACTAACCCATTATTAAGAGCTATTCTAAAAAACACCCCAGCCCTTTACTGAAGCTGTGCAGACGCATGGCAAATGTAGTTTAATGCAAGAAAGTCCACCATCCTAAGAGTCTCATGCTCAAAATCTCCATTTGAGTACCAATACACCATCCACGCATAACCCTTGCAAGCTGTAGATCACAGCAAATACCTTGGAGTTGAACTACTCAGTGGTCTAAATTGGGATGTTCATTTTGCTGGTATTATAGGCAAAGCCAACAGATCTCTTGGCTTTATGAGACGAAACCTAAATTAGTGTCCAGAAGACGTAAAAAAGCAAGCCTATCTCGCTTTAGTTAGACCACATCTTGAGTATGGATGTTGTACATGGGACCAGCACATTCAAAAACAGATAAAGGACATTGAGAGTGTGCAGAGACGAACGGCACGTTTTGTTAAGAATGAATACAGCACCACTTACGGAACTATCATGATAATTCTGACTCACAATGATGGTAAAGTAGTTTCTAGTCTATCAGCTATACAAGTTCCACCGTATATATTACTTAAAAGGCGGCAGGCATTAGGCAATTCCACTCTAAGACATTCATTCAGAGACTGGGACTCGTTACCAAATAGTGTCATTGTAAAGCAGTCAGAAGAGGCTTTCAAAAAGACCGTCATGTAACCTCTTTAATTCGCGTTTCTGCCGCCCTTGGAAAAGATTTACTTACCTTCTGCTGACTCAAACTTGACCCGAGCTGAATTTCCAGTGATTTTTAATTCCTCTACTGGCCCTCCACCTGAACGCCTTGTGTTTTCCAAATAGTTACACAGGCCATCTTCAGTTGTATCCTTGGGCAGTCCACGAATGAAAACAACACCAGCCTGAGTCTGAATTTGGGTAACAGAGAAAAATAAACGTAGTAAGTATATTCATTAAGGCCTCAGCTAAATTGCCTACCTCACTCGTGTAAGATGAGTTTATCGCAACTCAAAAAAATTAATGCGTTTAAGTTCAATTAGTTGTGTGATGGATATTTGGCTTAGATACCATCTTCATTTTCTTCGTTTTTTCTTCAGTGACCAAACCTAAGAATTGTCAAACCTGTATTAAGCGGTCAGTTGATCAGCTATTCGCCAAGAGTGGCCGTCAAATACAGGTTTGATTGTAGTGTCCCACACTCTTCCACAAAATTGTGTGAGAAAAAATAGAAGAAAGAAAGAAAAAAAAACGAATAGCCTCATAGCCTGCGTTGCAAGCGTTTCCGCCGGAGTTCGTCAAGAATGTTGGGATGAGAGCAAAAAAGAGGCCAGGAATGAAAAGGGAGGAGATGGGGAGAAAAGAAAACCTCTTATCCCCTACCCTCCCCCTTCTTTCATTTTGTTTTGCTGTCGCTTCAACTTTGGCGCAATAACTCGTTTGGAAACGCTTGCTACGCCGGCAAATAAAGCACAAGATCTAACGACAAGCAATGATTAACATAATAGTCTTATGATTCACCAGGAGCCTTTGTCATGAGCTCCTGGATTAACTTTGTCACAATCCAGATGCCTCCTTTTGTTGTTAAAAAGAAAATGCACAGAAGCTGCAAACTGCTATCAAAAGAGATTCCATGCACCTCAATGACTGACCTGACTTATCTGTGATTCAGAGTTCTCTTCTGTGAACGGATGGCATGACACTTCAACTTGTGCTCCGTTAATACTATGTGTTCTAAGTGTTACATTTCCAGCATCTGCCAAAAGAAAAATACCATTGTTACCTATCTCTGGAATATATTGTACCTTGGTAAGGGTTTTCTTTTTCTTGCTGAAACTCAGTGACTAACCCATTATTAAGAGCTATTCTAAAAAACACCCCAGCCCTTTACTGAAGCTGTGCAGACGCATGGCAAATGTAGTTTAATGCAAGAAAGTCCACCATCCTAAGAGTCTCATGCTCAAAATCTCCATTTGAGTACCAATACACCATCCACGCATAACCCTTGCAAGCTGTAGATCACAGCAAATACCTTGGAGTTGAACTACTCAGTGGTCTAAATTGGGATGTTCATTTTGCTGGTATTATAGGCAAAGCCAACAGATCTCTTGGCTTTATGAGACGAAACCTAAATTAGTGTCCAGAAGACGTAAAAAAGCAAGCCTATCTCGCTTTAGTTAGACCACATCTTGAGTATGGATGTTGTACATGGGACCAGCACATTCAAAAACAGATAAAGGACATTGAGAGTGTGCAGAGACGAACGGCACGTTTTGTTAAGAATGAATACAGCACCACTTACGGAACTATCATGATAATTCTGAATGATTTGAAATGGCCAACATTCGAGAAAAGAGGGAAAGTGACACGACTCACAATGATGGTAAAGTAGTTTCTAGTCTATCAGCTATACAAGTTCCACCGTATATATTACTTAAAAGGCGGCAAACATTAGGCAATTCCACTCTAAGACATTCATTCAGAGACTGGAACTCGTTACCAAATAGTGTCATTGTAAAGCAGTCAGAAGAGTCTTTCAAAAAGACCGTCATGTAACCTCTTTAATTCGCGTTTCTGCCGCCCTTGGAAAAGATTTACTTACCTTCTGCTGACTCAAACTTGACCCGAGCTGAATTTCCAGTGATTTTTAATTCCTCTACTGGCCCGCCACCTGAACGCCTCGTATTTTCCAAATAGTTACACAGGCCATCTTCAGTTGTATCCTCGGACAGTCCACGAATGAAAACAACACCAGCCTGAGTCTGAATTTGGGTAACAGAGAAAAATAAACGTAGTAAGTATATTCATTAAGGCCTCAGCTAAATTGCCTACCTTACTCGAGTAAGATGAATTTATTGCAACTCAAATTAATTAATTCGTTTAAGTTCAATTAGTTGTGTGATGGATATTTGGCTTAGATACCATCTTTATTTTCTTCGTTTTTTCTTCATTGACCAACCTTAAGAATTGTCAAACTTGTATTAAGCGGTCAGTCAGCTATTCGCCAAGAGTGGCCGTCAAATACATGGTTTGATTGTAGCATCCCACACCCTTCCACAAAATTGTTTTAAAAAAAAATAGAAGAAAGAAAGAGAGAAAAACGAATAGGCATAATTAGCCTGCGTTGCAACCGTTTCCGCGCGAGTTCGTCGAGAATGTTGGGATGAGAGCAAAAGAGAGGCCAGGAATGAAAAGGGAGGAGATGGGGAGAAAAGGAAACCTCTTATCCCCTCCCCTCCCCCTTCTTTCATTTTGTTCTACTGTCGCTCCAACTTTGGCTCAATAACTCGATTGGAAACGCTTACTACGCCGGCTAATAAAGCACAAGACCTAATGACAAGCAATGATAAACATAATAGTCTTATGATTCACCAGGAACCTTTGTCATGAGCTCTTGGATTTACTTTGTCACAATCGAGATGCTTCCTTTTGTTGTTAAAAGGAAAATGCACAGAAGCTACAAACTGCTATTACATGAGATTCCACTTCAATGACTGACCTGACTTGACTGTGATTCAGAGTTCTCTTCTGTGAACGGATGGCATGACACCTCAACTTGTTCTCCGTTAATACTATGTGTTTTTAGTGTTACATTTCTAGCATCTGCCAAAAGAAAAATACCATTGTTACATATCTCTATAATATATTGTACCTTTGTAAGTGTTTACTTTTTGTTGCTGAAACTCATTGACTAACTCGTTATAGCTGTTCTAGAAAAGATCCCAGCCCTTTACTGAAGCTTTGTTGGTCTCAGTAAAAAGCGTAAAATGGTAGATGTAAGTGAAATTGTGCGCAAATTGTTTTGAATGTTGAGTTTTTCAAGCTTTTCACTTTGCGTTACCCATAAAACTTACTCGGCGCTATGTAACGGAAAATCGTATTGATCTTGACAAACAGGGAAAAAGCAACAAAAATGTTTTTATAAAGAAATAAGGGTGAAGCAAAATCTCCTTGGTAATTGTCCCGACGAGTATGAACAAACAAAATACGGGAGGCGGTACATGTACCTTTTTCAGGGTTGGCTCAGATATTTTAAAGAAATTAAAGGTAAGGATCGTCACTGACCTCGGGGACACCTAAATACCCCTGAGAAACAAGCTTTTTAGATAGTCTCTCCATAACCTGTCCCTTGAGGCCATAAATTCAGACCAGAAATGTGGACATGGTGAGATGAGTAAGGGAAGGATGAACAGAAAGCAAGATAAAACAAACAAACAAACAAAATATAAAACGGATTTTAAACTTGACATGGTTTTGGGGTTTTAATCTCGTTAATCGGTCAATTCAGAATATAGAGCCGATGCTGAGCCACTTTACACACCATCTCAGCCATGGTTATAGGTGAGAAATGTCAGACGTTGTAACCCATGTTGACAATGCTTTTAATTAATTACATTACTCTAATTTCTATTCTCTTTTGGGAAACTGGCATCCATATCTGTCGGTTTGCGTTCGCTGCAAACGTGATTCCAAGCCCTTCTAACACAGCAAATTGTGTAATTACCTTCTGATGATTCAAACTTGACTCGTGCTGAATTTCCAGTGATTTCCAGTTCTTTCACAGGCCCGCCACCTGAACGCCTTGTGTTTTCTAAATAGTTTCTAAGACTATCCTCAGTTGTATTCTTGGAAAGTCCACGGATAAAAACGACGCTAGACTGGAAGAGAAATCGGTTAAAAAAAAAAAATTGGACCAGAAATGTAAAATAGTAATCGTCAGAACCAATAGTCTCAACAACATGTTTATTGCACACCAAACATGTCAATTTATTAGTTGAAATAGAAAACTGGGAACAAGCCTCATTTCCTCAGTCCTCACTTTCAAGACCAAGGACAAAAGTTTAGGTGCTAACTTGCTTAAAGATCATTTTGCATTGTCGCCTTTGTGTGTCCGAACTTCCTTTCATTCCGGCTTTCCGCCTTCAAAACCTTAGTTTTTTTTTTGCTGTAATGTTATTACAATGTTTTACAATGTAATTGCCTCCATCCAACTTGATTTGTCGTTTTTTTTGGGCGCGATCAGTTTGTCAAAAAAAAGAAGAAAAAATGAATAATACTTTTATTTTCACCGATATTTCGGCTGGATTAATTACAGGCCATTTCCGAGATCCACAAATTCTCACTTTCAAAACTTAGGCTAAGTGCAAAACCTTTCATGTCAAAACGAGTTTTATTTTCTTGAGAATTTAAAAAAACCATTTTGATATCAATGGCTCCGCTCTTAGCCTCGCTTTGAAACAAATGCTTGGGGCAACGCGGAAATGGCCTATTTCAGGTATTTTGATACAGTTTTTCGGAGGCCATACCGATAATTTCAATCGCCTTAAAAGTGATTTTATCCTCTTCCGATGGCTATGAAATTTCCACCAGTGATTGACTATGGTTTGACGTTTGTCAAAATGCCATTTTAAGTAAAATCAATATCACTATGACAACAATAAAATCAATTAAAGTCGAAATCCGACAGATCTACATAAAAACGCTAAAGGTCAAAAACAGGTTAGTTTGCAGGAAGATCGCAAGAAAGAAACTACACCAAAATTTCCAAGAAGCAAAATGTGATATTAAGCAGCATTTCTGACTCAGTGGATCAATCTTAATGAAAGTTTCAGTCATAATTATATACATCGTGAAGATTATGTGATGAGGTTGAAAAAAAATTCTGTCGAGCCGTTCTAGAGAAATATAGAAAAACGCTAAAAGTCAAATTTAGACTAAGTTGCACTTAGACAGGGGGTGCGAAAACAGGTTAGTTGAAAATATGAGGTTTAAAATATACTAAAGCTTTGAATTCAAACATACAGAATTTTTTTACTTCTCACGAAGGTTATTTGCTGAACACTACACTTTAAGTTCCTAGTGTCGGATTTTTAGTAGCAGGTCTATCGCGCAAAATTCGGTTTTTATTGATTTTAAATTTTTTTGTTTATTGTTGCCATAGTGATATCGATTTGACTTAAAACTAGATTTTGACAAACTTTAATCCAAAGTCCGTCAGTGGTGAAATTCGGACAAGGATAAAATCATTTTTAAGGAGATTGAAAAATAACGGTATGGTCTCCGGAAAAACTGTATCGAAACACTTTCAGCATTATACGCTTATAGCTGTCGCATTTGCCCGTTGGAATTTTTCATTGTTTTTACCGCCCAAAACAATTAAAAATTCCAGTGCACGATGAGTCGGCCATACGCAGACAATGCAAACATAGGAGACTGGTTATGAAAGGCGGCAAACGTCAAAGATAAAAACAACCGTGCAGCAGTTTATGTTGGAAGTTCCATGACAAATTATTGTGACTTAATAAATTAATGCGACATTTCACTGGTCAATAGGCGAATCTCTGCTGACGTCATTGTTTGCATTTTTCGTCATTAGCATACGACTTAACTCATAGAAGATGGCCGTATATTTGAACTAAATGCAGAAGTTAAAAGAGCTGATTAAGTTGAGAAATTTGTGCAATTTTCAGCTCTTTGCAAGCAATATTGAAGGAAATATCAGCCATCAAAAACTGCGAAATTGCTGTGTGGCAAAAAAGTTAATGAGCCATACATTCTCTGTAAACTTTGTATTGCAATTGGGTTCAAATTTTCAGAGATAACTAAAACTTTTATGCCCTTTCTATATATTGAGAGTTTTTATTTTATTAGCATCATCAGATAGTGATAAGCATATGTTAACCCTTTAAGCCCTAAGAGTGATCAGCATCAAATTTCTCATTGTAATATCAATGCTTTGTAAACCAGAGTGGTCATGAGAATTACGGACATGATCACACAAGATGAATTTGCTTGACATGTTATCAACTTCTCCCCACTACTTCTGTAGGAAATAAATGGGGGCAACCAATGAGAATTCAAATTTTGATCTTAGGGTTTAAAGGGTTGATGAGGCAAAAAGTGCAAACAAATTTTCGCCTATGGGATCAAAATAATAGAAATAGAATGCTATAGACCGTTCTGCACCTTTCGTCCGTAAGGTATAAACATATAACAAGGGAGATCAATGGGCTTTCTCGACCTATTATTTCCACCCTATAACTATATATGTTGCAAATAAATCCACACTGCTTTTCAAAAAATATTGTAAAATATTGACTGTTTCTAAAGGACTTTTTAATCTTAGAAACTGTAGACCTGATTTGTTGTTAATCCAGAGTCCTCTCCGCTGAACGGAACAATAGAGACTTCGACTTGTGCTCCGTTAATGGTATGTGTTCTGGTTTGTGTTCTGAGTGCCACATTTTTAGCAACTGCCAAGACCAAAAAAGAAATTGTCAGCTGTCATTACGAAAACTTATTTACAACTCCATCCTTTATAAATGAAAGAAAAGAGTCCAGGAGAGCTGCGTGATTAAGGGAAATTAATTTAGTGCTCTGAAGAGAGAGGCATATAACAAAATGGGCTGTTTTCTATCAAATAATTAAAGACGTAAAGGAGTATGAGGTGTTTTTTTGATGGCGTCATTTTACTACTGCTACCATAAGTCATCAGGGAATTGCTTTCTTGTATAAATTAGGGATTTTGTTATTTAAACCTCACTGGACTGATTACCAAATTTAAATATGAAAGAATAAACGAAGTGAATCCTGGTCTCAGTACCAAAAAGACGTCAACGTGCAAATAGCCTATTCTGCATCTTTGTGGCTTCAACAAGCCTTCGAATGTTGTTTTTTCTAACAACCAGCTACGCAATTTTTTCTTTATTTCGGTTGAAAAGCAAAAGGGAAATTTGTTCTTTGAAATTTAAAAATCGTGTGGGGTTGTGAAGTTATGCATATCAGTTTCAGCTTGTTACTGCTTTAATAATTCGAAGGGGACAAAGTGCAAATAATTGTTGTTTCTGGAAATATCTGAATGTCGTGACGGTTCATTAAGTATGATGCCTAAAATGTTTTGCATATTCCACAACTTCTTTCGGCTCTATTATTTAAATTGGCTTTTTTACCTTTGGACTTTTGTTTAGATCACGTGTATGCTGAAGGATTTTTTTCCTTCATCAAGTTTTAAAATGTGCTTATATGCGTGAATAAGATTATTTTATGAAAGGAACAGTTGTTTTCTCTGCAGGCAGATAAATATAAACCTAAAATACGTCAGAGACTGTGAATTCTTGGAATTTAAAAGGTATCGTCAAACAGACGACAATGAATAGAGTAAATTGTCGTAGGTCTTCTAAAAAACGGGTGTTTCAAATACTAAGAAAATTCAAGAACATACACATTTTGAAGCACTAAGGAAGGAAAATAACTAGTAACTATAAAAATATGTCGAGCAAATTTGTTTAGGAATAAAACGCTGAAAAGTGAAACCGGAAGCCAACGAAAAAGAAGGAAAGCGAGCAGTTTGATGCTGTCTCAATATCCTTGTTTGCAAAAGAAGAAAGTTTTACTGTTTGATGATACATCATCCTCCCAAAAATTAAGTGAAGAGTGTAGATAAGTAAAAGAATTTACCTTCCTGGTCTTCAAATGTAATGATGGACTCTTCATCATTGATCTGTTCGATGGAACGGATGTCTCCACCGCCAGACTGCTTGCGAGATTGGAAGTAAATTTCTAATTCTTTCTTTGAAATTGCCTTTCCTGTAACTCGAACGTAAATCCGGCCTTCATCCATCTTTACGGCAGTTTATTTCCTCCTTCAGCCGAGCATACTTCAGTCTCTTCCGCGCACCACAAGAAAGTGAAAGTAAGTCGGCGCCAGGAGATCCTGGGGCTGAGTTCTTGTTGTAAATTTAAACCATAGTTTCAACAAGAGGGGAAGGGTGACTATCACTGTTTTTTTTTCTTTGTATCAAATAAGCTTGAATGGATCAATATTCTGGTTGCGAAAGTATATTGCTTTTTCATATATGGTAAAAACCATCCGAACCGTTACTCAAGAATAGTGTGTAGATTAAGAAACAAGACTTTTCATTCTCTCCAGCCCACCCTTGGGCAATTAACAGAATATTTTGGCAAACAAAGCGGGCTTTCCAAGAAAACGATAAAATCATATGAAAAAGAATTCAAAGAAAAACAATGTGAAGAAAACAAAATATTCGTTCGCTTCTGTTCGCTTGCCACAAAGCGGAAAGGTGTTATTTTTTCCCCTTTAAAGGAGCAGTAATAGAGAAGAAGTTGACTCTGTTCGCACGTTGAAAACGAACCCATTACGAAGAGTCCGAGGGCCCCACGAGTAATTTGTGCATATGGCAGCTAATACTTTTCTTTCCACCGCAAAGCCTCCCACTATTCCAATTAAGGTAGCTCGACTGGATTCTTCACAAAGTACACCTCCCAAGTTTGAGTATTCACTAAGTCGTCATTTAACAACAACGATATCGGAAAAAGATTACCACTGACAGCAGTATTATATTATATTAAGATCTGTGATTTATCGTTAACGTGACATCACTGTGTTTACTTTTTCTTGCCTTCGTATTTCTCGGAATCGGGATTTTTTTCGTAACGTTACTGAACGTCTAGTTGAAGTTGAACGGTACAATAGTAATACACAAAATGTTCTTACCTGGGCAGGCGGTGTGAGCATCATGGGCGCTATTCAAAATCTGATCGTTTGTGTCAAGATGGCGTGGAGTGAACATCTCGCAGGAAGCGACTGCGGAGACGAATATTCGTTAAATACGCTGTAGAAATCAGCGATGTGCCTTTATTTTCTTCCAGAGACGTCTGTAACAGCGTCATTTAGTTAATAAGTGTATTTTGTTCGAAATCACTCGAATGAAGTCGGTAAATAAAAGAATTGCTGATTTGTTCTATGCTTCAGTCATGAAAGTACTAAAGGTAAGACCTGTGGATCGCCGAAAAAAAAAATGATTTCATCGTCAGATCTACGAGGTACTACGACGATTTCTTCATTATCAGCAAGACGAATTTAAGCTTAAGTTGGCTTGAAAATCTTGTAAGATTGTGTATGCTTCCTTCTGACAAAATAACCCTAAAACAGTTGCTAGGTACAATAAGAGTACTTTAGCGGGTCAGCTTTGCGGGGCTGATTTAGGTCTCGGTTGGCACCCTGTTTGCATTTGTTATTTGTTTTACAATCTGTATTTCTCACACATGAAGTAAATGAAAAGTAAATAAAGATATCAATACATGTACAGTGGGTTGTGTCCTATTTATAAATAATTTTGAGCACTACTTTCTTCAGGGATCTTTAGTCTTAAATAAAAACTGAGCTAATGAAGAAATACTGCAAACTAGTATCCTTGCCTTCTATATTGGTATGGGTCACAGAATGTAAGGTTTGAAATTGAAAATGGCATTCAGCATTTTGTGATTACTAATTATCCTCTTACAGTCAAGCAAATTATGTTACACGAATTGAGCCTAGGAGACATTCATAGTTTTTGCCTTTATTCTTTTTATATGAATGATTGTATCAGTATGTAAACACATGTCATCGCATATTTTTTGTATGATAATAATGATTTTTTTAATTCAAAATGTGAAAATCTTATCTGTGTTGACCAATCTACTGTAATCAAGGGAAACATGTAGGGAGACCCCTTTCCTTTCTTGTGTCCCCCCCCTTCAACTACTTTTGTTTAATTCACTTTTGGGTAAATGTATTCACATTTTATTATATTGGCATGGTGATTAGTATTTTAGTGCTGTCATTTTATATAGTGACGGATATTATTTTTCCTTTCATGTTGTTGATATACCGTAAAATTCCGAAAATAAGCCCCTCCATGTATAAGCCCCTCCAAATATAAGCCCCCCAAAATGGTAACGCAAAAAACCCTCCGTTAAATCGTCCCCCCGAATATAAGCCCCCCGGGGGGCTTGTACTTGGAATTTGCCCTCAAATACAAAGTAAAACAAAGCAAACAATGGTAAATTTCCTTCCCACTACAATCTAGCCCAATTGATTTTGAAACGCAAATTTCCCTCCGCACATAAGCCCCTCCGAATATAGGCTCCTCCAAAAATAGGCCCCTCAAAAAGGGCCTTTGAAAAATATAAGCCCCGGGGCTTATTTTCAGGGGCACCCAACGAGAATATAGTTCAAAACCACTTAAACATAGCATTGTTGAACGTATTTTAGTATTCAAACGGTAGATATAGGCATATTTTTATCCCCTAAAAACTTTTCATCTGTTCGGATTTCCTAGCTGAAAGTCTAGTGATCCGAAAATTATAGGGATAAAAACTTAGCTTCTCGAAAATTTCAGCCAGGAAAAGGCTCCCGAAAATTCTAGGTGGCCTTTTTTAGGGTCAAAATCCGTTAAAAATGGGTAATTATACCATTTTGTAGATGTTCGAAAATCCTAGGAGAGGCAGGCAAGCAAGAAATTTTACAACAAATGCTCCGAAAATTCTAGATCTCAAATCGTCTTCCGAACAGATATTTTCCCGAAAATTGCCGTTGGGTGCCCCTGTATTTTCGGAATTTTACGGTAATGAGGCTTTTGGGTTAGCAATTGTTACTGTGGTGGATCCTAGTAGTACCCCCTTTTTTCCCACAGTTAATTTTTTATCTCAGGTAAATTCTTTTTTCTTTTGTTTCAACTCCATTTGCACACATTAAAATACCCATACATTTGTCATAAATTAACGATAATGTTACTCTTTTGCCCATTCCATTCTGATAACGAGTTCTGTGCTCTTCTACCCGAAGTAAAAGCAGGAATATTCCATTGAATAGAATCAAAGTGCTAGCTTGGTGGCTTCTACATGACTCTACTCATGAATTTCTCTCACCACTTTTTTCCATAAAGGGTAGCTGTTTTCAAAATGTTCAGGGTTTATCTGTATTTAAAGTTAATGTCTTATCTTTGAGGAAAAAATATTCAAGTGCTTTCATTATACTCTCAGCGGCTTCACATGCATCACATTATCATTTTACTTGGTGTAATTTGTTTGTTTTTAATCAGACTTCAATAGGCCATTTTTCATTCATGTATTTATTCATAAATCCGGCATTAATTGTTATGTGCAATCGTCCACAGGCTTCATGCTTCTGTATATAACCGATGAACTATTTTGTAATTAACTTGTGATTACAAGAGTGACAGTGCCAGTGACATGTCACGTCTGTGCGAGGCCACATTTTGTTATGACAGCATGTCGGTTTTAATTCGAAAAAACTATGTCAAAAAGTGGGGAGCGTTTACACCTTGCCGTAGATCTCTGTAAAACTTAAGACTAGTTTCTGTCGTCAATGAGCAATATGGTAGAAATTATAGCTCTCCAAACAACGGGTTCAAATTTCATGCTTGTGGAGGACGAATCTTCGTGCTCCGTGTTTAAGATTGTAATGAGGAATGTTGATTTTTTTTCGTCACAGAAAAAGCCTAAATAAGTATAAGTTTATGTAATTGTTGATAAATTTCTCAGAAAAGAACTATGTCTATCGAAATATAAAGCATATAACCTGGGAAATTTCTCGACCTTCGCCGCCATCTTGAAAATTCTACATCCACAATGCATCGCAATCCTAGTGCAAACACCGCCTGGATTCTGGGACTACATTACGGCTTTATGATGATGGCGGGATTGGTAAAAATATATTCCGTATAAAACAAATGCAAAAATCTACGCGTCTTCGTCGTCATCTGACGCGGAATAGCCCACTTTACAGTTGTAGATAGATAGATAGATAGCCTTTATTTTAAAACGATGAGTATTAAAGCTACATGAGCTTGTGGGGTATAATAAAATTCAACCTTTCCTGATTTGTTATGTAAAATCATGTTGTTCTTATTTATGCTAACTAGCATTTTTCGAGTATAATCTCAATAAGAAAACAAAATAGGTTTGTATCAAAACAAGGTCAAGCTCTCAGCCTCGCATTCACTGTCTCGAAGGCTAAGGTACTAAGCCCAAAACTGTAAAATGGTCTATTTGAGAAGTGCAGCTTCTTTAATTCTAGGTCGCCATTTCTAGTTTTCGGCATTCTCGTCCCCAGAACTACTCGTTTTTATCACATGGTCATTACTGACTGCGCATTATCAGTAATAAATCCTTCTGCGAACAAGGCTGAAAATACATTATCACACAAATTTTCAGTTTATTACTGCACTTTTCGAAAAACAAGCGAACGCTGTAGAAGTTCTAAAGCCAACTAACATTTGCGTTTCTCGCTACCGTCAATGATCTTAGCGGACTTCTTAGGTCACAGACGTTTACTTCATTGAGTTCAAAAGGTCATGGTTTGTGATTTTTGATTGGTGGATTTCGATCCATTTTGTGTGTTTCTGTGTTTCAAGGTTTGATGCTTGTGATCGTAATTATGATTGACTACAGCGAAAAAAAAACAGAGGCATTTGAAATTCAGTGTTCTCGTGTTTTTGAAAAGCGTAGTAAGTTTCAGACGTTCTCTTGTTTCCGGGTTACAATTACATCGTGATAAACACCCGGGAGGGGGGTACTGCCATATATGGGCTATATAGGTATGTGCCGCTGTGAAGGGTATGGTTTTCAAGCAGTTTACTCTAGGATAGGGTGTATAAATCAGAGCGTTTGGGTCTAGAATAGGGTATCATTTTTCAGGAAACTGATCTGTTGGTTGAAGATTTTGTCTAGACAAGGTAAACAGCTACTCTAGGATAGGGGAATTTGGGGAATTTACTCTAGTATAGGGTAGCAAAATTCAGCCGAACTAGCTCTGGTATAGGTTAAGGGTTCCAGGATCCCAGCAGCACATCCCCACCCAGAAATTCCTAAAGTACCCCCCCCCCCCGGGGATAAACATTTGAGATTGACTTTGAGATTTGCAAATTGTGTTATCAGAAAATAATGTGATAAACTGTGATTACGTTAATAAAAGTATTACTGCAATTCCTACAACAAAAACATGCTTATATAAAGTACAGACTGAACTTTCCTAAATGGACCTTTCATAAAGACGACTTGAAATGTAGAGTTGTGAATAAAATACTGTATATTTCAGGACCAAACCCACGTTTACGTATTTTTCTAACCCTAATCCTAAACACACCTCCTTCATAAATAAGAACCGCATTAATTAAAAACCTACTGGGGCTAACTTGCCAATAACTACCCAAAATACAAGAACCTTTTTTTGGCAGACTTCATAGAATGTAGTTTCTCACATGCGGATTTTGCGTCTACGCCATTCAACATTGCTCCAGAATAAAATACTAAAAATTAACTCATTACACAAATTTCGAGGTATACGCACCAGTAACGTTCGAGCTCACTTAAAAGTAACAAGATAATCAGGATAACACTGGCTATCATAAAACACAACAAAAATTTTTGGATTTCCAGGACCATCTACAACACTGTCGTATGCATCTGTGGCGTCGCTTCCCTTGGCTGGGGGAGTAATCATCCCTTGACGTCCAGCCGCGTATTCGCCCACTAGAACACGGGCAAGGTACATGTAGCGGTTTCCGTTTCCATCAGGTGGAGAGTATTTGGCTTGAGTAGAGTAGGACGCATCTCGGGCAAAATAGACTCCATTCCCATACATAGTGGCTGAAAAATTGAGTTTAATCATTCACGTAAGCATAAATTGTATTACACTTCCTTCCCAGAATAGTAACTGATTATTTCCTGTCAACATTGTTCTCGAACTTGTTGTGTTCTCGTTGCAAAATGGAAGGAGGAGTATGTGCTGCTCAGTTTGGAAAGACCTGGAGCAAAAAATGCGCTTTTGGTTTCTCCGTTGATTTTTAGTGCGTAACGGATATTTGAGTGGCTTAGATATAGTGTCCACTTTTTTTAACCTTAAAAAGGACAGTTTCCCTATTTTCAAGGAACGCCCTAAGCGTAACCTTCCAAATTAAAAATTTCAAAAATTAAAGGATATTAGCCCCGCTCTATATATTGGATAACCGACTAGCTATGAAATTAATACAAAAATGCCGGATAGCAAGCGCGCAAAGAGTTATTGATAGCAGCAAGCCATAATTCTTGAAAACAAAGAATGTAACTGTCCACCTTAACGTAATGTTTCTTTTGTGCTTTTTGCTCTTCTCTGTTTCTCACCCTGTCTTTGAACGTGTTCTCATGCTTTTTTTCTTCCTAAAGGAGGCTAACTTATTATTGTCAAGGCAATTAAGGCAATCTGTTTTTCAATTTCCATGGATTTTATGACTAACTGAGTGTACACTTGTACCATAGGAATGGTATTTCGTAGTTTGCGACTATATATATAGTGTCTAGCAATGAGGAGGAAGTAGTGTAGGAGAAGACTGGATATGTTGTCAATGAAGCCGAGGCAAAGAGCTAGTGAGAAAAGGGTAATGTTCAAGTTTGTCAAATCACGATTTTCGGAGTTCCACTGCGAAAGATTAATATTATTCCAGAAAGTCTGAGTTGATCTACAATCCCAAAAAAGATGCGTAAGTGTCTCTGGGGAACCAGTGAAAAAAGAACAGGAGTCTGTTTCCTTTTTGCCTATCTTAAGAAGAAAGTCGTTTGTAACTACTTTTCTATGTAGAAATTTAAATTGAAAAACCTTTAACTTCGTTTCCGTAGTGCATAGAAAAGGTAGCTGGTAGGTAGTTTCCCAGTTTGTACATTTGAAAAAATATCTTCAGGAAGCCACTTTCTTTGGCTTTTCACTGGTGAGGAAGTCTTTCTTTTGACCAAAATCTGATAAATCTTTCCGCAGACTTTCTCGGAAGAGAACAGGTTGTCAGCGGCTAGTGCAGCTGACATTGTTTTTTTGCCACGAGAAAATAAAATTCATATCTTCGAGCCGCCGTGTAATGTTCTTTTTATCATATAGACAAAAAGACATCGATAAAATAATAGGGGAAATTACCGAAATCACGTCATCGATAAACTCACGTGTGAGATTATGGAAAATAAACCACTCGGGTCCCGGATGTAGCTTTTATGAATTTTACGAGTGGTATATTTTCTAGTAAAACACTCGTGTCTATATAATAAATGATAATAATAATGATAACCATAACGATAAAAATAAAAATGATGATCGTGATAATGACGATGATAATAATAAGACGCCTACGCTTACCGTTTTTCCCACAATAGCTTCTGTTAAAACCAAACTTGTTGATACTGGAGCAGCTGCCTTGAGCAGTACCATGAAAGAGGAATTTTTCATTGGCGCCATTTTTCTGTTCCATTTGATCCTTTTTCACCATGTACGCGCGGTAGAGCCCAGGGTTCTGCACTCTTTCTATCTTGGTGATGTTAATTGAAGCCGTTTTTCGGATTTCGTCTGCTACTCGATTGTACTCGGTCGGGTTGCTAGTAGGATCAAGCTTGACCAAGTGAACTTCTTTCTCTTTACCTGAGCTGTCCTTTGGCTGTACGCACCAATCATTAGGTAACAGAATGCCTGTTTAATAATACCAGAAGTAATAGAAACATTTAACATAGACACATTTTCCATGTACTGAGCAACACATCAAATGAGGATAATGAATACGTTTAAATTATTTCTTAGAAGAGGACTTCATGCATAGTTTACTTTACCTTTCCCTATTTCCTTTCTCACGACATTTCTTTTTTCTCCATCTTCTAGACAGGTCTCTTTCATGAACCTGAACACAATCTCACATCTGGCATCGTCAATTACGAAAATAACAGATTGTTGGCCCTCCCCATAGGCACTTTCTATTCTGTAATTAGTTGTAGGGTCATAGAGTTCCCATCCGTCATCATCGTCATCGGAGTAGTACCACTGAACGGTCTTGCAAACAAGTCCTTCAACATCTCTGCAATACTCTTCCTCTATTTTCTCGTTTAAGATGTCGTGAATTGTAGTGGCAACATCTAAGACATCTTCTGCGTAACCTCGAATAGATATACGACAAATTGGTTCTTCTATATTTATATCAGTGCCATGTTTTCCTCTTAAATTAATTATTTTCCCTTTCTGTTCCTCAGAGAGCTTGCTAATAGCATCCTTTTCAATAACTTTGGTAGTGACTTGATCAGCCAGATATTTGTGAATTTCTTTAACGGCTCTCGTGACGTCTTGCTTGGTTCTTGCAAATACTTCCAAATAAGCTTCAGCCATCTCGCTACTACTTTTCCTGATGGAGGGGTATAAAGGATTAGGTGAGGCGTCTTTGCTTGCTCTAAACCAACCAAAAAGCTTGGAGAACATGCCTGTCCAACCTCCGGACGAGGCGACGCATGCCTTCATCGCAGCACGGAAGTCCTGAAACATGTTCTCTTGAAAAATCACGATACGAATGAAATGAAGTGAAGCTGGCTGTTCTTGAGCAAATTTGGCAATGGCTGCTAACATCTCTTGAGCTGCTTCTTTTACACCGACTCCCACATTACCAGTTCCAACAGCCGGGAAAGATATTGAAGTCAACCCGTTCGATTCGGCTACTTTCAAGCAGTTTGTGATACAACTTTTAACGGAAGCCATGTTCAGCTTTTCTGGCACCATGTGGTATATGTTTTGAGTCTGCAGTTTTCCAGCTCCAGTAACCGCGACAGAACCTGGTGTCTGAACCCCCAGAGCTGAACATTCTGTTTGAATACTTGGTCCACCAGCACTGACAATGGCCTTTCCAACGCCGCTATTTAGTGCAATATTTAAGTTTGTGTTTGACAAAGTAACGATTGCGTCAGTTACCTCTTTGGTAATGTTACCAATCTCTGCTTGGACCGTAACGCTACCAAAGGCAATTTCGGGTCTAAAGGGATCCAGTTCTTCCACAGAGAGATCAAGAGAGTCAACATCGCTAGTTGTACCACCAGAATCTACCGTTTTCGCGGTTCCCCCGTGCAACCCACGACGTTTTTTCTTTCCACTTTTCGCTGCTTGCTGGGGTTGTTTCCGTTTGCGACTTTGCAACTCAGTCTGGAAGGCTTGTACAGTCGGGAAATCTTTGTCATAAACGACCAAGTGAACCTCCTTCACAGTGCTACTTAGATTCTTTTTACTGAATTTCAATACTTCTTCGAAGGACGCGGTTGCCACCCGATCATGAGGAAACTTGAGATTTCCGGTGCCAATAGCAGGTATGGCAATACTTGTAAGGCTTCTCTTGTGAGCTTCATGAAGACTTTTCTTTAAAATATCACGTAGAACCTGCAAAAAATAGGGTTGTGTCATCTTTGTCGAGCATTGGTCTGGAATTAGAGTTTCAGGGTCTTGAATATAACAAACGATCACAGAGTTGACAGAACGCAAGAGAAATACACTTAAGGTGCAACAAAGACAAGTACGGATAGGAAAAAGTGAATAACAGCCAAAAATTTAAAAAAGTACCGCTTTCAGGTTAATCTTAGGGCACTCTCAATTTGCATAATGCAGCGAACGAGCTTGGGTATGAACGTACTGCGACCCTTTAAAGATTTCAGAAATTCAGCCCCTCTAAGAACTTCCTTAATGGGAGAGTAGATTTAAGCCAAATGGGGTATTCTATGCCTTAGTTTCATAAGGTACCTGTTCACCCTTTCCATTTTCCCAACCAGAACAGGAACTGTGAAAAACATGCTTGCACTTTAGGTTCCCTCCAGTGGTAACAACAATGCCACCAGTCTGAACTTCACCGATAGCTTTACATTCCTGTTGTAGAGTGGGGCCGGCAGCGGTACTCAAAGCTACAGCACTAGGGTTTCTACTAAGGTCCAGGTCTGTTGACGTGGAGTTCACGATCGCGTCAACCTGTGGAGTGAACATAAGCTATAAAGAAGGACAGCACTTTCAGTAAGACCCGGGCTTTATCAGACTTCAAAATCCTTTCAAAGGTAAAAGAGTCAAGGGACAGGTTGTTACGTCGACTTTCAGTTAATACAGCCAAAGCAAAGGAGGACGGGTATGCTCTCTTTCACTAGGCTGTTGCCGTTCATTGTCTTTGATTTAACATTACATAATTCTGCTTGTCTGGAATATACCTGCATGTTAAACCAAAGACCAGAGCCAAAACTAGTTCCCAGCAACAACCAAGTACTGCACACTCATTGAAAAAAAAAAACTAAGTGTAACTAAGTGTAACTTGCCTGTTCATGGGCCATATTCCCAACCACAAGAGCCACTTTAATACCCTCTGGAGTAGTCACTTCATTCAGCCTATCTGTAGCATCCGATGCTGATGGTGCTATATGAACTGTTTTTCGACCTTTAGCTTCTCTGTTGGCAGCTTTCTTTGATGTAATTTTTCCTATGGAGGAACCACGCGAAAAACTAGGATCGTGTCCAAATTTGGAAGCCATCTCAGTAACAAATGCTGTGACTACTGCATCGTCGGTGCTTGTGAACTGGATCTCAGACAAATAGCAGTTTGGATTTTCTTCACAAAACTGTACTGTTGCATCAACCATAATCTTAGCACACAAGTCGTGTGGGAATTCAAAGGCCCCTGTACTTATGGCAGGTAACGCTATTGATTTAAAGTGTCTTGCGGCATCTAAGGCATTGGACACTGCATAGCTCAGGTATTTCTCTTCCCTTGGCGTTTTACCAATCGCCTTTTCTCGCGTGGCCTCTTTCCTCCATGATGGGCCCACCGCATGAACTACTTTCTTGAAAGGCATCTTTCCAGCAGAAGTAACGACAACTTGCCCCTCCAAAACAGATCCTTGTTGGATGATAAAATCATCGCACTCATGCTGGATAGCTTCTCCACCAGCATCAAGAATGGCTTTAGAAACACCACTCAAGTGCTGGAGTTTCGTATTGGCTGCATTAACGATGACGTCTACGTTCCGATCACATATGTTGTCTTTGAAAACCTTGATCATTTTACCTTGTGGAGTCAGGAAAGTACACTCGCTCTCTTTCTCGATTCTCTCGTCACCTTTTTCTTCTTCCATAACGTCCTTCGAGGAAGCATCTTTCTCCCCTTCAAAGAACTCGATTACGCAATTATTTTCATTTTCAAGAAGGTTCAGCATTTTCCTCCCATTGTTTCGATTAAGCACTCTCCGCATCCCTGGTTTGTCGATAGGAACCTTTTGGCTTTCGACTTGTGAGGCTAGATTGTAAACATTCTCCATGGCCTTTTTAACTCCTTCGTTTGTTCCGGTGACGACAACTTCCTCGTCCTCAGCAATCCCCTTTATAACTGTACAGTATTTGTTCAACTCCTCCTGGTTAATCCGAAGCTCGTATTCTCGGTACTTTGAGAGAAACCTTCTGCTGCCTCTTGGAAGCTCCAATACCTCACTAACAATGGTGTTCTCGTTCAAAAAGCCCTTGACGCTTCTCAGTGCCGTTGTCACATCCTCCCTTCTACCCGTCATGCATAATTTGTTGCTTTTTTCGTCAAATTTGATACCTAAAATGGAATTTGCGGTCAGTTCATCTCTAAACGAGCGCCATTTTTCACTTTTTTCAAGCTGCACTTGACCGTCATCTAGGACGATGCTTTCTTCAACGATGGTCGTCTTCACTAAACGCGACGCTTTCTGGGCAACTTCAGAGTTCATACCAATTACCCTCAAGGCGCATGGACCCTCTTCTTCATCACCATGGAAAGTTGCAAGTGCTTGCAAATTATTGGCTGTGAATTGTTGTTGTATGAACAACTGGCAAGGTCTCCTCCTTAGTACCTCTACTGCATTTTGAGACACTTCACAGCTGACCTCCTTCATGTTTGCAACTGCTTCCCAAATATCAGCTGATGCTTTATGAACAACTGTAGAAGGACCCCAAATGCAAACTTGACCTTTGTCAAGAATTATGTCCACTTTTGTACTTTCGTAATGAACTTCGAGTTCTTTGTCAAAGTCTAGGTCAGCTAAAAACTTAAGACGTTCTTTAGGAATTTCTTTTACAACTGTCGATACTTTAGATGCCTCCACTGCTAACGTACTCTCGATTTCTGTCTTCAGCTGCTCCAATCTCTCAAAAAGAGTCTCTGCATTTTGCAGTATCCCTGTTAGGACGATTTTGCACTGCTGATTCAGGTACTGAATTTTTACGTCATCCTTCATGGAACTCACAAGATCCTTGAACTGTTTGGTAATAGTTTGCCAAGCATCTGGTGTGACTTGTACGGAGTAAGTCTGAAACTCTGCTAGGAAAGAAGTAACAGCTTCGGAAGCTTTTTCGAATCGATCTGCGTCCATTGCTATGCCATCTACAGGTGCAAGAGTGATACTTTTTGATCCTTCTTCCCACTTGACTTTAACGCCATGTTTACGTTGGATGTCCTCCAAATCAGCTTCATGTCGTTCACAAATGAATTGCATGACTTGCATATCTACAGGTATCTCTTTCTCTGGCACACGGTCTTCAGTGACAGACGCTGATTTAGGAAGGACTGGATTATGTCTTCTTAGTTCCAACAGCGCTCCGTTGAGAATGTGACTTTTTGCTATGACTTTGTTCACAACTGTTAAAGAAGGAAAAATGTAACAACTTGATACTTTGGTCAACCGCGAGCAACAAATCAATAACTAGCTATTTTCCTAAACAAAGAAGTCCTAAATAAATTCTCTGGCTGTCCTCTAGATTAGGGGGCAGAATCGTTTTAGCTGAGGGACTACCATTATTCAATTTGTCTTAGCTTGTTAAAGGAACATCACACTACCCTGGGGATCTTCGAAGAAAACCAATGCCGAGCCTTCTGTCATATTGAGATCCACACTGTTGACACCACCGCCACCATTCTTGGGATTATCAAAGTAGTAGAAAATGGCGTCTCTTGTTGTGTTCTCCTTGTTCATACCCGTCACCAGCACACAATGACAAACAGGTACTTGCTCCATTGACAGGATTTTTTCTTCAAGTTTTCTTTCTGCAGCTCTCTGTTTAATGGATTCGTAGGCTAGAGAGAAGGAAAAATGTAATCAATATTGAACACCAAATCTAGAAGTCTTGCACATCTCAAACGCCTAAGCCAAGGATTTTTGCCTTACTAAGCTAATCATTATGTTCTCATTCTGACCATTATTAGATTAGATGTAAATGCTAATGGAGAAAATTGTGAAATAATTTACTATCATCTTTTCGTATTAGTTAGTTCATTACAAACTATAAATCGGCACACGTACGCGTTGTGAAAATATTTTTAGCAGGAACTAAGTATTGAAGTTGTGCTAGCCATGGCTATATTTAGTTTCTATACCCCAGTTGCAATATTTACTTCGGAAAAAGAAACAGTTTGCAATGGTTTGCGAAAATCTCCACAGCCACCTTTTTTCTTTACAAAAAAGGCTTGCGGATAATAAATGAAAAAGTTGGAACAGACGTCAATTCCAACTATTACAGAACAAAGCATTAATGAAAACCAATCGTAACTTACTATATGATTCTGCAAATGTAATAAGTGCACAGCCTTGCTCTCCAAATTCCACATGTAATACTTCCAGACCACTCACTACTTCCATGTACGAAGCCAGTGCATCTCGGGTGGTTGCTTCACTAAGTCCTTTGACGAGAAGCCTCTTAGGGTCAACAGGTATTTTTTTGGCCGGTTTTTTTATGGTGACGTGCAATTCTGCACCGTCAAGAGTAAGAACGCCTTTCTTCAGAACTCCTTGGGCGCCTTTTGAATAAGTAGAGAGAAAGGGAGAAAAAAGCAACGCTCCGGTGGTCTATACTAAATGAAGCGGTTTCTTAAACAATACATACATAAAAAGCTGTTTCTTACAATGGGAATGGGTGGATAGGGAAAGGCATCACGTGTGAGACCTACGAGGCTTGTTCGTACCCATCCCCGTTGCTTAGTTCTGTGCCCAACTAAGCTTGGCAAATTAACAGAGTTTTTGTTTGTCCTAGTTAATATAAAAGGGTTACTACTACAACTACCTACCTATGGAGCATTCATTGTTGACAGAACGCATTTATAACGGCAGGATCATACAAAAAGGAATTAAAATTGAATCTTTTTCTGACTTTTGGTGTAAGTGGTAAGGTCGAGAGAATTTAGTGTTTTGGGGAATGGGCCTGGGAACACAAGCTTTTGGTTAGGTGGCTCTTTTGTTGGTAAGCTGTTATGGGTATTACACACAACAACGAACAAACAGACAAGCAATAACCTAGATAGGATCCAGGGTAAGGGGGCTTCTTGTCTTTTACTTTACCATTCCCACTCACTTTCAGCTAAAATAAACGTCAAGACAGCACATCCCTTTTCAGTGACAATCTCCACGTCGCTGATCTCCCCTCCACCAGAACGCCGAGTGTTTTCAAAGAAGTTTATAATGGCATCTTTGGTTGTTGTTGAAGCAAGCCCGGTCACTTCAATGGTACGCGATTCCTCCATTTTTTCCTCATCAGGTATACCAACTGTCGCGTTACGGCTTAACGCCACTGTTACCAAAGCTTCGTCAAGGGAATGCTGTTCTCGCTGTAACACCGTGGTAACAACTAAAATGGAGGAAAGTGAAGACAAATTTCAATGTCGAAATCCCGTCAAAGTAACCATGGACCTTTTCTGGTTTTCTGGTACTTCGGCTACATAAAGATCAATCTTCTCGATTTTATTATGGTGTAGGTTTTCACCAAACTTTAATTCTACCCGGGAAGAAAAATTCAGATTTTTGCTCTGTCAGTATGGCAAAGCGCAAGTCGCTGAAACAACGGCGCCTGAGACGAAACAGAGAAATTCCTTATTAAACAAGACGCTATCGAAGCGTACTCCTGGGCGTCGTTGTATTACGCGTATTTGAGGATTTTTGTGTCAGGCACGTGTAAATGCCGCAACGTTGTTAATTGTTAAGGACTGGTTGAATTGGGAGCAAAGGAGACGTGGAGCCATAATGGACGTTGTTTAGTATGTTAATAGCTCTTTGATAACTTGAATAAACCAGTTAAAACTATAGATTATTATTAAAGATATATTGTAACAGAAGTGGATCTCGCTCTCATGATTTAATAAGCTAATTAATCAATCAGCCAACCAATTATTCAGTCAATCAGTTGTGTGGCTTCATACTGATAGCGACAGATTCTACTGCCACCAGATGTTGTCTAATACATATTGATCCATACGTTTACTTTGTTTCTCTGAATAGAAGCGTAGTTACAATAACCGAACGCCGTCTCTAATCTTTTCAGGGTCTTGAAGGGGCTATGTCACAAGGATATTGCTGTGCTGGGTTAATAATGTACTAAAGTGCCTTTACATATACCCAAAATGCTCTGTTAGGGATATGAAGAATATATCAAACAAATTTCATCAGGGAGCGTTAACCATTACAACATTTTTGGTGATTTCTGCAGCCATAGCATTAAGTCTTTTCGGTCTTCTTTTGCACCGATGACACGGATGGACATGGATTGAAACTTGAAAAAGCTAGGCAAGCTTTTTCAAGTTTCAATCCATGTCCATCCGTGTCATCGGTGAAAAATACGACCAAAAACAGTTTCAATAGACCTTTTTACCGATACGGCGGCCATATTGAATTAATTCGATTTCAGGAGTATTATAGGATGCCCAGGTATTCTTACAATAACATTGTAATGGGAAAAAAGATCCTTGTGCCGTGTTTGGATGTAATAATGATCGCCTTTTTGTAGTTTAGTATTAGAAATTTGGTCTTTCACTGTATATTTGTCGGGAAAAAGGCGATCATTATTAAATCAAAACACGGCACAAGAATCTTTTTTCTCATTAAAATCTCATTCTAAGAAAACTTTAAGAAAAAATGTCCCGAAAAGCGCTCGAAAATACAAACGAAATGTGCCCATGCCCCCTGGGCATCCTATAATACTCCTTAAATAGAATTAATTCAATATGGCCGCCATATCAGTAAAAAGGTCTATTCCTAAATATAGTCATTTAAATGACAATGCAAGACCACTATATAATTTTTCGGATTAGTTGATGCAAAGAAAGGTTTAGATTTTCAAAAAGATAGCAAGTAGCTAGCATGACAATGCTACTTTACACAATCTTTCGGCCGCTTACCACTGGCGTCTTCAAATGTTACGAACGCTAAGCCATTATCACGTTGGATTTCCACACTTTCTACGTATCCACCTCCCGATCGTCGCGTGTTTTCGAAGTAATTCCAAAGTGAGTCTTTAGTGGTTATTGATGACAGGCCTGTCACCATGATGGTCTTGCAATTATCAGGCATCTCTATACTGACATCAAGTGTAGCACCATTTAAAACGTGTTTTTCACGTTGGATAACCCGGTTTGCCACTATAATAGGAGACACAGACACGGGAACTTACAACAGCTCCTTATAATAGAATACGTTTTTTAAAGTTACATTATAACTTGTGTCACCTTTTGCGCTCCAATACAAAAAAACAATTTCGATATATAAAAATTAAATTTGTTTCCAAGGCTTGGGAAATGAAACAAAAGAAATCAACTTGAGGCTAGGGGGTGATCATGAATAAGACAATTCTTTCGTTTTATTCCCTCAAGCCTTGCAGCCACATGTAGTAATTTTAATACATCGAAATTGGTCTATTGCAAAGCCGGCGTTTCCTTCGTTTCAGCAATAAGCTTTAAAACAGGGCCCACTGATGGGACCTAAAATTGCGTTAGTCCCGTAATTTGCCAAATTAAGTCAACTAGAGCTCCAATTCTCTTTTCTTCAATCAAAGATATCAATGCGCTGCCTTTTTGTTTGGTGGAAGAACAAGGGAAAAACACGGAAAACTGGGAAACTTCGTTGTCACTAGGACGCTTAAATGGTACGTCATCTTTTTTTTTGCTTAGTTACGTAAGGAAAAGAAAAAATACCTTCTGATGACTCAAACTTGACCCGTGCTGTATTTTCAGTAATTTTCACCTCTTCTACTTGACCACCATCCGAACGTCTGGTGTTCTCAAAATAGTTCAACAGAGAATCTTCGGTTGTATTTGTGGAGATCCCACGGACTATCACAACACTGGACTGCAAAGAAATGTGAGTCGCAGTGAACAAAAAAACAGTATAGTTTGTTTATTCGCAGATCAAGTATACACAACAAGTATACATACAAGGTGGAAAAACAAGTCCCCTACAAGATTACACCGCCTAGTAAATAAAATTAATCACTGAAATACCTCTCATCAAAAGTAAATCTAAGGCCATAGAGCAAAGGTAACTACCTCACTGACGCCAGAATTAATAATCAAATCCGTAGTTAATTTACTGCAGGTAAAAGCATATAGGTAAACTGTAAGTCAACCTAAATCATTGGTAGTTCAAAGGACCTTCCCCAATGGTTAGGCCAACTATCCAACAGTTATAGGTTAGACGATTCAATTTCTAAAATATCCAGGTAGCTTCCTTAAGACGAAACGAGTAAGGAAATGCACTACAATCACGTACAAACGGAGTTTTCACTTTGTATAGTCACTTAAACCCCCAAATGCAACTTGTGCATCAAATCTTTAGTATAAGCACATATTCAAAATTCGTCTTCAGTGGATTCTGACCTGACTTGATGGCAAGTTCCGTTTGTCCTCATTGGGATGGCTTGAAACCTGAACTTGGGTTCCGTTAATGGTGTGTGTTCTGAGTGTTACATTTGTAGCTACTGTAGAGACAAGAAAATTATTGTTACCTGCCATTTTACGTACCACTAGTTCTCAAATGTGATCGTTTTCGTTTTTCTTACTCATTATAAATAAACATTTCTAAAACTCTCAGCGCATAAACTGAATTTGGACTAACTATGTTAGCTACAATAGATGCAAATTTAAAGTACTTCCAATAAAAATTTTGCCTTACGATAAATTGTGCTTGGCTAAATAAGCAGAGGGGACGAAGAAGGTGGTTTAGATTCACTTTGAAACTTTTTAAAGTTCAAACTTTTAAAAGAACACATATTCCCACACCATTTAAGAAATTACCTTCTGATGACTCAAACTTGACTTGCGCTGTATTTTCTGAGATTTTCACTTCCTCTACTGGCCCGCCACCTGATCGCCTGGTGTTCTCAAAATAGTTCAAAAGAGCATCTTCAGTTGTGTTTTTGGAAAGTCCGCGGATGAACACAACACGGGACTGAAAGCGAAAGCGAGTAAACAAGAAATGTAATCAAAAAAATACTCCTTAAACTTTGTTGTATATGTAAATATATATCACGTCAATGCGAGGCGCCTGACAACAACAACAAAAACAAAAAACACACAAAAATGATTCTAAATATCAAACCCTTCACTATACACAGGGGAGAAGAAGCATATGGTTTTCAGTCATCAAGGGCATAGAAATCATAGGAATTCTGTCTAGTAAGTGGTACCCTGGGGAAGAAATCAATCCGTGGCGTAAAAGTTGGAGTTTCTGATATATAGTTAGACTGCATGGGATAGTACAAGAATTAAAAATTGCAGTTGAGCATAATTCTGGTATAGGTTAAGACTTCCAGGATCCCAGCGGCACTCCCCCGGCTCAACTTTAGATTCTTTGAGTACCCCGGGGATTTCGACGCGTTAGAAAACTAAAGTTCACTTCAGTTACCAGGGCTAATCATTCATCCCACCTGGACGCTTTGTTCTTCTTTCTAATCAAACAAACTGATTGTTACCGCCGCATCACAGTGAAAGTTTATTTTGGAAAAGAGAACACAGGGGCGAACCAACCCGCTTTTCGACCTTTCAATTTTGCAAATACTTTTCATTCCGAGCCATTCTTTAGATTCTCTACTTAAAACAAACAATTGTGTGTCACTAACTGACCTGATTTGATGGCAAGTCCTGCTCCCCAATGAACGGATGACGGGACACCTCAACTTGCACTCCGATTATGGTATGAGTCCCTCGTGTTACGTTACTAGCAACTTCCGAAACAAAACAATAACAACAACAAGATCAAAATGTTACATCCTTCGATTTAGGTGCATGAATGTTTTTCAGGATATTCGGTTTCGCGCTTTGATGAAGCCCACCAGGCTAAACATTTCAGATTGAATTGGCTTTTGGAAGTGCTGGTCTTTGAGAAGCGAGGAAAATTGTAGTATAGTACCAGGGTAAAATTCATACCCCTTGGATTAAGCAGAAGACCAACAATAAACGTAACCCACGTATTGCGTTCACGGCGGGAGACGAGCCCAGGTACATTCTAGAATCTTTGACGAAACGAGAAGACAGTGTCTGCAGCTCATGTCTTTAATAGTTCCAACGACAATAAATGATACATAATGAGGGCGCATTTTTATGTTATTATTTTTTTGTGTTTGACAACTTTGGGGAAAATGGGATATTTGTAAGTCCCCTTCTAGGCTCCTTGAAAAGGAGACAAACAAGAGGGACTTGAGACGAAGAAAGCACCGTTTGATGATCTACCCGTCTCCATGCTAGCACGAGGCGTCACGCAATCTTTTCTTTTGGACCCAACAACAAAAGTACAAATCTAATTTATACGCTCAGACGACAGAAATAAAATGACGCTCAAATGACAGAAATTGACAACAAATTCAAGGTCGCACTGTTGAGTGAAATTAGACATAGAAAACTTAATTTCACTGTCATAATGGACGGAAATCTGATGAATTTTTGTGGCCTCATCATGCAAGAATGGATGATGGCAGAAATCGTCGAATGAATTGTGGTCAATAGTCTGGCTACTCGAACTGTGGTTATAATGACCCTTTTAAGACTAAACTAGTGTACCGTGGCCTACTTCTCAAATTATGAAACAAATGTTTTTAAAGGCTCAATTATTAAGAGAACATTATGCATATTTGTTCAGTGCAGGTATAACAAACGTCGAAAGTGAAACCGGAAGCAAACGAAATAAATGACACCGAATAACTTGAATTTGCATATTATCAGTTTTAATCCTTGACAAGTTTCCAACGAATTATCAATAGTAGCCGCCAATAGCTGGCAAGGATATGAATCTTACTGCTATAAAACAACAAGTTAAAGGCAATAGATAACATATGTTAAAAGCTTACTTTCCTGGTCTTCAAAAGTGATAATGTACTCTTCATCGTTGATTTGCTTAATCGAACTGATGTCTCCTCCACCAGACTGTTTACGAGACTGAAAATATATTTCTAATTCTTTCCTTGGAACTTTCTTTCCTGTAACACGAACGTAAATCCGGCCTTCACCCATTTGAGCGACGGTTTATTTTTCGCTTTCAGTTGAACACCGTTTCGCTCTTCCGCACCACTAGAAACTGAAAACACGGGCCATTCGGAGAAAACATGTCGGGAAAGTACCGGAATGACGTCACGGTGCAAAATATGACAGACCGAGGGGACGGGTGGCTTATCTTACACCTTTTTTTTATTTTACTTCATTGTGTTTAATTTAATTTTTATTGTTATTTTTCTCGATGTGGTGTTACTTTTAAGTGGGATTGTTTATATGATTCCTTTCCCAAAAATGGTTGCAAGATCTGAATGTTGAATGAATGCACTGAAGCCATATGCCGATATTCCACCCCCATTTGTGGCTGATATGCATTTTTCTGGGAAACAAATCGGGCTTTCCCAGAAACCAAAACAACTGCTTGATCTAAAAATACTCGAAGGAAGCCTTAAAATATAAGTTTATTATTCAGTCTTCAACAGCAGAGTGAATAAGATTACAATGGCATACGCATTGAAACCTGATGATTTTGCCTCAAGAAAAGTAATAGTTAAGAATCTTTCGCCTATCACAAAGCAGGAAGACATAATCATTCACTTTCAAAGAAGAGGCAATGGAGGAGGAGAAGTCGACTCTGTTCACATGTTGAACGAACGAGCCGCAGTTGTCACATTCGAAGAATCAACAGGTAAGTTTGAACTATGGTTGTCTTCATACTCTGCATAATGTAGTTCCGTGCTATTACCATTCACCTTCAAGTTTGTTTTCAGTTCGCGCGATGCAGTGTTAACTTAGTTTAAATTAAGCGGATATGTACCTTGCACATAAAATAAATGGGAAGTATAGTGTACTAGAGTGCATTATACAGTTCGTCAGCTGTTTCACAAACATTTTTTTCAACATACGTAGATATCGTTATGCCTTTGCTAAGGAAAAAAAAGGAAAGATAAATAAACCTTTCTTCTACAATACAAATGCCTAGATAATTTTAAACGGACTCCGTTCCGGGTGACAAAGTTAATATCAAAATCGGAGTGTTCTAGAAGATCAGTGAAATCATGAATTTCCAAAAGTATAAGGTGTTCAAACCCACTTCTTTTTATTTCCATAGCATTAAAATACGGTCTTTTCTGTTCTGATTTAAATCGAAACTAATCGGATATTGAGACTACGACAGTGCAGAACAGCCTGCGCGAACGACTAGTTTCCGAAATATTGCGGAAAGTGAAACTGAAAGTGGCTGTTTTTTTTCCAAATGCCTTGTTTTCATATATAATGCATACGTGGGGCCATCACAGGGTGAAAATTCCGAGCGGAGGTGCAGTATTTCATTGCCTTGTATTTGTTCAACGGATTTGTAGTTTACTTTGGGGGAAGACTTGGGACGCGATCCATTCAACCAAACCTTCCGGAAATTTCAGTCCAAAACTCAATGGATCGGTTCGGTCCAACCGGAAAAGTTTCGAAAAAACGGGTCCACCTTTTGAGCGGGCGCTTTCCATTCAACAAAAATTCCGGTTTGAAATTTCGGAAACTTCACGTGCTCAATGGAACGGTACATTCCGGTTGTACAGACCCGACCCAAGCCACCGCGCGTTTTGTTATTGTGGCTTCACAGCACACTCATAATTACTGGGCTGCCTGTGCGGCCCAGTCATAAAATGGGCTTTCGGTCGTCGGTGTCAAAAAGTGACCTCCCGGGGGAGGGAAGACACGAGGGTCTGGTACCGAGAAACGATGTTCTCACAAATGGTTTCATATGAGTTTCTCTTGCGCGGAGCCTTGCACGGATACTTTTTGTACCTTGTCTGCGCTCCCCCTGAAAAACCCACAAGGCGTTGCGAGCCTGAAGAAGGCTATTTGCGTTGTTCGAAGGGTCGGCATTATATTCTACCCACCAAAACCACATCGATCGAGAGGGACTGAGATTGAATTTTGGACACCTTGTGACATGTTATACCAACGAAAGATGCCTACGATGTTTTGATGTATTCGCCTCTCGGCGATACGCCTTTCTTTTGCTTTGAGCTTTATTATATTTGGGAGATCGCTTTCTCGCCAAGAAAGGATGAATATAACGAGTATAACCGTATTTCGGCAAATAATGTACATGAAGTTTTAAAACATGTTTCAGATATTTCATGGGGCTACGTGATACACATCTAGCCCCAAACACTGATGGTGGTTTTGGATGATGTTGAAGTCTACATCCACCAAAACCACTCGACCCGTCCAGACCGCACATATGAGCCCTTACCTATAACCATTGTTAAATCTCCAAAGAGGCAAGGGTTTTAATTTTTTTAGGCGCATAGTTACGCTTCTGCAAAGTACTGACGGACGTTTTAAGAGCATACTCATAGAGCATAATAGCGGAGCTCACGCGCGCGCGAAGCGCGCGCTTGCGGAGCACCATGGGTAAGAAAATTTGGTAAACTATCCATCCGAGAAAATTTGGTTATGACGTAGCGTACGCCCACCCGTACACACACTTCATGTAAGCTGAAGTCAACTGTCACATCTTGGAGAAATTAACACTTAGTAAGCCATCCGCATGAGGATGAATTGGCAGCTGTGAAAATCAGACATCCGCTGACAGTAATCACATGACCATCTCGCGGGCTCAGATGAAAGATAAGTCGTTTTCGCTACATATAAGCTGATATAATATGTCACACCAACATAAAAATGAAAATGAAATGAAACTTCGCTTTCACCAGGGCTGTCAGTTTAAGGTTATACGCAGTAGCCAAATTAAGGTCAATTGACAGCTGTCAAAATGGGACATGTGAAGACCACTATCAGATCACTAACAACGTGGGCTCAAATACACGACATTTCGCCCCATTAATCCTCCATTACAACCCAGACTAACACTCGCAGTCAACAGTACGTTTATCTGAAAATTCGCCATTCTAATGAAGTTCAATTGACAGCTGTCAAACTACAGCATCCGTTGGCCATCATCACCTGACCGTATCGCGGGCTCAGGTATCGGCCCACTTAGTTCGAGGTTTTTTGAAGTTACTACTTTTCAAATGATTGCAGGCTCAAGTTCAATATTTTTAACGCATAGGAAATAGGAAGTTGTGTTTATGAGTCGCACTATTAAACTTTTAATTTCAAACTGACCTCGGACGCGAGAATTCAGCCAGCTTTTACAAACAGGGAATTTGCTTTTGACCTTTCTCACTATGGTCACGCGTTGGTCACGCTCTACGTCCAATTTTTATGTTCTGATTGGTCAAAAGTTGACAGGTGCGTTCAAGCGGAAAATTTATGCAGCATCTTGAAACTTGTTTACTGGTAGCTGAAACTGACGGAGTTTTGTGTATAAACGTTGTGAAGCTTTTAACTGTCTTTTTCTACTGGATGCACAAAATGAAATACAGATGCTAGCAAGATTCTTAAGTTATTCGTGGCTGGTTTGTTTATTGGTTGAGAAATGCGCCGCTTGTCAAAGTCATCGGAAATCCGACTTCGGATGGATGGCTTTTACTCACTTCCCCTTGCCTGATGCGTATTATAAAGAGGGTGCGGAAAAGTCTCAAGCGATTCTGATGGCCTTCAGGAGCATCTTGACTGGTAAGCCTGAGTTATTATTGTATTTGATGTGTTTTTTTTTCTGGTTTCCTAAAGTCGAGCGTAGTTTCTGCGCCTAGTTTATGCACAAGAAAAAAAGTCTTAACATTTTCTGGCCACAAATACAATGAAAACGTTGCGAAGAATACAATTTTTTTAGTCATGCTTTTGGCTGTAAAGAGAAAGCTCTGGGTGATATTCTCGCCTCGCGGTTCATCTTGAAGTAAACACCTGGAAGCCGGCTTAAATCTGCAGGGTTTTTGAAGTTTATGAACTTATGCTCATGATTTTCAGAGACACTTACTCTCAAAACTTATCGTCGTGAATGAAAATTGTTGTCTCTGTACATGTTTCACCGAGTTATATTTATTTTACTGATTGTTAGTAGTCTCTTTCTCAATTTAATCGCTGCGCAGGTTTTCAGTCGAACATATAACAAAACATCGCTCACAGGAGTACTCAAAATGCTGCGCGCAAATATCACATAAGAAAACCATGAATAAAGGGAAATAAACCCTAAACATAATAAGTTCTCTATCATGTTGAAGCTTAAACGTTATACAAAAGGCTCCGACAGCTCGGACTGCAAATTTGGTGCTTGACAACAGTGAGAGCCCGTCCGGCTGGCCGTATAGGTGATTTTGGGAATTTTTTGATCGTTCTCACTAAAAGCCCATTGTTATATTACCCTACATATCACATAGGAGCAGATTTTTCCGACTAAACAGTCCCGGTATTATGGAAAATTCTCTTAATGAAAACGTTGTCAATTCTATAATTTTTTACTCAAAGAAAGCGCGTGCTTCGATCGTCCTGGATATCGAATGAGCGCAATTTGTCTTGCAAAATTGTGAAAAACTGCAGAATTATAGGTTTAAATGGGGCAAGGAAAAACAAATTCTGTTCGACGTCTGTATGATCAAAAACAGGCACACAGGCATAGCACTGTTTTCCTCATATCGTATACATGTATAAAAACACTGATAAAAGGTATTTTTAAAAGGCTGGTTTACACTGACCACCAGATTTCCTAGGGTCTGGAAGGGTATTCTCGGGACCCGGGATAAGAGTAACATACAGTGCGGGATTCTGGAAAACGCAAAATGCTTTGACGGGATACGGGATTTGACTGTTACACGGAAAGCGAGATTCGCCAAAATCTTGGAACGGGAGGCGGATTTGGGAAAGGAAACCGTATTCGGGGTAGAGATGACAGAAGTTCGGGATGCGGGATTGTCGTGGAAAAGGATCGGGAATGCGGGATCAGGGACCCCCCTTCCAGACTCTGATTTGTCGCCAAGATTTATTTGTTAAGTAAACCTGTCGAACACAAATCGTTTTCGAAACACAAAAAGACCGGCCTGATTTATTTTTTATTTTGGCCTTCCTTTTAGACAGAGGAATGCAACGTGTAAATTGGCTGCAACCGAGGACTCTCTTGTGTTGCATAAAATTATGTTTCGGGGATATCCAATTATCTCTATAGTCTCTCCAACGGAGTGGTTGGAGAGACTGTGAATTAACCTTATCAAATAAAGGCAGTGTAGGAAGGTGACTGGGTTTAACTTCTTTTGTTTGGGAAGAATTTGTTTTCTAGGCCTAATCTACTGTGATCGAAGAAGATTGCTATTTTTTGGTGTACATATCAGACTATTAACTCGATGCAAAATTTTTTTCACTCTTGGACTGTCAAATTATTCTTCTCTAAGGAATCACTTTCCCTCAAAAGTTGCATGAATGTACCTTAAAGTTAACTGATTAATGTTTATTGTTTTATTTAAATTATTAATTTATTAACGTGAGCTTCGCTTTTAGCCCTGGCTAAATCTATATATTAATTATTGACACAATGAAAATTTTAATCATGGTTTTTATAAGTTGTTATTGTTTACATATACAAAATATTTTATTTTTTTACTTTTATCCCCGGAAACAAACAAGAAGATCGTGGCGGGAATTTTAAGTTACGAACCCGCGTTCGATAGGAAAATTGCTGAGAACTCATGGCAGAGTTTGAAACGAGATCGACGAGCAAGTTTTCCTGCTTTAAAGTGGACAAAGATTTTGGGAACTTTCGTGTGTATCTAAGGGCGCGATCCATTCAACCAAAATTTCCGGAAATTTCGGTCCAAAACTCAAAGGATCGGTTCGGTCCAACCGGAAAAGTTTCGAAAAAACGGGTCCACCTTTTGAGATGGACCACTTTTCCTGGTCGGACCAGTTGGAATTTTGGTTGAATGGATCGCGCCCTTAGAAGGTTCATCTATTACTGCGCTTTTCACAAAGATGCGAATTCTGGAGTTCAAAAGCCAACTGACGATTGCGTTTTTCGCTGCCGTCAGTCATCTTAACGGACCTCTTAGAAAACAAAACTTTACTTTAACGGGTTCAAAAGGTCAAGGTTTGTGATTTGTGATTGGTGGATTTCGATCCGTTTTGTGTGTTTGTGTGTTTCAATGTTCGTTGCTTGTGATCGTAATTATGAAACGGCAGCGAAAAACGCAATTGTGAATGTACATTCAGAAGTCATACAAATTTAGAATTTTGGAAGTCACTCATAAATAATTTTGGAAGTCAATACAGTCGATAAAATCCATGCCGGAAAGAATTCTCTTCTTGCAGTGGGGGCGGGGGGGATATAAAACTCGCTGTAATTTACACCTAGCTACCCTGGTTCCAGAGGTTGTTCTTGATTTTTCTCCGCGTGAGAAAGAACGAGCACTTACCAGCGAGCTTCGCGATTCGTTCTCTCCGCTTTGCTCGTTTCCAACATCTTACTAACATCTCAGTCATTATGCATGAAACTGTACCCCGCCTTATATATTTTCTGCACCCCCACAACTGTTAAATAGACGCAGCCTTTCTCGAGCCTTTCTCTTTCTTTCAGCTCCCAGTACAGAAGTGTAGTACACTCTGGTGGTATAGTAGAATTTCGACTTCACTAACGCTAGAGTCCTGGTGGTTCAGTGGTTAGAACGTCCGATCTAGCATTCGAATGTTCAGTTGTTCGTGCATATCATCCGTACATTTTCCGAGAATCTTCGGTTACGACTTTTAAGTTATTCAAAATTCAATCTCAGTCCCTCTCGATCGATGTGGTTTTGGTGGGTAGAATATAATGCCGACCTGTTCGAAGCGATTCGACCATTGGAGTCACTCTATAATTTTTTTATTGTTCGAGTTTAAGTCAGTTAGATGATGTTGGCGCTGGGAAACTCAGAGAAATGGTCGCGTTGCATTCAAACCGACACGCCGTTCACGGTAGGTTCACTCTAAAAGACTGAAAAGATGACTGTGAGCGTCAGGTTTGGAACGCCGTGGCCACTTCACGAACTATCGATCGATGCAGTACATGAGCAATTAAGAAGCACAATTTATGAGCAAAGTATTTCACCAGTTGATGACACTATGGCTGAAGACTTGATTGTAAGCCGTCATAGTCGGTGAAGCGAACAACTCAGTTGCCGATGAACGGCAGATGAAATCCTGATGTGACGCACGTCCATGAGCGAGGGACGTGACAACTTTGCCATGTTAGAAGACTGGCTTTTGCTTTAAATATTTCTTTCTATTTAATGCAACACACACCACTTTGGAGGTCTAAATTTCGGATACTGAGGATAAAGAAGACACGGACAAAAATAGGAACTCTGAGAATTTCGCACACAAGTTTAAAGCTTCTCCGGGACATCCCATCCGGGAGCTTCACAGAGAGCGACTTGAGGAAAACAGGAGCTATTACTGACAAGGTTTGGTGACTGAGTAAGGCATACAAGTGTAGCCCACGTCGAGGTTTCAGGGGGTTTGCTTTTGTTTGTATCTGTATCTTGCTAAGCTTTTACCATTAAATTTGTACAAGATCTTGTTATCACAACTCTGTGTTTTCGCCCATTCAGCAAGCACGCTATATTGATGTTAGTATTAGCGAGTTTCAGAAACATGCCTTTGAAAATTTTCAGCTCTCGTGATGTTTCTTGATATTTCATTTACCATTTTATGGAGATGTAAACTGAAGTCACCGCAAAATGGAAACTTAAAAAAGCGTATAATCCATGTATCTCGAAACATAACACACATGACTTATACGGCCTTTATTTTTGTAAAGGTGTTTTGAATACGAACGAACACAGTCAATGTGAGGGGAAAAAACAGCATTAATATAAATGAACCATAGGATTTTAACTAATATAAGGGTCAGTTATTGTGCATTGAGATGAATCGCTTGAAAAGAGAGACTTCGCTTGAAGATGTGATCAGAAGTAAACAAAGGCATAATAGTGCGTCACGTTCAGTCTTTTTAATATCAAGGAGTCACACTGTGAATAGTGTTTCCATATTGTTTAGCTGGCACAAAAACTTCGGACGAGTTATAAAGCGGCATAGTTATCTTCCATGAAGAAAAGTTAGTCTTGGGTGAGACAAACAGAACTGGAGCGAATTTTTAACTCACATCGGTATCAGGTAAAAAATATGTTATCGATCGTTTCATCTATTTACATTGTATGAAGTGCGTGCTGGTGAACGCAACATGCGAGCGAGAAATCTTTAAACTTTTTTAGGTCTCAAAATGCAAAGGATTTTATTCCTTTAAGTAAGAGAAAAATACCAGGAGGAAAATCTTAAAACTGAATATTTTTCATCTTGTGGAAAAAAAAGTGCGTTTTCATGTATACTGTGGACCGCAAATTAGGATCGCACTTTTCACAAACATGCGAATTCTGAAGTTCAGAACCCAACCGACGATTGCGTTTTTCGCTGCTGTCAATCATCTTAACGGACCTCTTAGGAAACAAAACTTTACTTCACGGGTTCAAAAGGTCATGGTTTGTGATTTGTGGATTTCGATCCGTTTTGTGTGTTTCTCTGTTTCAAGGTTCGTTACTTGTGATCGTAATTATGATTGACGGCAACGATAAACACAATTGTGAAGGTGGCTTTTGAACTTTGGAGTTCGCATGTTTGTGAAAAGCGCAGTAAAGCCTCCGTGCAGTCAGTGAGGCCCCTGGATCAGGCGGGATCAATGGGCGGTTAACTGTCTGTTTTAGTATACTTCTTGTTTTCATACAATACAATATTTCTGTCTAGTGTAAATCAGCTCAGTCTGTCGCATCTTATGCTCATAGAAGGACAACAATTTTTGGAATTTCCGGTTACGTCAAATTAGTCACGTTATACTGTCACGCTATATTTTGGGGCACAGAGGGATTGGGGGAGGGGTGCGTGGAAATAATGCAAATTGTTTCCTGTTTAGAATTAATGGCTAACTTGTTTATTTTTATTCATAATGGTGGAATTTAAAAGTTATTATACAGCCCCCACTTAAAAATGGTACTCTTTTTTTTTGGTTACGAAAGTCTTTCAGAAGGGTACAATGTTCTGAATGAGTTTATGTTTCAGTCTCACATGAGATTCTGTTGCATGCAATGGTTGCCGACAAGGTTTTATGGTAACCTGAGTGTGTATAGCCGCCCCCTCCCCTCAGAAAAAATAGCCCCTTTGCAGCCCAGTTAAAAAACGCCTTTCGGCGATTCTTGTTACGCTCTAAAACAGAAAAGTAAATACTGTTTATATCCTAAAGAACACTCGACTGTCGTAAAGGGGCGGTGGAAAACTAAAGGCTGAGGAATCCTATTTCGTGTAGAAAGCCTATGAATGCAAGTGAAGGTAAAAAATTCTTGTGAATTGAAGCGATACGTTTCTCAGAATATTCGAACGATTCGAAGCAATTCCTGGAACTGTACGGTAAATAAATTCGGTGCTTTGGCCAATTTGTAATCAGCCAGGCTTTGTTGTATTCATTTCAGTTTAATTGATAAATTGCTTTAGTTAAATATCGTCGACAGGTTTCAGACAAATAATACGCTGATTCTCACGGACTTTTATACAATTGTAGCTTGATTACACACACTTTTTTTCACCTACGTGTCGTGTTGTGTCAGTTATTTGACACTGTTAATGGCAAATAAAATAAAATCGAAAAAAATTGCAACTGATTCAAACTATTTGAGATGTCATGCTTTACTCACAGCACTTCACTTTCCACTGGAAAATACTTGTAATTCGAGTTATCCGAGTTCGAGAAATCGAGTATCTACTGTACTTCTGGAGCCGAGTCTTACAATGGAATAACAAGCTATCGTGGTAAGCACGGTTAGTTTCTGTTCCAGTCCCCCAGACAACTTGATGGGTTCCATGAGTAGAACCGACCGCCACAGTTTTTCGGTACCACGTTATTTAACAATTATTCCTCGAGCCCGAATGGGCTCTGAGTCGATAGCCCATGCTAGTTAAAGCTAGACTTTAACCCCTTTTTGCCGCCAAAAAGCCCGCGCTTTTCGCTACTAGTGGGCTATAACATATAGCCTAGTAGTTGCTCAACCAATCAGAACGCAGGGTTAGGGTTAGGGGTTAGGGTTAGGGTTAGACCACTTATAATAGACCACTAGTTGGATTTTACTAAATATGCTTAGTGGATAAGCGCATCAGCTTGGTGGGCACATATCAAGTACAGTAGAAACAATAACAAGATACATGGTTAAAACAAAATAGTGATCACTTCAGCTATAAATTCGCTGAAGACAGTGCACTCTACACAGTGTAGCTTTTAACTTGGGGTTGTATTTACATCTCTGTTCAATCTGTTTAATAGCCCTAACCACGTTTATTCCTTTCTCAACAGTTGCCGAGTCCGTTTTAAAGAGGCAGCATGAGATACACGGCTCCCTGGTTACCGTTGAGTTGTATAGACCACTGCCAGATCAGGTAATCGAAATCAATCCTGAACTTCACGAAATAACTTTTATTTCTGTAGACGTGTCTAGCTACGGTCGATTTTTACCGGCTCTTTTTTAAAGATTATTTGCCATAGACAGCGCTAGACCAACACTAGAGTGACCTTGGCCAGTTTAGCCATACCTGTTTGCTTCTCAGCCCTAATTACGTTTGTCCAATTTCATAGGTTTTTGGTAGAGTGTCTGGTCGCATTGATCCTAACACCCTAAATGCAAGTAATCACTCAATGAAAACCATTCTTCAACAAATTCAGGACGAAACAAAGGTCGAGTGGAAAGAAATATTTGATGGATTCGTCGTCTCTGGTACCTTCGATCAACTTAAAGCTGTCAACAAGTTGGTGAAGAACAAACTGACAGAAAAGAAGCATGGAAAGAACATTTTTTCTCCAAGCCTTTCTGGACATGTCAGTAGGTGTGACAAGGCTTCACCTGCTCCACCAGTTATGACACCTTCGACAGAAACGTTTCGAAAAACGAGAGACCAGAGTTACGAAACGACCAGCACAAGCTCAAGTCAAGTAGACAACCAGTCATCTGCCAACGAGCTGATGGCAGAGACTCAAGTAATTGACCCCTGTGTACAAAGCAGTCAACTCTCTTTGAATCCGGACGATCTTCTCCAATCCGTGCTGGAAACGTATCATAGCAATGAACCTCAAACATTCAAGAAAGTGAAAACTGATGCCAGTGATAAATACAGTACATTAAATGGTATCCCAACTTTTGAGACTGTGACAGATTCCGGTGTAGTCTTCTCTGATGCAAACGTGCCCATGAAGAAGACCGCCAAGAAAACACAACAAGAAGAAAAAACAAAGGAACATTGTCGGCTAACAACGTCGGGGACATCCAGTGAACAAATTAAAGGAAAAAAGGATGCCAGCATTACTTCGCAGCTGGATTATGAAATTGCTGAAGAACGCAAATCTTATGCTTGTGACTTGCAGGCTAAGGAAGAAGAGATTCATGCCATCAAGACCGAAAACGAGTCAGATTCCACTCCACCTGTTGGCATGGAAGAAAATGCTAAACAATCCCAAAATTTGGAACGTAATACCACATCTAATGTCATCTCAAACACGAATCAAGAACTTGGTGTCACACGAAAAGGCACATACATGTTTGACACAGTGACAGGTCTCAGTGTTTGGTTGACAAAAGGAGATATAACCAGTCAGCAAGATGACATTCTTCTCAGCCCTATTGACCCTTCACTTTCATTAAAAAGTGATTTTTTAAAATGGATATTTAGGAAAGGAGGCGAAGCAATCAAACAAGAATACCTACATAAGAAAGAATCCCATGCTCATCCACACGATCCAGTCATCACGGGTGGTGGTAACCTGCCCTGCCGAGCAATTGTGTTTGCCGTACTTCCACTGTGGAATAACGAAGTGCAGGACAAAAAGAAACGAAAGCAACAGATACATAGACGCCTAAAGGAAGCTATAATACTTGCTTCAGGATGCGGGCACAAGTCAATGGTACTTCCTCTGTTACGACAAGACGGAAATGACATCCAGGATTCAGCAGAAACTATCGTTCGCGTTATTGCATCGTTCGGAAAGAATATTGGTCCAATTCACAGTGGCATTAATGAATTCCGTATAGTTTGCAAGGATGAGGCATCTCTCGCTGTAGTTCTTAACGAATTCTCTTCATTTTCGTTTCACGCCGGACAGCTATTCTTTGTGAATCGTTCGTCGAGCATTAATAATCTTGTCCAAGCAGAGGAAACTGATGTTAATTTAGCGTCCCAGAATTCTCAACAAAACAAACCTGAAATGCATGATCTGTCCTCAGAGAAAGTAAGTTCTATGGATCCAGACAAGGAGGCGTCGTCACGAAATGAAATTTCCACTAACAAAACCACTGTGGATCACATAGACGAGTCCCAAGCTCCTTCTAAATCTTCAGAAGTGACAGTCGGAAAGGAGAAAGGTCCCCCTTTACCATCCATCTCTCCTTCCTGTCAAGTTGAAAGCGCTTCACATCAGAACCATATCGACTGGGATACTAAGCATGAAGCTGAAGAGGACGGTAGCCCAATTGACGTGAAGCATGGTAAAGAACTGACGATTGGCAATGTGCCAAGTAGCTGTGGAAGGTACACCACATCGCATGTAGCCTCAAATGTTAATCACCAACGTGTCATTACAGACACAGGCTTTCGAAAGTTTGATACAGTAACAGGTCTCAAAGTTGTTTTGGTCAAAGGAGATATAACTAGTCAGAAAATTGATGTTCTCGTCAGCCCTATTGACTCTTTATTTTCTTTCAAAAGTGATCTTTTGAAACGGATTCTTGAGGAAGGTGGGGAAGCGATCAAGCACGAATATCTAAGCATTAAAGAAACTAATGCCTCTTCACAAGATCCTGTCATCATTGGTGGTGGTGATTTGCCTTGCCGAGCTCTCCTGTTTGCCGTTCTTCCGCAGTGGAATAACGAAATTGAGGACAAACAGAAATGCAAAAAACAGATACATAGAAGCCTAAAGGATGCTATAACGCTTGCTTCAGGATACAGGCACAAGTCCGTTGCTCTTCCTCTATTAGGACAAGACTATAATGACATCCCAGTCGAAGTTTCTGCAGAAGTGATAGTCCGCGTCATTGCATCGTTTGGAAAAAACCTTGGTCCAATGCACAGTGGTATTAATGAATTCCGTATAGTTTGCGAGGATGAGGCATATTTGGCAGCAGTTTTTAACCAGATCTCTTCATTTTCATTTCCCTCCGGACAGCCATTTTTCGTGAGCCGTTCGTCAAACAGTACTAACCTAGCACATGCGGAGGAAACTGCACGAAACGAGGCTTCAATAGACAAAGTTTCCGCAACAAAAGTAATTTCTGTAAATCAGGACCAGGAGGCGCCAAGAATAACTGAGTTTTCTCCTAAGGAAAACACCGTTGATCAGGTAGATGAGGTCCATGTAGTTTCAGAAGTCTCCGCCTCTAAGTCTTCAGAAGTGACAGGTGAAAAAGAGGCAGTTCCGTCTGGTTATCCTTCGTCATTTATCCATTCTTCCCTTCAATGTCACAGCACTTCACATCAGAACCACGAATCTAATGAGGATAGAGCCCCAAACGATGAGAAACAAGTTAATGAGATGACGATTTGTCATGTTCCAAGTAGCTCTGTTGATTGCGTCGAGATCTCCGTGACACGAGCATCTGAGATACCGCAAGTGACTTCTGTTACTCAAAGTGTACAAGAGAAAATCAAAAGCATTACTCTTCAGGATCAGCCACACCTAGATTTTGTCGCAGACCACACCCCAAATTTGAGGGAAGAGGAAATGAGTACAGGAATTAGTAAGATCGAGGAGATAACCGTGGGTACTACAGTAACCCAGGAAGTGACAATGGTTGATCGAGATCCTCAACTCAAGAGTTCTCGGCCGTGGAAAAATCAAGGTGAAAGGACTCAAGAGACCGAAAACAATCGCAGCCTCAGCTCCACCAAATTTAAAGACGCTAATATTACAGACACGAAGATTCAAGCACTGGATGAAAACTCACAGGAAGAGTCTGCAAGTAGCTTCCATATTCAACCAAAAGTCACAAAAAAGAGCACGGTCCTTTATAAGAAAGTCAATCAAACTGAAGTGGGCAACAACTCGGAAGAGAAGAATCGTCCCAAGAAAGGGAAAACGGTATATCCTCCATCGCGACCAATTCCTGGAATAGGAGATAAAGAATTGAAAGAAAAAGGAGATCTAGTTTGGAAAGACGAATGCGTTGAAAGAAAGAAGGGCGACCAAAAGCTGAATGGTGAAGTTCCTGACAGGGAGTTAAATGGTAATATATCTAAAGATAACACTATTTTTTAATATGTAACAATATTTATTCAGCACTTTCGTCTTCTAACACAGTCTTATCAAGTAGTGGCGTTATTTGTTGAATGCACCATATCTTAAATAATTACAGCAACTTAAGTACTTTACAGCTTACTTTTCAGTAACATTGGTTCTCAGTATTGTATTTTACACCTTTGTCATTTCAGAGCGACAAGTTCCGATTCTTTGTGCCCTTTGCCACGACTCAGTCGACCACCCAGAACTTACAGATCCAAACACTTGCATGAAGCACAAGTTTTGCGACGATTGTATCATCAAGGCTTTCACTTTCAGTAACATTTGTCCTGCCTGCTTGGATACAGTTGGCTTAATTACTAGCAAAAAACAGAAGGTTAGCCAAAACCAAGGTATGTTTTCCCCCAGTTTTCGGATAGCCCATCTCTCTCGTCGCCGTGCCGGCTTTTACGTTCTCCTGAGAAGGCCAGCAGGACATTCTCTCAAAAGAACAGATTGAACCCGAAAAACGAGTACCGACGTTCAAATGTTCTTTTTTTTAAAGCTTAATTGTGCGTTATCAAGAGAGAGCTAGCTCATTCCTCTTGGCGTTATATGATATTAGCTACAGTGAGAATGAATTTGGCGACTTTTATGTCGATGTGTTCGCAAGTTGCTGATAGCCCCATAGCTTTGTAAATCTACCCATCCTAGAAAATTTGGTAATCACGTGACCGTACACCGAGCGACCGAGCGATCGTCCGTCCGCACCACAGGCATTTCAATGTGAAATAACTCAATCAACAGGTATGGCAACCCAAATGCAACTCGAGGTTATTTTGGCAGGAAATCGCATAGCCATCAGCGTCTTGTAAAGCAGAGACAACTTAAGAGTCAATAACGACGAAAACGGAAAGCGGAGATTGTTTCTGTTTCCGTGGTGTGTAAAGTATTAAGCTTAATAGATCAATTGTCATGTCCACAAATTTGGAATATAGAGCTGAAAGACAGCGAAGCTCAACGAGAAAAAAAAACAAAGGAGATATTTTTTTGTTGGAAGAACAACATGAAAACTTTGTAGCAGCGGTGACAAAATGAGAAATGCTAGCGGCACCAATGCAAGGTGAAAATGAGCGGCAGTGAAAAAAAAAGTGAACGAGAACATGTACGACATTTCCCCCAAAAAACGTGTAACACAAAAGGTTCGGGAAGTTTCACATTGTAGTCGTGCAAAACAACGGCAAAGAAATGTACAAAAAAAGTGTCCTGAACGTGCAAAGTTTCTTTTTTGCTAATTAGATCAATTGCTGTTTTTCACCGTTCTCCGGCGTTGTCTTCGCCGCATAGCATTACACTATTCTATATTTTTTTTTGGACAAACTTTAAATATTACCGAGAGCTTCACTTGTAGTCCTGGCTAAATTCTTATAGCTTTCTATAAAGGAGTCGCCATTGATGTGGTCTCCAAAGTTGCACTCGGTATATATACTATATATATATATATACTGTATATATATTTATACTCCTGTATTTTATTATTTTCAATCTTCAGATCTGGCTCATTCATCGATTGAAGGTTCAAGTTACCATCTCAACAAAGTTGATAAGCGCTACTGGACAGGAACCCCAAACTCCTTTCCAGCAAATCAACCCCCGGGAGAAATTATTTGGAAAAAATACAAAACCAGTCTTCCTGGATTTGAAGGGCATGACACCATTGCCGTAAAGTTCACTTTCTACGATGGTGTCCAAGGTTTGGATCATCCCAATCCCGGGATGCCTTTCAAGGGGACACAATGTATAGCTTACCTACCAGAAACATCGGAGGGAAAGGAAGTTCTGAAACTGCTACGCAAAGCCTTTGCTGCCTGCCTTCTCTTTCCTATCTCTTGTTCGTCCCCAGAAGGAATTGGAAATGTTTCAGTAAATGATATTGAGCTTAAGACGTCATTGGAGAGACATTCAAGGTAATCAATCTTCGTCCACGGCAAACAGTAATAGTGAAATAAAAACTGAGCTTAAAAAGCTTATGTACCAGAAAAGATCTTTTAACCTTGTGTGTTTTGTTTTCTCAATTCAGACCACGTGATATTCCCCAGGGAATTTGCCTTTTCTATTTTCATAAATTACGGATACAAACACACGTGAATGCACTTGTATAGGACGACAACTGAAAGAAACTGTTCTCCGGGGAATTTCTATGGGGTACTACATGATCTAAAATGGGAAAACAAAACTTACAAGCTAGAAAGGTCTATTACAGATGTTTTTATATAGAAAAGGAAGCCGTGAGTATGAAATACGTTGTCGCAGCAGAAAATGCTATCTTAATTAATTTTTTATGTACGCAGGCTGGGGATGTCGCACTATTGATTGGTCTAGCTTTCTTCCTAGCTTATTTGAAAGGCGTTCTTTGTCCGCCGGTTTAATATAAATACTGCCTAAAATACTTCAAGGGCACCGATGCCTTGTTGTTTTGCCTTAAAATGGTGACCAAAATATGTTATAGATTTTCCCCCATATTTAAAATGTTTCGTTCTTTTACCAGCTTTGAGTGCAAATAAAAGCACGCAAACGGAAAATAGGACGAATGGCTTTTAAGCTTAAGAAAACTGGAAAAAATGCATGCAGAGAATGGTAATAAGCACTGACTGTCAATTGGTAATTAAACCGGGTTAATTTCATTTATTCTTGTAATTGTTCCAATCTTTAACTTGAGATCTCTATATATGTTTTGTTACACTTCCCATTGTAGGAATAGCTACCCAGATGATGGCTATTTGACAAGAGTGCGGAATCAGTTGGCTGCAAAAGGATTTCATTAGACATGTCTGTGTCCAAATAACTGGGAAAACTTGTCCACGATAGTATTCTTTGAAAGGGTGCAACGAAGTGTTCTGGAGTTGCAAAATGTTAAAGTTGAAATAATTATAGTTACCTTTAATTGCCAAATAGGCTTTGATGGATTGTGCTCGCGAAAGCAGCAAAATATGCTCCTAGCAATATTCATATATTTTCTAAAATTATGCTAATTTTTGTAAAATATACTCATTTTAACTAAAAATGCCAAAATTATGTTTCTACTTTTTTTTACTTTAAATGTCAGTGGCAAAACACCTCAATAACTATGGAGTAAGAACTAAATGGCAAACACATTTAACTTATTTACATCTAGAAACATTAAGAGTGCATATTAATTCACTGTCTGACATTAATAGAAACTCAAAGAATTAACTTGAGCTCGCGCACGCCATCTTGAGTAACCGTGGTTACATGTATGGCATGCGTTGATTCCTCTGGGAAGAGACTTGGACAACTTCCTGAGACAGTGGCAATATAAAATCCCATGAATGTCACAATAAGCAGTAAGCAGTCAAAGAATTGATTTTGTTACCAAAACTTCGGCTGAGGAAAAGTTAGAAACTGCATGAAGTATACCAAAATACTGAAAACTCACTACTGTTAGTAGTTTTAACGTAAAATACGTTCGCAAATAAATTATTTGCGTTTCTCTTTACTGGCTAAGAAAAACATGCTAGCCTATCCTATCGACCTTTAATGTGTTTTGTGCTGTTTGGCCATAAGTCGCTTGGCTAACTATTTTCAATCAAGCATCATGTAAACCGCTGTATTTAAAGGGTTGAATTTATCACGATCCGTCTGTTTTTGACTTTTGGCGATAAAACCTTAACTGAACATAGCCTGTTCTAGGCTCCGAGATAGTCGGGTCCGCTGAATTGAGAAAGCACCAACACGAAAATAAACTTTTCGCGTACCTTTTTCTTTCGCGTCTTCCCCACTATCTGAGAGCCTGGAACAGGCTACTGAAGACACGAAAACGCGAACAAATACCAGGAGGTGTTTGCTTATTTGTTTGTCTGTTTGGTTATTAACGAATAAAACGGGAAGCCAGTGACAAGAACGAATGCTAACCCTCACGATCACGGTGACCTCCTTTAATTTCATGATATCGACAACGGTCCACAACGTAATGTGCGTAACAGTTGGTCTTTTAATTTTCGATAAGATCAGAGCATAACATGGCGCCTTTTAAGAGAAAAGCCTTTTATCATGGGCTAGTAAATCGGATTTGAAATATTAACCTGGATGACGTTACTTCAAGAAACAAGTAAAAGATAATCCCTTTGCCTTTATTTCCGTAGAAGTCTAGTGGAGAAAGCATAACAGCAATGTTCATGTTTTTATTTGTTTGTTTTATCTCTTGTGTGGTGTATTGATTACCATAATAACAATTATTTACTATTACTAAAATCAGTGAAGCTATAATGATCAAATGATGTTAAAGTACTACAGCACGCACGAATGTGAAAGTACTGAAACTAAGTAAACGTAGGGTGTGATTGTACTAGGATAAAGACAGCTGTTCAGTTTATAAAATACGTTACGTAGAAAGCAATGGATGATTGAGCATCTCCTTGTCTAATGACTACATTACAACCGGATTAAATTGCGGATACCAGCAAATGATATAAAGGTCACCTGTTCACGTGCGAGAATTATCTAGTTGCGTTAGTCAACACAAGAATGATAAGTGGATAACAAAGTGTGCCATTAAGTCACGTTATAAAGTCGCAATACAAATATTGATAAGAAATCCAAATATGCTAACCGTCCACGACACAAAGATATGAGCAACACGTAAGGTGCCACAAATTCAGTTTATTTTGTCCCCATCTTTGATACTGGGTCGACGCTAGTATGATTTATTGAATATTTCAAGTTCTCCAACGTCCATTAATTATTTAACTCAACTATTATTAGAGCCAACGCTGACAGGAACAAGGTCCTACGATAATATTATTTGCACTTATTAGTGGCTGGGATGACCGCTGATAAGTGTATTATCGCTTCACGTTAAGTGAGAACTGAAAATAATATTACGCCATTCCAAGGTTAGGTTAGGTGATAAAATATCAGAACAGAATAGCAGTGTTTCAGAGTGATTAATCCGTAATGAGAAAAGGAATCAATTAATTAAAATTAACTGATTTTTAAACCTCGATGATTAATATAGTGGTTAATGAGTACTGCCACAAGAGTTGCTGGAGATGTCTGTGTTTAGTTTTGTTTGCTTGTTTTTTCCAGCTTGGTTCAGTTTTCGTAATCAGAGGGTCCTATTTCTTGACTCTTTAAGCCCTATAACAATAAAATGTTCTCCGTGGTATATTTATGGTAAGGGGTGTTGATCTAGAAAAATAATTAGAAGGGATAAGAGAATTAGGGGACTACCTCGGACATTAGACCAGGGGTTGGGGGAGGGGGGTGGGGTTTAAAAGTTTTTTTTACGGGGAGCCCCCGATGCTCAATCCCTTACCCTTTTGTATAGCATTTTTGACAGCTAAGTTACCCCTTTCCTATACCTTCTATTGAAAAGTGGTACTTCTCTCACATACCTACCTAGTTTAGAACTTTGCATCCCTTTTAACTGATGTTAGCGTATTATCTTTAAACATCAATAAACCATAAAACAATAACGTTTTCTTTACTTTTCCACAGCATAAAATGCATCTGTAGCCTGTTTTGTGTGTCTTTTTACGTACCGAAATCACTTACTTCCCTACCCTTATAGCTGAAGCCTGAAAAAGGAGCCCCTTTCGTGTGGGTCTCCTCCTTATAGGCTATTGTAGAGAGTACCTGTTCGGATTAAGATTCTTGTTGTTAGCCCTGAGCCATAACTTTGTAAAGGGTTTTGAGAGGGCTTATACACGACCGCATACACGGGTGGGCTTTGTAAAAGTGGTATGAAAAAAACAAAAGGTGAAAAAGTTACCCCTTTCGGGCAGAGCCTCCCCGTATGAACCATTAAGGGAGTACCCCCTCCTCCGGGGGGCATCAGAGGAAAAGAGCCAAGTGACCACATCACATGATGAGGTGTCTGTTTTGTGGAGACAGGAATTGCATGATGTTCGGTGTTTTTCTGACCAAGAGAACTTTCCATAGTAGCCATTCATGAGGAAAGAAAAGGTTCAACTGGAATTCAAAAGTTCATGACATTAAGTTGGCTGATATTTTTCTTTTCTTTCAACCTCAATGTTTGATTTATAAGCAGAAATTGGAAGCCAAGCTAATTACAGTCAACTATTTTTCTAGCGGACACTGTAGGGACCTCGAGTTTGTGTCCACATTACCGAGAGTCAGTAACAGCGGGATTTTATTTCTGTCAAATCTTTGTAATTTATTTTTGCCTGGGATTTAACAGCTGTCCGTATTATCGGAGTGTCCGTTATAGCGGTGTGTCCCCAAGGCGAGAGTTGACTGTACTCGACATAGATACGGTTGCTTGGGCAAGCGATAGAGGAACCCTTAATACAGTCAACTCGCGCCTTGCGAACACCCCGCCATAAAACGGACACCACGATAATACTGAGAGCATTTAAATCTCAGGCAAAAAAAATCCCGCTATTACGGACTCTCGGTAATGTGGACACAAACTCGGGGTCCCTACAGTGTCCACTGTAAAGAGAGTTGACTTTTGAGGGAGGAAAGTGAACATTTTTAATCCGGGACCGGGAGGGATATAGTTAAAGCTAGCTATATTCGAATATATTGTAAACATTTTTACGTAATTAATTATTCTCTTAATTTTGCAACTTTGGTGAACACCATACTGCTTCTATTTGTTTTAATGCGTGTTTGCCTATTACGTCCCACCTGGTATGGTTAGCTTAGTAAAATAAATGTGTTGACTTGACTTGACTTGAGATTCTTTTGCTGGTGTGTTAACCCACCGGCTACCTATAATAAAAAGAAAAGGCACTAATTTAATCAAGGTAAACTGATTCACATTGCACTTTTAACTAGACCGGACTTCGGTGGCGCAGACTATTACTATACATAGCAAAAGCACCCTTTTCTGCTTTGGTAGTAGTGAAAGGTGTTTGTGGAACGCAGCCTGCTCTCCCTTCTTATTGAGGCCAACACTTGAAATGAGAAGAATCGTGATCGGCGGAAGATTTAAGGCAAGCACTTAAGGGATAGATTATTATCAATCTTTGGATAACACAGCAATTTCCTCTCCTTATCTCAACGGATAAGCCTTTAAACTTCAGATTTCTCAGGTAACAATTCAGTTACAAGTTTCATTGAGTCCAAAGTAGATGCAAAGAAAGCTTCATTGAGTCTTCAAGGGGTAAGTACAATTACCTTCGTCCTCTTTATAAGAGAAATACGTCCGACTGTGCGTCATATGGTTTTCTTAATGCTTTGGAAGCCTATTTGGCTCTTTTCATTTAAATAGCAACCCTAAAAACAACTTATCTTTTTATCGTAAATGCTCTTGGTTTTTGGCCATCTCAGTTTTAAAAGGAATAACACACAAACTTCGGTTACAAACATCAGAAATAACAAAGGCGTTGTGTAACTGACTTTTATAATATCGAACTTGACGTTTCGTATGCGTCAACATACATCTTCAGAAGTGACCGTTACTACTCCTGTTAACGGTCACTTCAGAAGATGTATGTTGAAGCATACAAAACGTCAAGTTCGATATATAAAAGTCAGTTATGCAATGCGTTTGTTATTTCTGATGCTTGTAACCGCAGTTTGTGTGTTATTCTCTTAGGAGAACTTTGGTTGTCTTAGAAGTTTTAGGTGCTGGCTTTTTCGTCTCATCCGAAGCTGTTAGCTACCTGGCTTTAAATTTTCAGGAGAATTTAAAAAATAAAATAATCGAAGTCAGTCTTGGTAATAAAATGTGAAAAACAAAACCTCCAAAAATGGTAGGTAAGAAGTGGAATAACTCCGAATATCTTAGACGAATGGAACGTTTATCCAGAACTTTTTAGCCTTCCTCGAGCTTTACAAAATGCTAGGCAATATCTTGACCTTCGAACGGTTGTTTAAAATAAAAAGGTTGTCAGTTGCCCCTGGATTACGCAAGTATGACGACGACGGCAACAATGACGGAGACATTTTTTTTTTCTGGAGTCTTATGGGACGGAGTGGTTTGCGGAATCTGAAAGGTGTATTCTCTAGATGAAAACGTTCCTCGCTTCTCATTACGCGACTCTAACTCCGACTCCACCTTCGTTGAAAACCAGCCCTAAAACGATACGTCATTATCAACCATCACATCAACTGTAACTTCAGAAACGTCATTTACATAATAGAGTGCAACCGTACATTGGAGAAACTAAACGACGACTTTAAAGGGACTTTAAAAAGACCGTTTCAACGAAGACCGCAGACCAGTTGACAACCCATCCAACCCATCTAATATCTCCAAACCCACCACAGTTTTAGAACATCATTCTTACTAATGATCACTGTGCTAACGACAATTTTACGACATCACACTTAATTAAATCTAACACGGACAGTGTGCGAAAAGCTGCAGAAGCATATGTAATAGAGATAGGCAAAACTCTTGAACACTTAGTTACATAGTACAAGAGCCAATTATGGCTCTTGTTAGGTATTAATAAGAAAGATGAAATGTAATGCATTCCTCATTTCTTTCATCTATATTTATTTATACTATTTTTACATTTCAATTTATTTCATACAACTACTTAAACAGGTTTTGTTTTCTTATACTTTCAACTTTCACTTTTTCCTTATTTAACGTTTACATGTTATTGTAGTATTGCACACCATCCTTTATTTCAAATAACCACGTCTTAGCTTGACCTAGTCATTGTATGTAAGACCCTGAAGAAGGAGGACCGTGCCTCCCGGCCGAAATATTGCTCACAAAAAATATACATGTATATTACCGACCTGTAAAATCAGCCTGGCTTCTTTTGCTCGAGTTTTTAGTTTATAGCTGGTTAATCCTTTATTAGGATGCCGTCCTGCTATATTTTGTGACGTAGGTCATTGCTTCCAAAATTAAACAAATGAAACCATCTTATAGCTCAACAAAAAAATTCGCTACGTACAAACTAGCCGCAGTAAGGCTTAAAGTCTTAAACAACTTATTATCTTAGGCGAAGCTTTAGGTACATCGTAGGGGCTGCTATGAGTTGGCGATATCTGTTTTATCTGTTTGTCATACTGAGAATTGCTTTTCTTCAAAATTATATAGAGTGGATCTTATTTACTCCCCAAATGGATATCCTGAGCTCTGGTTGTAATGGCCAGCGTACAGAAATTGATGTATATGTCTTGCTATGGCATAACTAGAAACGAAATGGCTTTGAGTTTAGGTATGAAAAACGAAACGAAAAAAGGCCAGAGATCTAAAATGGTGCCGTCAAACTAAATTCAGCGTTCTAAACCCTCTGTTGCTCCTCTGTGGTCTAAGGGGAGGGAAGAACGGTTCTGGCGATGTGAACTTAAAAAAAGTAGCAAACCTAGACGCCCGTAACCAGTAATGTACTATTTGAAAAAGAAAAAAGAACTTTCGTAAATGGCTTCGAAGTATTATGGGATGGGGCCCTGTTTCAGAATTGTGACGTTATTCAAATTTCTGAAAATTGTGAAGAACCATGGAGGAGGGGCTGGCATAAAACCCCTGTCCCTTCCACGTTGTGGGCCCCAGTCGTCCCAGTCTTGATGATATTTTTTTGTTAAGTCCACTGATTACACGTGCCTTACATGTTATAAAGCTCTATTTTACAAGTTAAGGCGTTTGTTTTCATAAATATTTTGTTTTAATGATACTTTGTCGTTGTAGAGTGCCAAGAAAAGTGGCAATGGGCAGCTTCGTTCAAGCTCTTGTGTGGATATTATGGCTCTACATTACGCATCATGTCGTCAGGGCAACAAGTAAACATATATGACTATCTTTATTTCAGTATTTTTAACTTAAGAAAAGTTGACTGCTACTATATATTTTCCTTGGATGGAACTAACTTATTTTTTCAGTTAGGCTCCACATTTCTCGCCCTAGGTTAATTTTGGCGCTCTCTCTTTTTTTCCCGATTAACTGAGAGCCGGAACAAGCTACCAACCTTGGTGCTTCATTCGATATAGTTCATTGTTTATGTGCTCGTAAGGTACTTTCATTGGGGACTTAAACGATTAGAAAGCCAAGTGAAAAAAGTCGCTGAAAAACTAACTTCTCGTCCTTTCAATTCGACTCAGTTTAGGCATTATTTAAAGAGGAGGTCTTAACCTTTTTAGGCTGTGGCTCTGTGAGAATTTTATTCTCCAGGTGTTTCAGAGGGAACTTAAAAACCCTCTTTCAGATATTGTCTGAACCCTTGCCATCACATGATCGTCTTTCTTGTTTTTGACTTAGTGACGCATTTTCTATCTTTTCTTTTCTATTTGCTTTTTATTTACTATCTGTGATATGTGGTGTTAATAGGACTGAGTGGAATACAATTCAGGGAGTAATTAAGTCAACGCGCTCAACCGATTTGAAATTACGAGCCCGATTACCCCTGATTTGTACGACACTTAAAGTCATATTACCAATTAATTGTGTCAATAACAAAATGAGAGAATCTCAGTCTTGGAATATTTATTAATGTAAGAGAAAGATTCTAAATCAAAAACATGCTCGGGAGTCTTCAGATGCCGAAAATTCTCAAGTCTGATTCAATCGCTGTATGTATTTTATTGTACAGAGGTCATATCCTCAATTACGCTTGTAATTAGCCAACTGGTCTACAAGTTAACAACTCGTTTCACCATTGCGTGGCCCTCTGACTGTATCACTATCATCATCATCATCATCATCATCATCGTCATCATCATCATCATCATCATCATCATCATCATTCTCATCATCATCATCATCATCTTCATCATTCTTATCATCATTATTCACATCATCATCATCATCATCATCATCATCATCATTCTCATTATCATCATCATCATCGTCATCACTCTAATCATCATTATTCACATCATCATCATCATCATCATCATTATTCACATCATCATCATCATCATCATCATCATTCTTATCATCATTATTCACATCATCATCATCATCATCATCATCATTCTCATCATCATCATCATCATCTTCATCATTCTAATCATCATTATTCACATCATCATCATCATCATCATTCTCATCATCATCATCATCATCTTCATCATTCTCATCATCATTATTCACATCATCATCATCATCATATTCATTTTCAATATTATTAATCTTTTTTTTATTCAGGACCGAATCTGCACTGCAGCGATGGTGGGGATATAGTTTTCATGGTGGATAATTCCAACATTTCTTCTCTTGAGTACAGGCTCGAGGTAGATTTCGTGAAGGATATAATGAAACACCTCGCAAATAAGTCGTCTGAATTTGATGCAGCAGTTGTGGTGTATGAACATCAAGCAAGTGTGGAGTTAAACTTCACTGGAACGTTTAAACTGGATCGCTTTATTTCCGCCATGGATAAATTAGCCTCTCTACATAAGTTTGTTCCTTCCCATCCAAGAATCGACAATGCCCTGCAAGTAACATTGGACTCCGCCTTTAAGAGAAACGAAGAAAGGAATGTACCAAAAATTATTGTTCTTCTAAGCCAAGGCGCCCCGTCATTTGTAATGGCTCAGTTCTATCTGAGGAACGTTTCCAGTTCTCTAAATAAGAAGGGTGTTCGCGTACTGGTCGTGGGCGTTGGAGAGGACATTAATCAAGAGCTGTATAACATAACAGAGGGATTGGACGATATGATTTTAGTCAACAATAACTTTTCTTCGCTTCTTAAATATAAAGATATTTTGGTGGAAAAGATTTGCTTAGCTGCTGGTAAGTTTAAGAATAGTGTATAGTATGAGAAGGAATCTTTAATTGTTTCGTTGTTGTTCCAGTTTTGCAGTTGGAAATGATTTCATAGATACAACGCAACGCTTGTCATGTGTTAATGAAAATGACAGGAAAATGTTATGGACTTAACCAATTACGGTGGCTGAACACAGTTTTGGCAGTTTGTGAGTATATGTCATTTGCCAAATCATGGCAAGAGAAAGGTTGCGGCTCACAAACTTGGTTGATGAAAGATTTTTATTGACAGGTAAATTCTGGCGTTTTCGTAGCTTCCATGGCAACATGAACGACTGAATACAACCTTAAAATTTCGCTTATAAAATTCGCTCAATAGATTTTCCCATTAACTTGCACACAGCTCACTATAATTAATCATTACCATTTGAAACTTATTTCACCAAATTTTAACAATTGTGCTGTAATCATTAAATGTGCCACAAAAATGGTCTGTTCAACTTCCATTTTAAAGTTCTCATTATTGAAGATACGATGAAAGTAAAAATTCTGCCAAATATCGCAAAATTTTAATCACTAGATTTTGAGAAGTTGTCTTCTGTGTACCATTGCTTTTCCCCCGCCATGTTTGTTTGTCTAATTTAAAACACGCGCCATTACGCGAGTTACTGCTGACCGCCCACAAAATTGTATTTAGCCCGGCCTTAAAATAATTGCTACATCTAAGAACATCAAGACAGATAGAATTTCCCGAACTGATCTTTTAGCTGCAAGTGATAAAGTGTACTCAAATCTCATGGATTGTTTTGAATTAAAAGCATGTTATTTAATATCATTATTATTATTATTATTATTTCATACATATTGATTATTTATAGACTTTTTTTGTTGTGTTTACCTTCTTGCTGTTGCCATTGATTTTTTTCTTTTTCTTTCGCTTTTTTTCTCTCCAGACAATCCATCAGTCAGATTTGATAAGAACCATATATCTCAGTTTGTAGGAATGAGACAAATCCTTACATGTCACGTGACGAGCACATCAACACCAACTGTCACGTGGCTGAGAAGTGGGATAGTTCTGAGAGATGGCGATTTAAACGGAACTATTAGGATAAGGAACAACGTAGTGTCTGGGGCTTTTGGAGAACGAATTTATGAGCTTCTACTGGATACAGTGCAACTGGAGCACTCTGGGAATTACACATGTGAAGCAAGAAATAAGTATCACGCAAGGAGAGGGAATATCGTCGTCACGGCCTTTTGTAAGTTGCTTTGTATTGTCCGTCACTTATTATTTATTCTTAACTTTTACCGTATTTGAAATTTTTATTCTTCAAAATTCCGTCTAAGGGGCCGTCTTCCGCTCCATAAAATCAAACTGCAATAAGATATGATCTTGTATTTACAACATGTACCTCAGTTCTGGCACCAACAGATCTAGATTAGAGGAAGAAAATCATTTTAGAGGAAATTTGTTTTGGGGAAAATAAAAAAGTCCATTGTTCCCACAATCCGCTATTTCTCTCAATGTAACTTTTCCTCTAAGTTAATCCAAAATGAATGTGAATGTGAATTTATTTATTTATTTTATTATTTTGCCAGACAAAATAAATTACAGAAGTAGAATTAAAAGCATAATAAATAGATAAATAACATCTTAAATTAAATTACTATTAAACTGTAACACCTCAGTATTGTATGATTTCTAATCAGCTATTATTATTAGTTTCGTGTAAAAACGTGGCCTCCCACGCAGATGTTCTTTTTGCTCGTCACGCAATCCTCCCCAACGAACGCGTGACGAACCCCTGAGAACGTTTGCGTCGGAGTCGAGTCCGAGGTTATTTCGTGCGAGGTTTTTCTTTTCTCACGATGTTGATTGTACAGGTCCACCATCCTTGCCCACAGTAACTGAATCTTTGAAGGAACTTCTTCCCACAAGTTTACAACCAAGAATGAAAGGTAAAGTGTACGTTGTCCTTAACCATAAAAAATTGTATTAAACAACTCAGCGAGTGCGATGGAGATACGGATGCACCAGAAACTAGGTGGCTTATCAAATTGAAAGAAGCGTTACCAATCACTAGGGGCGATAGTCGAACGAATACGTCTACATTTTTGAGTACCTAGCAAACCTAGTGAGCTAAATTGCGAAAAACATATCAAGAGAGCCCATTTAACTAAAAGGCGAGTCAGGTTAATTGGCACTGAATTTCCTGTACGGTGAGCAGCAAAATAACATACTGAAACGAAAACAAGTTGTAAATAATATCTTACTTGGAAAAATATCGATGAACCGTAAAGAGAGGGAGGGAATTCTCAAATATTCAAAGAAATTTATAGTATCACTACATATAGTGAGAGACAAAATCATAAAAAAATACATAAATTAATCACAAATAATGTCGACGGCCGTTAACAAAACCCGGATTGGATTGCTCGGATCGGATCGGATCGGATCGGATTGTGGATCTGATCGGACTGGCAATTCGCCTTAAATTCAAAGTTACACTGAAAGTGATTGCTTGTTGGTTGTTGTACGACTGCGAGGGACTCGGCTAAAGCAGATAGGTGTGAAGACGTCTTGTTAATGAAAGTAATGTGACGCTTGAAGAGGTCATTCGCTTATTGACAACAAGTTGTCGCTATCGTACCTTGCTCATTCCCGCGATTTCTTGAACGTCTCCTCTGAAAAGAAGCATTAAATTTAGGCTCAGTGAAAAACAACACCAATTCAGAAGCGAGTAGAGATGGAAAGAAACACAAAATCAATGCAATGAGAGATACTTACATCTCTCTCCGCCATCTTCGATTCGTGCGATGTCACGTGACCAAGCCTCTTTTTGGAAACTGTAATCGTGAGTATGAAGTTATGCAACAGAAAATTTCCCAGTGCAGTTCAGTTGAAAATTTTTTTTTGCGATGATTTTCAAGTTGGAGGTGAATTTTAACAGGAGAAACGATTTACTAGTCCAAACATGTCTGGACCCACGGTCATAGGTTAGACTCCTGTTGTGAGAACTCGGATTTCTTATTCCGAGCCTCCTGTGTCATTATTAAAAACAGCTTTTCTCGAAATAATTCTTCTGCAGCAAAAGCGAAATACCAGTCCGATCCGATCCGATCCAAGCGATCCGATTCGGGTTTTGTTGACGGCCAATGTCGACAAGAGTTTTACGTCCGCCCCAAGGGGAAGAGATCCAACATCAAAACCATATATGGGATTGAAGTTAGCGTCGGTCATTAACGTACTTATCAATATTTTAAGGCTTCTGTTTTTCCTCTTTTAATATGTTCTACCACTTCCTGTCACCTTGTTTACTAAGGTTTACTCTAAATCTTAGCCAGTACATACCTTTTTTTCTAAGCTTCAGGTCAACCGTCGCTTACCACAGTAGGTACAAATACGACTTTAGTCTGTAAGGCAAAAAATGTCCCCCATTTGACATCCCATTTATACACTTGGAGATGGGAATTTCGGGAAAACGAACTAAGACAAAATGAAAAGCATCTCATGGTTGATGAGATATCTCCTCCTAACTCCTGTGGCCAATCAGAAGGATGGACAGTTCTCTTTGTAAGAAATGTCACCCTACTAGATCTTGGACGGTACTCTTGCTCTTTATTGCGATCGAACGTGACCCTGGGAAAAGCTGAGGCTCTTTTAACAGGTATGCAGAGGTAATTCCGAGGCACATGTAAGGTAATCCAGATTCCAGAATGCGGGAAATTTTTGCTCTTGGAATCCAGAATCCAAGAATCTACTTCAGAAATCCGGGGTCCCGGGGTTTGGAATCAGGAATACCGCAACCGATTAGAATATGCAATCCATGTTGCACTGATAAAGAATGCGGAATCCAGGTACTGGATTCCGTAATCCAGAATTAAAGAATGTCCTGGATTACTGTTCATGAGGCGAAAGTACAGTTTGAGTAACTGTAGGTTATCGTTATCTACAGTACACTAATTTCACAGATACAATATCCGTATAATGCACTAAAACAGTACTGGATGCTATACATTGCATAATTATTTCAACCACGATAAGACTTAAATAAATCAAAGCTTTTGCTCAATCAGTGAATCTGTGCTATTGCGTAGCGCTGTTGGTAGACGATGATGGCACGTTTGCATGAAGCAAAGCTTAGAGGCTAACCATTTTACTTCTGACGCGGGGCGGGGGGTTGTTTGCTTTCAACCCCTTCATTCACCATGAAGTTTTTTTCTTGGACTATACATGTGCTTGCATGATATTTTTCCCCCCTCCAACACTTGGCAAGATTTGCGTGGATGAGGATGGAAAAGTAGCGTTTCTATCATAAAACAAACTATACTGACACTAGATCAGAAGGTCTCTAAAATAATTTTTATTAAAATAATTTTTATCTCAGAGTTTTTGACTAACTTTGATAATGCAGCACATTTTTTTACCACTTAATATAAAAGCAGTGAGATGGGACCCCTTCGTTCTGGTAAGAAATATTAGGGAATCAAGAACATGTTTTGGATTGGTAGGGCTAGCTTGCGTGTAGCACGAGCTCAACTAGCGCAGAAGGTACGAGTTTATCTAGAGGGGACCGGGGGCATGCTTCCCGGCGGTTGAAATTAAGAGCTTCTGAAATCACTGAACACAAAAAAATCATGTTTATTTCTACCAATCCTTAGAAAACTGGGTCAAATTTTTATCACCATTATGTTAGTTTTCTGCCCAAAAACGTACATTTAAAAAATAAAATTTCGTATTCTTTACAAGACAAAGATTAGATTACTTTTTAGTAAATACTATAGCCCACCCTGCTCCATAGCGCAGCGGTTCTAGCTGCTTCTTGACCAAGATTGGTGACCAGCAGTGTTATAAATGTAAAGAAAAAGCCACTTGAGAAAGACACATTATGATATGATTAATCCCTCTTACCCAATAAAGTCCTGATACAAAATCTCAGTTTTAAATAATTATAACAGTAAGGAAATAAAGTTCACTATGTCAACGCCAGAACTTTTTTTTAGCCCACTGTACGTGCGTGCATTTTTTTTATTCGGACGGTGGACTTGCGTAGCATGTTCCCCCACCTCCTCAGAAGTAAAATGGTTGGACCCTTAGTGTTTCGCTTGAAAATGCTGCCTGCATGGGATATCAGTTTGTTTTGCAGTTTGTTGCAATTAGGAGACCCCAACACCCTAAACGTTACAAACCTATTTACACCAAACGACAAACTAAACGTCGTCTTGTTTTAAAGTCATTTATTGACAACTGCAATTGAGAAAATTCACGTCACGGTCATTGCTTTTGTATACTTGGAACACTAACAAATTTCATGAAACAAATCAACTCAATCGTGTAGTCAATACCCTGTTTTCAATTAGGATAGACTCGCACGAAATTGTACACCCTGTTTAGGACTGAGAGGGAAAAAAAACATACCCTGTCCAGCGGCACATCCCATGACGGGTCATATAAGGGAGATCCCCCTAGGTTAGGGAACAGGGTCCTACAGAAGTGGGGGCTTATTTTCCGCAGGCGATCCTTGCCGAAGCAGCCCCTGTAATGGAGGAAGGTGCATCGCAACTGAAGACGGTGGTAGTTACAAGTGCGCGTGTGCAGAGGGATTTTATGGAGAAAATTGCGAAAAAGGTAAATACCGTAAACTGCTAGTTATAAGCCCCAGCCCTCCTCCCCCCAGTTATAAGCCCATGTAACTGTAAACAAAAAAATAGATCTGATTATAATCTCAGCCTGATATAAAACCCCCTCTGACTTCGATTTATTGAGACGTATTTGGTCCATTTTGGAAGTTTTAAACGCCATATTTTGTATTTTTGTGCAAGCATTCTCGAGGAAATTAAAAGTCACTGAGGAGAAGTGTACGAAGCCATGTTCGTTGTTGTCAGGGTTCCTACAAACGGATCAAGTGTGGCGTGTAATGTGGTCATCTGGCTTTCAGGCGCTATTTGCGAGTATTTATAAGTTTACATAGGGAAAACAAAGAGATCAGTATATTTGTAAGGTTTGTTTTCAAATTATTTTTGGTTACCGATCCGAGACTTGTTTGCTAGCGTGGGTACGTGAAAATACGCGTAGGTAAATGTTTGTTTCAAAGCAGGACAGGGTTGTTAATCTTATTCTTATCGGCTGCAAAATACATCTGAGGAATACCAGGGAATAAATTTGAATTATGGGGATATATAAAATAGAACAAAAACGACTCCCGCTTCGCGAACAATGAGTCTTGAATTATGTAAATTTCCTTGCGTGCATCTTACTCGCTTCCGATTGGTTAAAAAACAATCAGCTACTGTCAAAGCTCACACATGCGCCCTATCGTTACACGGTCCCTTTAACGGAGGTTTTTTGCGTTACGAGTTTGGGGGGCTTATATTTGGAGGAGTTTATACACGGAGGGGCTTATTTTCGGAATTTTACGGTACCTTATGAGCGAACACTTACGCATCATTAAGATAACACTCGCAGAATTCTAAACTTTGATGACAGGAAAAAAGAAGATAGTGGAAATCAAGGGCACGCCTAGTGGCTACAAGGAAATCATATCGCGCACAAGTTTGTCTTTGTTTTCGACTTTTTTTCGGTTTGTTTCATCTGTATCTTCCTAGTAGACCTCATGATGTATTTGTGTTTGCAGGGCCAGTGGAACACTGTGCGATGATTCCTGTAGGAGTGTCTGATCCACGCATAATTCCTGACAATTGGATGACAGCTTCTTCACAAGATGCTGAACGTTGTAGACCAGCTAATGGTCGACTTAACGGTACAAGAGGTGATGGATGGTGCACAGTGGTGGATAATAGCACCACTGACTGGCTGCAGGTTGATATGGGAACCACAATTCAGGTGTGTGCTGTAGCAACTCAAGGAGACGTAAACGGTGATGAACGGACTACAGTCTTTAAGCTGTCTTATTCATCAGATGAAAAGAACTGGACGACTTACAAAGATTTCAACGGCACTGACGTGGTGAGAACTTTTGGTGCTTTTCAGTTCAATAAAAGAGAGATGTTTTGAAGAATCATGCTGCCAGCAACCAATTCAGCTATAATGACGAAGTCACAGAGAAAGTTTTTGTATATGTGGACTCCCAATTGTTTGCCGAAATGTTTTCTTTCTATAAAAGTCTTTGTAGGGATTGGCAACAATCACAATTATTCCACTGTATGCAATTGGTCAAATATTGGCATTTTTTTCTGAAATTGAATTAGTTAAGAGCTTTCTAAGTTCTCTCCTTCACAAATCATTTTAAGATGAGTAGCAGGCTAGTTCAGCTGGATTTTACGTATATATTTTCTTTTAGGAATTTCATAGGAAAGGCAACAGCGAAACAACTGATTATCACATTCTATTTCATGAAGTCGCTGCGCGATATATTCGTTTTCATCCAATCAAGCAGGAATCACAGAACTGCCTCCGAGTTGAGGTATATGGTGCTAAAGGTATGTATGGTGATAGTTATTATTTTTTCCAGATCATTATTTATTGGCAAAGTATTTGCTTTTGAAAAAAAAAAGTGTTTGCTTTTGTTACTCTTTGAGCGTTTTGTTCAAGTTTGGAGTGAATCACTAATAGAAAACCAGAGAATTTGACGATTTGGCATTTCAGCAAGACACCCGTACCGAACCAAATACTATTTTCGGAGCCTGCAGGACATCAATGATAATGTTAGTTATTTCATTTGTGGCTGCCAGTAGAGTGTCGGTTGGTTACAGTACTTTTAGCCTCCAATACATCGGTCAGCAAGCAGCGGAAATGAGCCTGCAGTCAGCAGGCATGTGGGGGCGTGGATGCGAGGGCTGGGTTCGAGTTTGGTCTGGTCGCCTATTGCCTGAGGTCTACTTTATTCGGAAAATGTTCGGAAATGGTCGGAAATGGAATTTCTGTCCACTTATGCGAACATTTACGAGAGTACGCATGTGCACTATAATGGAAAGATTTGTACCTGCGTTTTAGCGGAGCTCCACGCGCGCGAAGCGCGCGCGTGGGCGGAGCCCCATTACTAAGGAAATCTACCCATCCCAGAAAATTTGGTAATCACGTGACCGACCGACCGACCGACCGACCGTCTGTCCGCACCACAGGCATACCAATGTTTACTCTCACACTTTCTAGCTACTTTGGGAGCCCAGGAGAAAGCTGATTGCACATCAATGTTGTCATCAATTGACAGCTGTCAAAACAGGGTATCCGCTGACCACTATCACCTGACCGAATGGCGGGCTCAGGTGTCGACCCATCGAGGTCGAGTATTTTTTTTAAGTTATCCGCTGACAATTTACTCGTTTTCAAATGATCGCAGGCTCACGTTTACTTTTGCTTTAAACTCATATCAAATATGTTGTGTTTATGTCAGTATCGGCCCGCACTATTACGATTTTGATTTCAACCTGACTTCAGACGCAAAAATTCAGCCAGTGTTTTTAAAATACAGGCGGGAAGACCTTTTCTTACCATGGGCACGTGTTGGTCACGCTCCACGTCCAATTTTTATGCTCTGATTGGTTAAAATTTGACAGGTGAGTTCATGCGTAAAATTTATGCAGCATCTTGAAAGTTGTTTACTTTGACAGCTGAAGCTGACAGAGTTTTGAGTCAACTTGTGATGTTTTTAACTGTCTTTTTCCACTGGATGTACAAAATGAAATACAGCTGCTATCAAGAGTGTTCTCTTATTCATGGCTGGTTTGTTTATTGGGTTTTTGGTTGAAAAATGCGTCGCTTGTCAAAGCCGATAATCCGATTTCGGATGGCATCGTTTTTGTTTTTCACCTTGCTGGATGCGTACGAGAATTATAAAGGCTCAAGCGATCCATGCCTTACTTGATAGCTTTCAGGAGCTGCATCTCGAAATATGGTAAGCCTGAGTAATTATTGTATTTAGAACTAATTTCATGAAGTCCAGCGGCGCAGTTTATGAAGCTAGTTTATGCACGTTTGTATTAAGATTTGACTGAGACACTGATCTGACCTCGTATGAGGTTTGATATAAGCTTAAGCTTACAGAACTTTAAAAAGCCTTTAGTCGATATTAATTCACCTTAAATAAAAACAAAAAACTTTCCGAAGAATATTTAGTTATAATTTTGGCTGTAGAAAGAAAGCTTTGAACGATTTTCTTTTCGTGAGTTCATCTTTGAAAACAGCCAACACCGGGAAACCGGCGGCTTAAAACATAAACTTTAACAGTCCGGAATATCCCTAAATTTAAGGACAGGGCCAACTGGTCACGCGACACTTTTCAACCAATGAGAGGGCGCGCTTGTGTTTATCAACAAACAAATCAAAACATCGCGCCAGTGATCAAAAATTTTCAAAACAACGGACGGAGTCGGACAGAATTAAAGATGAGCTTACAGTACTCGTCTAGGTTTCACATTTAATATTTCAAAGAAAACATTTCATGTAAGAGAATAAGAGCATTATTCACTGCAAGAAATCATTGGGCTGTTCTAAACGATTCCGGACCGATCGCAGAGGTCGTGGCTTCACTGGCATGGCTTGCAAGATTTTTGATGGAAGCAAACTGGTCCCGTGTAAAAATAGCCTTAGAAAGAGAGCGTGAAAATTTGTTGAGATCGTACAAAACAGGATTGGTACTACCTATTAACTTCTGCAGGACAAGAATCAAAGAATCAGTCACCATAACAAGAATAGAAAGTAGTTCAAATTTATTAATTTTTCTTGTTTGTGTTTCGTGTTGTTTCGTGTTGACTTCACGCATCTGGTGCTTTCTTTGCTTGCTGTAGTACCTGCAATGTTTTAATTTTATCCCAGATAATCAGTGCATGTTCAATGAGTAGCGAAATACATCATTTACAATTGAGATTTGCCTTGTTTCCTTGATTGTTTTTTAACGGTGGATGAACATTTGAGCCAACAACATTAAATCTTTCCAGATTAGTGAATTTCAGAAACAAAGCGGTTAGTATCTACCTTGCGCTTATGATCTTCAATTTCATCCCCGCAAATTCGGCAAAGTGAGGCGAAATGTTGGACGTGAATATCCATAAGACGAACAAAGTTGTTTTGGCCTTGAAAAGGAAAAAGGCAAAGGCTCGTACTAATGCGAAAAAAAGTAATAACACGGCTCTGTGAGAAACCCGGGAGTGAAAAACGTACGTGTTTTGGACCTCGGAATTCAAAAATTGTCTACCAAAATTCTAGGTTGTCTACCATCCCCACATTCAACATGATAAAAGTTAATCGATATGACAATCGAGGAAAAATATCTAGAACTTAGTAAAAAATCTGTGAATCGAAAAAATAATAGACACTTGTTCACCTACCTTGAAAACCGACCCAAATCTCGCCTATACATCTCGTTGTGCAAAGGATAAAAGAAGAAATAAGCCACAAAATGTGCTGAATATTTCACGAGACACGGCTTCCGATACGCTGTCCACTTAAAAAAATTGTGAATGCCTCATGAAAAGACTTTAAAATATGCCTGAGAGCCTCGAAACAATGAGTTATTCTGTCCGACTCCGTCGGTTGTTTTGAAAATTTTTTATCACTGTGGCGATCTTTTTATTTGTTTGTTGATAAACACAAGAGCGCCCTCTCATTGGTTGAAAAGTGTCGCGTGACCAGTTGGCCCTGTCCTTAAATTTAGGGATATTCCGGACTGTTTAAGCTTACTAGTAAAGACTTGAGGATTCTTAGACACACTTAAATACTCATTTGTTTTCGTGAATGAAAATTGTTGTCTCTGTAAATGTTCTATCGAATTATTTTTCTTTATTGATTTTTGGTAGTCTCAAAAGTGTAATTTTCATCGCTTTGGCGTTTGTTTTCAGGCGTTCATAAACATCGTTCGCAGGAGTACTCAAAACGCCAAGCGTATCAAACGCTTTTTAAGATTACACATCGTTATAAAACCGTTAATAAAAAATAGACTCAGTAAATTCTTTATCACGTTGAAGCGTGATTCTTTTAAAATTTCTTCGCAAATTTGGCGCTTGTCAAATGTTAGAACCGGCTGGCCGCATAGGTGATTTTGGAAATTTTTTGAACGGTTTCGCTAATTAAAAGTCCACGCGTGCCTCTATGGTCCTGAATATTGAATGAATGCAATTTGTCTTGAAAAATTGTGAAATACTGCATTTTGTACGAGGTCTGTATGATAAAAACAGCGCCTCATAGTACTCTTTCTCCTCAGATGTGGTGTATAAAAAAAAAATAAAAGATTGGTTTGCACGCACCCAGATTTATTGGCAAGAATTTGTAAACTTGTCGAACGCAAAAAATTCGGTCTGATTTGTTTTCCAAGAATTTGTTTTGCACGCCTTATCTACGGTGATCGAGAGCCATCTTTGCTCTTAAATGTGGCCGAAGACTATTTTTTGGGTGTACATATAAGGCTATATCAACTCGATACAAAATTTGTTTCACTCCAAAATCACTTAGCTTTTCCCTCAAAAGTCACATGAATGTGCCCTTACGTTAACTGATTTGTGGAATACAAAATTATTGTTTGATTTAAGTTATAAATTTATCAATGGGAGCTTCGCTTTTAGCTGTGGCTAAATATATATATTATTAATAAACGAAACCCAAGTCACATTTACGTGGGAGTGAATTTTTTGTCCCCTCATGCGAACTTTGACAAGAGAACGCATGCACATTGAGACATCTTGTCAACAAATTTACCCTAAATGTTTTTCTTCAAAGTTGCGAACTTGTGGGAGTGAGATTGGATAGTAAGCATGCGCATTTCAACATCTTGTCCAAACACGTACCAAAGACGTTATTTTACAAAGCCGCTAATGTTTGAGAGTTGAGCATGTATTGTCAACCTTCACCTGCGTTCGAGAGACTAGCAATTGTCACATCAACCCCAGAGTCTACACAAACCACCCACCGTACAACATTCACTCCGCACTCAACTCAGTGCAATATAATATTTACGCTTGTAGATCGCGCTTTGTTTTGTTCACCTAGAAAAAATATTTTTATTTAACTGCAATGCCGTAAGGCAAACAAATGAATAATGAAGCCTTAAACTGAAGACAAGACAAAACGTTTATTAGCATTCTTTGGCAAGTACTGTTATGGTATTTAAGTGATATTATCATTCAAAGTCACGAAAAAGTACAAATAATAATAATAGAAAAAAAATAGAGGAACAGTATCAATCTCCTGCCTTTCCTGGCATTTTAGGAGAGGTTAACGCCTTGCAAGAGTGAATCGTAGTAGCCGAACAAAAGCCAAAAGTAGTGGATTATAAAAAGCCAATAGACAGACGTTATTTACTAAGCTTCTGCACCGACCTTTTCTTTAAGTGACCTCTGTGAGAAAATGTGATGTTTAGTTGCTCGTTGTGGTAGTAAAGTGCACATCGAATTAAGAGATAAGCAGACAACTACAATGACGGAAACGCACAAGAAGACCTACTGTCAGATGAAACATCTGTCAGAGAAAATGCATTATGAACCAGACCGCCCATCAGCATTAGAGGGGTGTGAACAAATTTTATCGTGCCACACGTCGTTTTGGAGTAAAACGGTCTCAAGTACTCCGTTGGCTCCAACAACAACCGGGTTATGCTCTACACAGACCTGCGAGAAAACACTTTCGCCGCAACAAAGAAATAGTAAATTATATTGATTCTCAGTGGCAGGCTAATTTAGTGGACATGCTAACTTGTATCGATATCTTATGCAAGCATGCGTGGGTGATTCCCTGGAAGTCAAAGACAAGCTCTTCATTGATAGAAGCCTTTAAAAAAACTTCAAGCGGGGAAGAAAACCAAAGAAGTTGCAAACAGATGCCGGGTCTGAATTCAAAAACAAAGCTTTTCAAACATTCCTCAAAAATGAGAATGTGCATCATTTCGTGACATACAACGAAACTAAAGCTCAATTGGTTGAGCGCTTCAATATATAGGACCTTGAAACAGCTGATGTGGCGGATGTTTACCACGACAAGCTTCTATCATTATTTAGCCAAACTAACTTGACAGTTTGGTCAATGGAAATTATTATTAGTGTGTGAATCGAAGTATCAAAATGAAGCCTGTGATGTAAATCGGTCCAATGCGCAAGATGTCTGGAAAATCTTATTTGAGCTAGACTCGAAAAAAATGAAGTATAGATTCAATTTAGGAGATCAAGTCAAGATCAGTAAGCACAAGCAAATCTTTTAGAAAGGTTACTTGTCATCCTGGACAGAGGAGGCATTTACCATTGCACAGAGATTAACGCGAGATCTTCCGGCCTATCGCTTGAGTGAAGCAGACGGTTATTTCATCCAAGGGACCTTTTATAAGCATGAGCTACGGAAAGTGATAGAAACTCCGGACCACCTGTTTCGTGTTGAAAAAGTTTTAAAGCTCCGAGGAAGAGGTGGAAACAAAAAGCACTGGTACACTGGAATATATATACGATTCGTGGCTACCTTACAGGCAAGAGGTGGCACTGCAGTAGGCATGTTTCAAGACAATGACTTTTACATAACAATTCCCAGTAATTCTAGTAGTAATCTGTTTTTAACCAATTCCATGTCCTGTTACCGCGTCGCGTTACCCTGACATGTTTATTTCAAAAATGGAGAGAATTGGGAGGTGGACTACATCTTATTGTATATTCGTTGTTACGGTTGAACATTCCTGGTGTGTGTAAGTATTCTCATGTCCTCCTCCAGCGTTCGGCTGACTTCAAACTGTCTACCCTGCCCGAGGGCAAATATCAAAAATCCCTGGATGCAATCGAGGGAATCCCACAGTGCTGTCTCACCGTCAATAAAAACCGAAATAGCAGTAGATGAAGAATAGAATGTCACTTGGAACTCTGGATGAACGGATTCTGATCACAGTACCAACTGCTCGAACGCTCAGTTGGATAACAGATCAAAGCAAAATTAGCCTGGTGTCCATTTGGATATGGAGGTCTCCATCACCCAAAAACAAAAATATGGAAATGATTAGTGTGTCATACCACCTGAAGCCAGCATCAAATGTGCCAGGATTTTCAGTATTCCTCTATCAGTATCCATTTGTCCGTGTAAGGAGACATTGTAACAAGTTCAAACCAACCTTTTAGAGCCGAGGCAAGTGGGTGAAAAGCGCTTATCTCTCTTTAATGAAATGGTCCCGAATGGTAAATTTCGAGAAACGCTTCTCGATGAAAAAGAGCATGTTTTGTACTTACCGATGCGTACAAAGATATCTCAAACCATTGAAATCTATTTAACCGGTGGTTGTGGACAGCAAATCTCATTTTTAGACGGTACTGTCGACGTGATACTACACTTTCGTCGTCAAATACCACAAAAAAAGTTTTTACATGGTGTTTCCAGTGATGCAAACTTAGAACAGTATCCCAAAAACAATGTAGCTGAGTTTAAATGCAATTGTCAAGTCAAATACACCTAACTGAAGATTGGGAAGTAGCCATGACGTGGGTATACGTGGGTAAATGTGCGAGACAATGAGCTCTCCTACACCTTGATTTGTAAGATAAAAAAGGCCTTGCTCCCTGGACATTATCCATCTATCTGCCAAGTGGCATTTACCGTACGGTTGAATACGTTAGGGCTTCACAACTCTCAATAGTTATCTCAATAGTGACAAAACAATTTCAAGTCTGGGAGGAAACGGGTGCTTTTACATACAAGAGAAAGCTCAAGATTACTTTGAATTAATGTTGCCCTCTGGGCGGTACGTAGCTTTACCCATGACATTAGCCCGCGCCTTGGGGTACTTAAATCACAAGTACCAGCTTCCTGTCCTCCATCAAATCAACAGGTGTTCTGTTGTGCAGTTAATTGAAGATCAGAGCCTCACTTTGCTAGCGACCACAACTACGCTCTCTAGAAAAGAACAGTTTTTTTGGGGGAATACTCTCACTCGTAGATGCCCAGGTCAGTGTGTTTCGCATAGTTGTAGAATGGGTTAACCAGGCGATATAGTGACAGAACAAGTGAAGCTACCAACTTATCAACGCCTCCTTGCATCTGTGTTTTTATAAGTGGAAATCTATATACATTATGTTGCCCAGTATCCGGACGGTACCAGTATCCAGACACTTAAAACAAAAACTCAATTTTTGAGGCGCCCTTTTCAGTTATCGGTAAACAAAGTATTTCGAATGAACGCTGAACATTTCGGCTTTAAGATGAAGGTTTTGGCGAGTTGAAAGCTTGCGAAGCGGTCGCAGAACACGCCGTTCTGTTCAGGTGAATAAACATTTCATGGCTAATATTTACGCTGTTTACTGCGCAGTAAAATTAGTGCTGCTCACAAAAGGGTAGGTAATATGTGATACTTTCTAAGAAACGGTTTTATATTTAAATTGAAGATACTTAAAGAAGTCAGGTTCTCAGAAAGTTTGTTAATACTTCTTGAAATTCGATTTGTTTGGAGCCCAGAAACATTAACGGAGCCCAGAAACATTCAAAAAGTATTGATGTCAGGTGCCCAGTATCCGGACAGTTTTTTCTTTGCTGTACAGAATCAATGAATTAGCTGCGTACATTATCCGGATAAGATTTATTTCATATCTATAACTGTAATTAAAGCTTAGGATATATGATATAGTCCTAAAATGTAATTCTACTCAACTCCGTACGGAAATTTTCTTCACTCATTCGGAGGCGACTTGATTTCGCGTGCGCCGCTTGTTTCGTGTGACTGCATTTTCTATATATAGCCGAAAGCGTCGGAGTTGAACCTGGAATTCTCATACTTTTCCCAGTTGTGACTGCTAGAATGAGGTTGCAACGGTCTGAAAAATGTCACAAAGGGATTGAGAGATGTGAAAGAAGGAGGAAATAGTGCTTGAAAAGCAGGCTTACTGTAGGGTCTGTAGGGACTAAGCATGAAGAAATCAACACTGCAGGTCAGACTAAATAGGAGAGTGACCTTTGACCGTCGCATTGAGGTCCCTTCCCCAACGTGTGGCAAGAGCGAAACCAGTTAGTACCCACCAAAACAAGAAACGGAGATCACCCTCTTCAACGTTCAAGACCGTTTTTGACCAGCCATTGCTTCAGCACACTCACTCTCTGCCCCAGGAGAAAACTCATGCCTACAACTGTTTCAACTACCTGTAACAGATGGTCCATTATCGACAGTAAATGGGTGGATTATGGACCAGTCCAATCTGGAACCAATCCGGTCGAGTTTGTCATCAATCCCTTAGCAGAGTACATTAATATTGAGAAGACAGCTTCGACTCTCTCTACCAGCTATCTAAACGTTGACAAGAACCCCGACATATTCAAGGATTATCATACAGAGACCGATTTTTTAACGGTCTTGTGCCTCAGTGCCTCATTTTCGGAAAGGTGAGAAAAGATGCCTTCAACGGAAGCCTTACAAGAAGTCCTTTCAACTTCCATCTATTCGGCTTAAGTACCATTTGACTAACTGTCAATGGAGAAGAAACACCCAACTGTGCTCTAGACTTAACGGGTTGAAAAAAGGTTGATGGGTATAACACACTGTTTTCAGGAAGTGGAGATATGAACTATGGCCACGGTCTTGATTTCGATAGAGAATATTTGGAAAACGCATACGGATTGTTCCGTTTCGATTTAACACCAGCTGCAAGTGGACACCCTAATTACTTAGTTCCCCGTCGAACTGATAACGTCTACCTGTACCTGAAATTCGACACTCCGAAACCAATTGTGTACGCAGAGTTCCAGAATCAGTTAGAAATTGACCACAATCGGCGCCTAGTCTACGATTTGTCACAAGGATCTTAATTACAACCCAAGAACTTTGGTAAGCCTGGCTTCGTGAGCCTTCGTGATCAACCAGGGACGCAGTGGGTGGCCATTTACTTTGACTCACCTCACGAAAGTGTATTCTTTGACAGTTATGGTTTCCCTCCTGAAACGTATAACATGGATACCTAAAATTTGTACACAACTATATGAACTCGTTAACGAGCCCTAGATATGAGCAGTCGTTCTGTCAGAGTGAACAAACTTGTAAGTCGTACAGATGTTGGCGCAATGAATCAATAAAGCGTTTTTTTAAAATGAATTATGTGTGTTGGTCTTGAGACATACCCTTATAAAGCGAGGGATACTTGTAACTTTGGCATCAATTAGTGTTATTCTCCATGTGATCAACATGGCTCAGCTCAAATGCCTCAGCAGTATGATTATAGCCGGTCCGATTTAATGCGGCAAAACGACATTCACAAAACCGTTACTGCAATACGCAGACGTTTTGTTTAAAAGACCCATTCCCAAAATCGTTTACCGTTACGGGCAGTGGCAAGATTGTTTCGAGGAATTGCGTCATATGTCACGTTTGAAGAGGGTATTCCTGAAGATATTCCAGCTTTATTCCAAGGGATTGCCTTCAAGGAATAGTCGTGCTGGATGATCTAGTGAGGAATTGTAATAATAATAATAATAATAATAATAATAATAATAATGGCACAGAAAGGTGAAAGCCAAAAGATCTCCAGGAAAAAACAAAGAATTAAAAAGAAATACAAAATAACAACAAATCAAGAACTGCAAACAGAAAGAGAATCCCTTTAAATGAAAATTCAAGCAAAAGCCCAAAGAATCAGGAGATACGTAAAGAGAAGTAAACAATTCAGTCAAAACCAGATGTTTCAAAACGATAGGAAAAAGTTCTTCAGAAACCTTGGTAAAGACCAGATATCAGTTGAAAAACCACCTAAGAAAGAAGCAACAGAAACATTTTGGCGTAACATCTTGGAGAACGATAGAGAGCACAACCATTCAGCAGAGTGGATAAAGAGGGAGGAGCAGAAATATGCTGATACAGAATGCCAACCATGGGAGGACATAAGCCAAGATGAGTTGCAGACTGTCTTAAAGAAAGCAAGCAACTGGAAGTCACCCGGCCCTGATGCAGTTCCTAACTTCTGGCTAAAGCAACTCACAGCACTACATCAACACCTACTGAATGCATATAACCAAGCAATAGAAAACCCAGAAAATCTGCCTGATTGGTTCACTACGGCACAAACATATTTACTACCAAAGAACAAAGACACAGAGAACCCCAAAAACTATAGACCAATTGCCTGTTTATCAACATCCTACAAGGTGCTCACATCGATTTTAACTGAAAGAAGCTACACCCATATCACAAAGAATGATATATTGCCGGAAGAACAGAGAGGTTGTGTCAGGGGTTCATATGGATGCAAAGATCACCTCCTAATAAATAAAATGATCATAGAAGACTGCAAAAAGAAGAAAAAGAACTTGAGTATGACTTGGATAGACTACAGAAAAGCCTATGATAGTGTTCCTCACAGCTGGATACTGAAGACCTTACAGATTTACAGATTTAATGAAAAACTAATCAAGTTTATGAGAACCTCAATGTGCAACTGGAAAACTACGATGAAGCTATCATACAATGATGGATGTATCACAACAGATCAAATCAAGATCAAAAGAGGGATCTTTCAAGGAGATTCATTCTCACCTCTGCTATTTTGCCTAGCCCTTGTGCCTTTAACATCAGAGCTGGCTACATCTGGGTATGGTTACAAGATCTTAAATACAAGTGCTCCAATAAGCAATCTGTTTTATATGGATGATCTAAAATTGTATAGCAAGAACGAGCAAGAACAAGTTGGAGAACTGAAAATAGTGAAACAATTCAGTGATGATATTGGTATGGAATTCGGACTTGAGAAATGTGCCAAAGCCAGTTTCATGAAAGGTAAACTGGCCTCAACTGGAAACATAGTAATAGATGTTGACACAGAAATACAAGAGTTGGACCAGGAAGGAGTATACAAATACCTGGGTGTAGATGAAAGTGATGGTATCCAGCATAGCAAAATGAAAGAGAAGATAAGAAAAGAATATAATAGGAGAGTAAGATTAATCCTAAGAACTGAGCTCAATGGAAGAAACAAAATAGAAGCTATCAATAGTCTTGCAGTCCCAGTTGTGCAATATAGCTTTGGCATCATTGACTGGAAAATCTCAGAACTGAAGAAGATTGACACAAAAACACGCAAACTACTGAACATACACAAGATGTTACATCCTAAAGCAGATGTGGAAAGGCTGTACATCCCAAGAAAAGATGGAGGTAGGGGCCTGATTGATGTAGTAACAGCATTCAAAACTGCAACAATAGGGCTTGATCACTATCTGAAGCACAAGGAAGGGCAATATCCAAAGCAGGTGCTTGAACATGAAAGATCTAAAGCCAAAAATTCAATATCCAAGTATGCTACTAAATTCAAAAGGGAAGTAACAATGCCAGAGATTGAGTACAGAGAAGATAAATCTGCCTCTGAAAATGCTAAAGCCCTGAAACACGTGTTTAAGTCCAGGATGAAGTCAATGAAAGAAGAAAAGTGGAAAAACAAAGCATTGCATGGCCAGTATCCAAAGATCCTAGAGAAGCCTCATGTAGACACAGTCACCAACAACAAATGGTTGTCAAGTAATTTGAAAGGAGAAACAGAGGGACTACTTGTTGCAGCTCAAGACCAGGCAATAAACACCAGAAACTACCAGAAAGTAATATGTGGCCAGCAAGTGGAGAGCAAATGCAGATTGTGTTCGCAACATGAAGAGACAGTGGACCATATTGTATCTGGATGTGAGGTATTAGCCAAAACAGAGTACATCTCCAGGCACAATAATGCTGCAGCATATCTCCATTGGAGCATATGTAAAGATCATGATATAGAGATTACAGACAAATGGTACGAACACGAACCAGAGACCGTGATACACAATAAAGATAACAACATCACCATCATGTGGGACATGCCAGTCAATACTGATAGAACTATAACAGCGAACAGACCAGATATCATCGTTAAAGATTCAGTGAATTCCACCTGCAAACTTATTGATATGACTGTTCCATCAGATAGAAACATCGCACTGAAGGAAACTGAAAAAAAATGCAAGTACAAAGACCTAGAACTAGAAATACAGAGAATGTGGCATATGAAAACAGTAGTGATCCCTGTGGTTGTTGGTGCGCTTGGTACAGTGAAGAAGGGTATGGTAGAAAACATCAAGAAAGTATCAGAAAGAGCTAATATGACAGAGATTCAAAAGATCTGCATGCTGGGATCTGCACGAATCCTCAGAAAGGTGCTCAGTGTATGAACAGAATGATTGACTTGAGTGACTGACGCTCTAGGTGCATGGTTTGCGCCCGGCTGATGCACAAAAAAAACACCAGCAAAGACTGTGATAATAGAGACAATAATAATAATAATAATAATAATAATAAACACTTATATAACGCCTTTCTCTTACTTATCCAAAGCGCTTTACAATCAGTAAATACTCAGAAAACAAATAATTCAAATACAACATAACAGGATTTAAAACCCCAACTAGCAGGAGGCAACCACTTGGCTATTTACAAGCGTGGCCGGCGATTTGAACTGGGGACGACCGAGAACAAATCCACCAAGTGGCCAGAGCGGGACTCGAACTCGGGACCTCCGGATTGCGAGTCCAACTCGCTGACCACTCGGCCACGTTGCCTCCTAATTGTAGCGAGGATGAACGTATCCTGGATCTGTTTACAAAAGTGTCTCATCATTGCGATGTCACCTTCATCTATTTGACCCAGAACTTTTTCCACCAGTGAAATTTTCAAGGAGTGCTTATTTATTTAATGACCATTACGTTATTGATTTTACTACTCCTCGTGATACGTTGGGTTTGCGACTGTATAACCTGCAGCAGTATTACCAAAGTCATCATCTCCGAACGAAACCCCAGTGGATGAATATAGTTTGTCGTTGACAATCGAGGTAAAGCCGACAAGAAAAGAACCAAGAAAAATACCAGCTACACCTGTCACTACAAAGCCGTCAAAAATTCCTCGTCGGATAGGAGCAATGCCTTCTATTTCACCAGCTAGAAGAAATGGCGTTGCCTA